TCAACCATGAGGAGCACTGAGTTATGTATACAACCATTGAACCCCTATGTGGTACTTCTGAAACTAACACTGGAGGTTAATTATGCTGGCATTAATAAAATAATGATTGAGGAAAAAAAAACTAAAAAAACTCAAGAAAGAAAAAAAAAATACAAAGATTACACCCTGGAAATAATTGCTGTATGAGTTGGAAAAACCAGGTGGGAGGATGATGGGGGTGAATAGGGTCCTAAAAGACTTCAAATTTATAGGGAAGGTACAACTGGAATAAAACTGGGTTTGAAGCAAACAACATTTACCCTAAGTGCCCATCTAGATTCTAAAAATGCAGGGGAAACCTGAGAGAAGATACTAACAAATACACTACTCTTCCAAGTAGACAACAGATCAGGCAAAAATTCGAGGGACCCACTCTTGTACAGGCTGATGGGTAAGATTCTCACTTGGAAATGCACTTCAACCCAGCATCCCAAGAGTGCTTTGAACTGTCCCATTCATCAGTAGCACATCCTGCAATCATCGTCCTCTTAGGAGTCCTGGCTAGTTTACGGAACAACCATCCACAAGCTAAAAACAAGGAGACTATGTCTTGGTCTTGTGGCTAGAGTCAAGAACACTCCCCCAAACGGGAACACCTTGTCACTAGCACTGTCAGTGATGCTCACCTTTAGGATATTGTTTCTTACCACAGATGATTAACAGATGTATCTAGTCCTTGATTTATTCCAAGAAACTGACAGGCCCTAAGGTTAAATTACAGTTTGAGCAATGACGCCACTCCAGCCTCCTACAATGCTAGTGGAAAAAAGAAAGTGCTGGAAGAAAAGAAGGCCATCAACTGAAATCAAGGAGTTTTCCAGTACATGGAAAGTATCACACCCATTCACTACCTATACAATTGGCCAAGAAAAGAAAGTGAGAGGGGTGCCTGGGTGGCTCAGTGGGTTAAGCCTCTGCCCTCGGCTCAGGTCATGATCTCAAGGTCCTGGGATTGAGCCCCGCATCGAGCTCTCTGCTCAGGGGGGAGCCTGCTTCCCACTCTCTGCCTGTGTCTCTGCCTGCTTGTGATCTCCCTCTGTCAAACAAACAAACAAACAAATAAATAAATAAGAAATCTTAAAGAAAAGTAAGAGAAATATTACAAAAGGAACATTAGTCAGAACTAGTGAGTGTTCAAGATAGTCAGAATTTATAATCTATTAGTCAGATACTATATATTAATATATATTAAATTTCTCCTCAGGATAGCCATAACCAAATAATAAATATAACAGGGCAAAACTGATCCTTTGATTCAGGGATGAAATTGAGTTGTACTGAAAAACCTAAGTCAGTTTAAGCAGAAAAGGGAATGTATGGAGTCACAGTCACATTGTGAGACACCAGCAATGTTTCTCAACATTCCATCCTACCCCAAATCTCTGACCTCCATCCTTCTGTGAGGTCTTCTCTTCCAGGAAGACTCTCTCCATGAATTGGACACCCCAGCTGAGAAAGAGTCTCATCTGATAATATCCACAGAAATCCTAAAATTGAGTCCTGCTAACTTACTTCACCAGGGAATGGACTCTGTTAGGTCAGGTCTGGGTCATTTTCCTCAACTTGTGGTAGGGTCAAATGGGGAGGAGTCAATACCACCAGAACCACATGGTCTAACAACAAAGGAGGGGTAGTTTCCCCTAAGAAACCTATGGGTATCCAGGGAAATGGGGAAGACAAAATATCCTCTCTAGATTCCATTCCCAATAGCAGTAGAACCCAAAGTGTTGGAATACACCTAAGAACATAGGATCTATACAAAGGAAAGCATAAGAAACCTAAAAAACATGAAAGAATTCATGTTCTTAGCCATGTTTACAATATCGTAAAGATACTACTTATTCCCAAACTGATCTATGATCAATCCCATCTAATAAAAAATCCTAAAAAGCAACATCTTAATGGATTATTTATAAATTGTTTTTCAGAATTCACCTTAAACAATTCACAAAAATAGCCAAGGATTTATTTTTTCTTTTTAAAGAACAGCATTGGGGAGACTAGATTTAGACCACTAAATATTCAGGCATACATTTTTTTTAAAGATTTTTTTTTAATTTATTTGACAGAGATCACAAGTAGGTGGAGAGGCAGGCAGAGAGAGAGAGAAGGAAGCAGGCTCCCTGCTGAGCAGAGAGCCCAATGCAGGGCTCCATCCCAGGACCCTGGGATCATGACCTGAGCCGAAGGCAGAGGCTTTAACCCACTGAGCCACCCAGGTGCCCCTACTCAGGCATATATATATTAATAATATATATGGTTAATATATATTAATAATAATATATATGAGTAATTCAGAGTCCCATTAGCAGAGGAAAAGGCAAGTCAACAAAACAGAATACTTTCAAATTGGTAGGGGAAAATGGACTATCTGCAATGCTGAAATATCTACCCCAACTCTTAGAAGAAGTGAATCCTACTTTATACTAAAAGAATTACGGACTGGGGACACCTGGGTGGCTCAGTGGGTTAAGCTGCTGCCTTCGGCTCAGGTCATGATCCCGGGGTCCTAGGATAGAGTCCCACATAGGGCTCCTTGCTTGGTGGGGAGCCTGCCTCTCTCTCCGCCTCTGCCTGCCTCTCTGCCTGTGTGCTTTCTCTCTGACAAATAAAATCTTCAAAAAAAATTAAAAATTAAAAGAACTACGGACTGGATCAATGACCCAGAACACAGAAGATTTTCTTTATAATCTTGGGACAAGGATGACTTCCCCCCAAAAGACCCAAACTCCAAAAGCCATAAAGGGAAAAATTTAGGATGATTTAATACTTGCAAGACTGTGAAGAGCTAAGCACTCCCTACCCTGTATAAATTTGGATTGGTAGATTCAATTTTGAATAGTAATTTGGTAGCAGCCAAGTGTTAATACTATTATCTGATTCAGAAACTCTTTCTGGGATTTTCTCCTACAGATATAGTCACACATGACTATGGGAATAAAAAGACTATGAACCCCCCCCCCCCCAAAAAAAAAGAATCATGAGATGTTTTTTCCTCACAGTCCTTAAGAAACATGCTAAAATACAGACCAATGAAAGGTCACATCAGCTTGATCCCAGGATGCCAAAACCAGGACCCCACCAGAAATCAAGAGTTGGATGCCTAATGGACTGAGCCACCCAGATGTCCCTTGACTAGTCTTCTGAGTCCTTTGTCTTCAGAAAATACAGTGCTGCCTTGCTGTTCCATCTTGGTGCATTCTGCCTTACTGCAGAAGTTGATGTAATCTTTCATTGTTGCTGGGTGTAGATGCTGCTCAGGATTCTCTCTCTCCCTCTCCTCTGGCCCACACCCCTTCGCCCACCGCTCACACACTCTACTCTCCTCTCCTCTCTTTGTCCCCCTTCCCCTCTACCTTTTCCTCCTATTCCTCTCTCTCTCTCTCAAAAAAAAAAAAAAAAAAAAAGAAACAAAGAAAGAAAAGACTAATCAGAAGAGCATGTCCAGTTTTTATAAAGGCCAGAAATGCCTGAAGGGATACCATACTATTTTTTGAAACCAAGTATTAGTATTTTCATTAAAGGTTGCAAATACAAAAATAAAAATAAATAAATAAATAAATAAATAAATAAATAAAGGGTGCAAATACTGTTTCAATCAAGTGCCAAATGGAAGACCAAGCCCTGGAGTTCAAAGAGGAAATAACCTCCTGAATAAGGAACATCAAGGCAAGTCTTCTACTTCAGCCACACCATCCAGGGCCGTGTCGGTGCCAGTGTGTAAGCCAGATTACTGTTTACCGCATCATCAATCTGTACAATGTTCCAGTTTCAGTTGCTAGAATAAGTGCACTGACTGAAATCAAAAAGGCTGGACAACCTGTTCTTCCAAAATAACTGGAAATATCATTTTACTATTATTAATTATTATTAATTCGGATATTAATGCCTATAGGTTTTCTCCTTGGGCATGTCAGTTTGTTAGTTCTGTTACTACAAAAATGGGATTCAGGCCAGCAGTTTCAGCTAGTGTACCTGAACCACTTGCATTACATCTGCCTTAGAACACAGTGGAATTCCAGACCACTCAATGTTCGTGAATATTCAGTTAACCATAGGGCCAACTTTATTTCCGGAGCACCGCCTCCTACAAGAAGAGCTCCTGCTTCACTCAACAGCAAGTAGCACATGCGGCTTCATGAATGGAACACTCTGCTTCTTCAATCACCAATTTGTCGGAACCATGCACAACTGTTAATTTTTTCCCAGTGATCTTAAGCAATTTGCCAGAACCATTTAAACCGACCCCCTCAGCTTGTCACCAGTGAACTGGTTACCATGAGCAACTGGCCTGGTTCTGCTGTCTTACAGAGGACTTTGAGGTCTTCTCTTCCAATATTCCTAGCCACCATGATCTTCATTTTGTTCAGGAAATGTAATGCAAGATCTCTAAGAGCATGTCTTAAGAATAGACTTCTGTATGAGAACACTGTATCTGGTTTAAAAAATCTGCCTCACTAAATTTAGAACACAGGCTCTCTTCTTCCTTAGCACTGGGCCCATCTGGGCATCGGAAACGAATATGTGATTATCCCTATCTGTTTTAGGAGCAGATAAGGAAAACTGCCTATGCCCATATTATTAGCCTTTTCAGCTCTGATTAGGTCATCTTTTGGGTGAGAACCAGCCCTTCTACCAACATGTAGTCATCATCTGTACCACCCAGTTTTGTTATATATAAGCTACACAGAGTTTATATATAAACTATACATGTGGTAACTAAAGATACATATAAATATTTATTCAAACTAGAACAAAACAGGGGAGCCTGGCTGACTCAGAACATGAGACTCTTGATCTTGGGGTCCTGAGTTTGAGCCACGAACTTACATACATACATACTTGGGGTTCCTAGGTGCTCAGCTGAGCATCTGACTCTTGGTTTCAGCTCCAGTCATGACTTCAGGGTCATGGGATTGAGCCCCAGGTTGGGCTCCATGCTGGGCAGTCTGCTTGAGATTCTCCCTCTGCCCCTTTCCACCCTGCTCTCACCCAATAAATCTTAAACAACAACAACAACAACAACAAACATTTAAAAATAAAGTTGGGCAACCCGGTCGGAACCGCTCTCACTCTTGAGAGCTTTTTCCGTTATCTTCAATTAATAAACTTCTATTGCTTTACTCACTGTCTGCTGTCCACCGAGATTCACTCTGACTCTGTGAGACAAAAACCTCTCTCCCCACATCATTTTGGTGCCTAGACCTGGGATCACTTCCACTGAAGGGTGAATAAAAAGCGGACTTTTTTTCTTTTCTTTCCTGGGAGACGCCTCTTCCCTTAGCTGACCTTTTCTCATAAACAGCAAAACAGTGCACCTGCGACCAGTTAAAGGTGGAACTGCCCAGGTGCAGTCTTAAGTCTCAGGTAATAGTCTTTGGGGAAAGGTTTGGTCAACCCTCCTTCCTCAAAGGAAGGGAATGTTGGCCTAACCCTACCCAGTTATGCTTTCTGTTCACAGGCTGGTCTTAAATGACTTTGTCCTGCCTCAGGGACTTTTTGCCTCAGGTCCTTCCAATCTCTGATAATCAGTAGGGCCTTCTGACCAGGGACTCAGTTCACGGTTGCCCTTAGCCTTCTCAATGCTTTCTCCAAGAACCTGGGGATTTTATGGGTTCAGTAGTCCTGCTGACTTTGTCATGCTGGGGAAGGATGTTGCCTATGGAGATATAAGTTTTGTTTTGTTTTTCATTTAAAAAGGTCTTTTCATGAGAACTTAGTTCAGGAGGAAAATCTTTTCCTTATTTTTTGTTGCTTGGTAAGGTGTTTTTCTCTTAGGTACAGTTTAGTTTTAATCACAGCCAGGGATCCAAACCCAAGTTACTGGCAAGCAGGATTAGAGCTCTCTCTATATATGACAAGTTAGAGGGAGCCCAATGTTTCCTGAGCATTTACTGGAATACCTTGGGCATTGAAGAGGGAATTACAGACCCCCCCCCCCAGCCAATTCCTTATTGGTTGCATTAGTGGCTGGGACTTTAATGGGTCATATAGTTGAGGCTTTCTTATTCCAACAACAGAAATATGAAACTATGATGATTCTAAATCTCGGGGTCTGCACCCCTCAATAGGGCCATGCTTACAAATGGGACCTCAGGTATATGGACAGAAAAAGCACCCAGGGGAAGGGAAGGGAACATAACTGACTCAAAGTTTAAACTGTTAACCTTGCTAAGCCTTTATGATTAGGGCAGATTTTTGGGGGTCGGGGGAGTCCAGAGAAGAAAAGAAGATCAGGTGATGGATGGGTAAGAGTGGCTACTCCTGCCAGGCTGATACCTCCTCAACCCAAGATGTTAGACCACTCTCTCAGCTTGGGTAGGAAACCATGGGACACCTTGGTTCCCAGGGGAGTGCTGCTATGTAGGGACGGCACATCACTTCTCTTTAACAGGCACGGAGAACTCTTACCGGGACGTCAAGATGGGAAACCATTCTCTGTGGGGACTCCTGGATTGGGTACTGCAAAACTGGGTAATTCCCAGGGTGCCTGGGTGGCTCAGTCATTAAGCATCTGCCTTTGGCTCAGGTCATGATCATGGGGTCCTGGGATCCAATCCTGCATCAGGCTCCCTGGCTGGTGGGAAGTCTGCTTCTCCTCTCCCACTCGTCCTGCTTGTGTACCCTCTCTGTCAAATAAACAAAATCTGAACAAAACAAAACAAAAAACTGGGTAATTCCCCCTTGCAAAACCTTTCTAGTGTTTTCCATGGGTTAAACTCAGCAGGTTCTTCAAGGCAAGGTAAAATAAGGCATGACCTTCCCGTAAGACATGGTCTCTTCAGTTCCCAAGGACGCCCCCTTGGGGTGCCTTTTAACCCACTGCAAACAATTTGGATTGCAAATGTGGGAAAGGACTGAGCTCTAACACACACTACATGGCCATAGTGGGATCGGGTCTCCTACAGGGAACCCGGCAAATAGACTGAGGTACCCTACATCCATCCAGGCTTTCAGGGCCATGACAAAAAGACCTCTAGCAGAAGGCATTTACCCAAACATGGTGGCTAGTAAACTCCCTCCTGACATATTGGGTAATTGTCTAAATATACCTCCTCCAAATAAACCTAGATTGCTGGAGGAAACACAGGCCATCCCTAGCAAGGAGATGCAGACCCTCCCTACCTCTCCCTCTCACTGTTCCTAAAAGATGTGGGGGCTTCTCCCTCATTCATTTCCTAGGTTAATGGCTCTAAGCGGAGCCAACCGTGGTTAGTCTCTCTCAGGATGAGGAGTTTAAAGAATATTCCCAAACAGCTGCTGAAAACTCCTTTGTTTCAGGGAAATTTCCTGTCTTCTCCGGCCTGACACGGACTGCCTAAACCCGCCTGTTGGAAAAACTACTCACCTGTCCAAGCCGATGAGCTTTAGAACTGGGAACCCTTTTCTGGGTCTTAAAGGCAGAACTTTGCCTATCTTTCTGCCCCACCCCCTCCTGTTTCTGCACCTTGGGTACAGCCGCAGACCCTGCTCACTACAGATCTCCCCACCTGTATCTCAGGTGGACACTGACAATGGGGAACAAATGGACTTTTAAAAGTGGGCCCACGGGCGCCTGGGTGACTCAGCGGGTTAAAGCCTCTGTTTTCAGCTCAGGTCATGATCCCAGGGTCCTGGGATCCAGCCCCGCATTGGGTTCTCTGCTCAGCAAGGATCCTGTCTCTCTGCCTACTTGTGATCTCTGTCAAATAAAATCTTAAAAAAAGAAAAAAAAAAGAACAGCTATGTCTCCTTTAAAAAAATAAGTAAGTGGACCTGGGTGGAACATAACTTGGTATTTAAACTAAATTTAAACTATAGGTCTTTGGGGAGCCTGGGTGGCTCAGTGGGTTAAAGCCTATGCCTTCGGCTCAGGTCATGATCCCAGTGTCCTGGGATCGAGCCCCACATCGGGCTCTCTGCTTCGCGGGGAGCCTGCTTCCTCCTCTCTCTCTCTGCCTGACTCTCTCTGCCTACTTGTGATCTCTGTCAAATGAATAAATAAAATCTTTAAAAAATAATAAATAAAATACTTTAAACTATAGGTCTTTAAAGTTATCACCATTAAATGTAAAGCTTATATACTGTCAAGGTTTGCTGAAGGTCAAATAAGCTCATATTATCTCTGTTGCAATTTGTCAGCAAAAAGATGGCTGAAACGATGGTTAATTGTATGTCTCATCCAAGTTTTCATAGAAAATGTTAAAAGAGCTTTCAAAGGGATTACATTTACTGGACATCTAGATCTTTCCCAAACAGGAAAAGGTGCTCAATCATTGATTCCTGATGTAGGTTTGTGCTTCTGACTACTTATTGCAAAGAAACTAAGGATATTTTAAACTGCTGGTAAACGTATTTTGTGCTCAACCAGTTCATAACTTTGCCATTTCAGGAATTCTGGTGTGACAATTCACAATGGATTACTACTTAGTCTTCACTGGAAACTAAGATTTCTAAGAGTGTAAAATTACGCAACTCTGTAGAAAAGAAGAGGTGTATGAAAGACAAAGGAATGGGAATACTTTTTTGTTGAAGGATAAAAGAAAACAATTTTGTAATAGAAGAGACCGGTTGTTTGCAGAGAAATGGCGTGGGACAAAATCTCAATGCAAAAGAAAGTTGTTGGTTTGTGAAGGGAAATCTTTGAAAAGGAATTTTAGGTGTGGTCAGGATAGACTAAGATTACAATAAAGGGATTTTATAAGTACACTGGCAGAAGATTGTTAAAAAGACAAAAGTTTTCTTGAATTGCTCTTGATAAAATGTAAACAGCTATTTTCTCTTTGCCTGCCCAGAAAAACTAGTTTCTAGGTTTTGCCTTTACCAGGTCTTTGAGATCCTTAATCCTATTTAGCTAAGTGCTTTAAAACTTTCCAAGGTTTTAACAAACTTCTCCAAGACTTAAACCGTGAACAAAGTCTTGTTGACTCATCAGGCTTGTTTGTCAAGTTACATTCTGGTTTAAGGGTCATCACTCGATGTTCTGACCGTTGTGAAGTGTTTATGTGACCCAGAAATAATTTGTCAGTTGTATCATAATGAACTCTATCATTAACAATGTCCATTTCTGAGTTTTTGTCTTTTATAACTTCTTTATTCTCTTATAAAATGAGTTTATCTTCAATGGGGTTCATAAAAAGGACTTTTAGGAGAAATACTGGTATTCACTATCTTTTTTTTAAATAAGTTTTTTTTTAAGATTTTATTTATTTAATTGTCAGAGATCACATAGTAGGCAGAGAGGCAGGCAGAGAGAGGGGGGAAGCAGCCTCCCTGCTGAGCAGAGAGCCCAATGCAGGGCTCGATTCCAGGACCGTGGGATCATGACCCAAGCCAAAGGCAGCGGCTTAACCCATTGAGCCACCCAGTTGCCCCGGTATTCACTATCTTTAAGGTCAAAACTAAGTAAAAACTTCCCAAACTAACACTAAGAGCTTCTTGATTTCATCTGATAGTCATTTATCCTAGAAGCCACCTTGACTGACCTCCAATTGCAACCAAAGGCTTTAACCAAGCATCCAATAGCCTTTCTGGTGAAAAGAACCTCAAAGCTCACTATGGGACTTCCAGGACTTCCGTTAGGACTGCAGTATTAAACAGGCAACACAGTATGCCGCTCAGGACTCTAAATGCTACTTCCCAGGCACCAGATGCACTCCGCCAAAAATTAAATGAGGTCAGAGAAGGAATTCTTGAGATGGTCTACTACTGCTACACCTTTTGGGGTGTGAAAAATTTCCTCACATGTGTTGTTTTAACATTACAGTTAACTCCTCCCAGGTGTCCCAATTAATAGGGGAACTTTGTGATCCATTAAATAAGATGGAGATATCCACTGATCCATTTGACAAAACTGGTAATTGGGGATCTTAGCTAAGGGATGGGATCGTAATTTGGGACCTAATACTTTTTTTTAAGATTTTATTTATTTGACAGAGAGAGAGGTCACAAGCACACAGAGAAGCAGACAGAGAGGGAGGGGGATGTAGGCTCCCCACTGAGCAGAGAATCCAACGTGGGGCTTGATCCCAGGACCCTGAGATCACGACCTGAGCCGAAGGCAGAGGCTGAACCCACTGAGCCACCCAGGCGCCCGCCTAATAACTTGTTTTATGTTCATCCTTTTGCATGTGCTGATGTGTGTACCGTTTGTGGCTCATCAGGACTCACTGGAGCCATACCACAAGCCCCTGGACTAGCCCCTGGGTAGAGTCCAACAGCCGCGGCTGGACGCCCCATTTCAGCAGGGAGCAGCCAGAGCGGTCATCATCCCACTATTCTCTAAGGGCAGTTAGGGTTACTATTTCCAAGTGGGAGGAATGAGGAAGGGCCAGGTGGGGCTAGGTAGGGAGAGACAGGGAGCCACGGGATCAGGCTGACAAATTCCAAAAATGTGGAGGCGCAGGAAAACCATAGATAAGGGAATGAAGTGACCACCCAGCCCTGCTCGTGGTGGTGGGGGAGGAGGAGCGTCTTTTACAATAAACCTGTGACCAACACAAAATAACCAGACCCCAAAAAGGAAGTAAGCCATCGAAGGTGTTATCACTAGTCCTTGCTCAGTGGCGGTATCGGTAGAAATGTTAAAGAGATTTCAGGTTCCTGGTTCACTTTCTGGAAGAGACCAACCCTAAAGGCCCTCGTTGGCAACCTATTGGGACCCCTCTCACTCTTGAGAGCTTCTTTTCTGTATCTTCACTCAATACACTTCTATTGCTTTATTCCCCCAAAAGTAATAAAAGTAGAACAACAAAAAAAAAAGCATTCACCTATTCCCTGACCCTGGCAAATACCAATCTATCAATGAGGTTGGTTTTTAAATTTTTTTAGTTTATGCTTTTTCAATTCCACTCAGGAGAAACATCATCAGTATTTGTCTTTCTCCATCTGACTTTCTTCACTTGGCATAATGCCCTTGAGGTTTCTGAAGTACTTTGTTATCTTTAAGATCTACACCAACAGCCCTGGTGGGGTCGTCACTTCCCTCACTCCATTTCCACTTACTGGATAAAGCAGACTTGAACAAGAAGACTTTGAGTTCAATGAAATGGCTGCATTACTGAGCAGTTTCTCTGTCATTCAATATCATGGGTCAAGACAAGTTAAGACTTCAATACCCTTTTCCAAATCCTTCTGGAATGACTTGGAAATAGTTGGATGAACCCCTTTCTGAAAAAGCTTCACACACCAATCTAAGAGAACCAGCAACGACGATCACCAATGTGGTACCACCTCCTGCTTCTTTATCTGGACAGCTCCTCCAGCATTCCGGCTACAGGACATAATGCATGCGTTTGCTTCAGAATGGTGGTACCATCATTTATAATGGTCACATCCTTCCCCATCTTCACTTATTTTTACCCTTTTGGTCCCAGGCTTGTTCTAATAGCATCAGCAACAGCTTGACTATGGAGAGATTGCTCAAGTAGCTTTGGGGTGGCTTATTGTGGTTCTCATTGGTGCTTTTCTAGGATCTGCTGGCAGCCCTGGGGGCACCCACTCAAAGAGCACCACTGCTTGGCTGTGGGAAGCCTGGAGGGTCTGGGTGGGCTCAGAAAGGACAGACGGGTATGGATTCCAGCTGGCTGAAGAATAATGGCATACACCATTCACCACTGAGGTGGATTCGAACAGGTCACTCCAAAATATGAAACTGTGGCATATTATTTTGAGCTTAAGGCAACTGAGAAATAGCACATACAGGAAAGGCTCTTTGCCCTCCACGTTTCTGCCTAAAAGCAGGGCATGAATTTCCTATGATAAAGGGTTTTTTGGTTTTGTTTTGTTATGGGAACACATGTGGGGGTGGGGCACAGGAGGAGATCGGGAAAGAAATCTTACATGGACTCCACACCCAACACAGAGCCCAATGTATGACTTGATCTCACAACCGGGGGAGGACAACCTGAGCCGAAACAAGAGTCGGGCGCTTAACGGACTCAGCCACCCCCACTTTTTATTTTCAGAGGTGTATTTCATTGATTCATCAGTTGCATATAACACCCAGTGCTCATTCTATCAGAGTGTCCTCCTAATATCCCCACTCACCTCCCTTCCAACAACATCCATTTTGTTTCCTATAATTAAGAGTCTCTTATGGTTTGCCTCCCTCTCAAATTTTCATTTACTTTTCCTTCCTCCAGGGTCATCTGTTTTGCTTCTTGAATTCCACAAGTTAAGTCAGATATTTGTCTTTCCCTGACTGACTTCACTTAGTGTAATACGCTCTAGTTCCATCCACCTCATCACAAATGTCAAGATTTCATGCTTTTTGATGGCCAAGTAGTATTCCATCATGTATATATACCACATCTTTATTCATTCATCTGTCAATTGACATCTGGGCTCTTTCCATATTTTGGCTATTATGGATTTTGCTGGTATAAGCATTCCCCCTCCCTTTTTAAAGAGATTGTTTAAAAGTAATCTCCATCCCTACTAGCATGGGGTTCGAACTCGCAAGCCCAAGATTAAGAGTCACACTTTCCACCAACTGACCCAGCCAGGTGCCTCAAGAAAGGTGCCCTCTTATTCCAGTAAGGAGAGCACAATTATCACTGGAGATGGAAATCAACACCAAGAAGACAATACAAACAAACTGGACTAAAATAACCTTCACCTTCCATTAGATTCCCCCATCTATTTCCCAGACCCTTTCCGCAGAATATACTACCCCTACCAGTCTCACCCCTCTACTTTGTCTACTCCACAACTTATCACTTTTTGTTAAAATGGTATGTAAACCCTGAATCTATATATTTCTTTGAAGTTTCCAATCTTCTATAGTCTCCTGTAAAAACATCAAGATCCGTATATTTTTCAGCTGTTAACCTGTCTGCTAAATTCCCAGGCCTCAGGTGGAGAGCCTTAGAGTATAATGTTTTCCTCTCTATCACCTTGCCAGTGATGGGTTGACTGCAAAATGGAAGGTAGAAGTAAAGGACTTTTTATGAGTTTGTGTACTGATTGCTTAAAATCAAGAATAGTATGTGTTGTTTTTAAACAAGTAAAAAAGGAAATTTTCATCAATTCAAGTTACTCCTAAGAACAGTCTTATTAAATTCCAAGGAAAACCAACAAATTTTTAAAAAAAGATACATAAGTTTATTAAAAATTTGAAGATATTTAACAATTTAGTGAAGTCAAAAAAATAAGTTCTTTGTAAAATCTAGAAAGGTAGAATTAGGAATTAGATTTCAAAGGATTTAGAAAGAATTCCTTATAAAAGTTTTTAATGTTACATTCCTTGTCAAACTGGGACTTGGGAGGGCTTTCGGCATTCCAGCCCTGACTGCCTGCCTTGAGAAGTCAGTCCGCAGCAGCACAGGAAACTGGATAGACGAGAGATGCACATTTACTCTTATCCAAGTGTAGCAAAAAACACCATGTTTCCTACTTACTAGAATGTAGCTTCTACTGCAATTTCTTAGAGCAATGAACCTTTAGAATCCATCTTCCCCACTCAAAGAGCCATTTTCACCTTTGTCTTAATACCTCGGAGTACTCGCCAGGAGTTAAAGTTCCCGCTGAACTATCACCACGGGACTCCTCAGATGAAGGCAGGTAAAAAACAGTCTCAGAGGATGGTTTACTCTGTTCTATTCTTTCACATCTCAAATTCAGGTGGCTGGTCACAGTTTTTAGGCAGGTAGAAATGCGTTAAAAATTTCAGAACTCACGGTAATCTTTTCCAGAAGTAGATTAAGATCACTGCCGTAAAGCATGACAGAAGAGCTTGGACCAGCAGTCTTTTCCAGGAAGACAGCAGCACGGGTGTGAAGAAGAGACAAAAGCCATCCTGCAAGGGGGAGGGATAGGCAGTTAGACTGGTTCAGAATGCCCCACAGCTGAACTCAATAAAATACATTGGTGCTTTGGGATTAAACAGCAAGGAAACTCCTGGATTTAAAGCATAGAGGCAACCCGTACTTAGGAAACTGAGTTTGGATTTGTAAGGAATCCAACATAGGGCAAAGAAGGACATAGGAGACACAACTTTGTCACAGCAAGAATACTCATCTTTTGATTTGCGCCGTTTTTAAGAGGACGTTTTTAAGAGGACACCAACCCCCCCCCCACCAAATAATCTGATTAAAAATGGGCAGAGGAGGGGCGCCTGGGTAGCTCTGTAGGTTAAGCATCTGCCTTCGGCTCAGGTCATGATCTCAGGGTTCTGGGATCGAGCCCCACATCAGGCTCTCTGCTTAGTAGGAAGACTGCTTCTTCTCCCACTCCCCCTGCTTGTGTTCCCTCTCTTGCTGTGTCTCTGATAAATAAATAAAAATCTTAAAAAAAAAAATGGCAGAAGACCTGAATGGACCTTTCTCCAAAGAAGACCTACAAATGGCCAAAGCACCCATGAAAAGATGCTCAGCATCACACATCATCAGGGAAATGCCAATCTAGACCACAATGAGAGGTCACCTCACACCAGTCAATGTCTAGTATCAAAAATACAATAAGTGTTGAAGATTTGGAGAAAAAGGAACGGTTTACGGGAATGTAAACTCATGCAGCCACTATAGAAAACAGTATAGCAGTTGCTTAAAAAAATTCTAACGGGAATGGCATATGACCCAATAATTCCATTTCTGGGTATTTACCTGAAGACAAAAACATTAAATTGAAAAGATATATGCACCCCTGTGCTCATTACAGTGGTATTTACAATAGCCCAACTATGGTACAACTCAAGCATCCATCGACAGGCTAATGGATAAATAAGATGTGGTGTATTTATACAATAGAATATTAGCCATAAAAATGGAGATCTTGCCACCTGAACCAACATGGGTGGACCTAGAAGACATTATGCTAAGTGAAGTCAGTCAGAAAGACACAAAACATGATTTATATGTGGAATCTAAAAAATGAAAGAACTGAACATAATAGAAATGGGCTTATAAATACAAAAAACTGGAAGAGAGGTGGGTGGGAAGATAGGCCAAATAAAAAATAAAACCATGAAGCATTTTTATTACTTATTTACTATTTTTTAAAATTTTACTTATTTCAGAGATTGAGCACCAGCTGGGGTGGGGAGGGCACGGGGAGGAGAAGAAAGAGGGGGAGTAGAGGGGGAGAGGGGCAGAGGGAGAAGCAGACTACTCCGTGCCAGGCAGGGAGCCGGAGGTAGGGGTCTATCCCAAGACACCAGGATCATGACAGGAGCTGAAGGAAGATGCTTAATCAGCTGAGCCACTGAGAGGCCCCTCATTTCAATCACTATATTGTACACCCCAAATCAGTAACACTAAGTTAATTATACCAAATTTTAAGTTAATAAAAATTTTAAAATTTCAAAGGGGAAAAAAAAAAAAAAAACCTAAGAGGACCATAGACTACTTTATCACATTCTTTCCTGAGCAAAGGGCAGGTGCCATTTGGGAAACTGGCAAATCGCTAGGTTGAAAACGATCACCGAAGACAGAAATACAAGAGGCTCCATTCAGGGGGCACCTTGGTGGCTCAGTGGGTTAAAGCCTCTGCCTTCGGCTCAGGTCATGATCCCAGGGTCCTAGGATCGAGCCCCACATCGGGCTCCCTGCTCAGGGGGGAGCCTGCTTCCCTTCCTCTTGCTCTACCTGCCCCTTTGTCTACTTGTGATCTCTGTCAAATAAATAAACAAAATTTAAAAACAAAACAAAACAAAGGCTCCATTCAGAAAAATGGAGAAGAAAGGAATGAAGTCTGGATAGTGGCTTTTTTTAAAGGCAGGGGAAGGGGAAGAGAGAGAAGAGTGCAGAGTGGAAAGAGAATCTTCAGCAGGCTCCATGCCTGCCAGAGCGACTCAATCTCATAACCCTGAGGTCAGGACCTAAGCCAAAAATCAAGTCTGACATTTAACCCACTGAGCCACCAAGGTGCCCTGAGATAGTGGCATTTAAGTGTAGCCAGGAGAGGTGTGGCCATGTCTTTACTCAACTGGGGGAATCTGGGCCTCTTGATGCTAAAGGAATATTCCTTAGTCAATGCTTTTGAGTCAAAATGAGAATAAAAACTATGAGCTCCTTCCAATCAATTTCCTCTTACTACAGAGGGCCCTTAGGGATCAAATGCCTTAAAAAGGGCCCAGGTCTGGATGATTGAAGAACAGCACACAGGCCAAGAAGAACGCAGGAGTTAATGCTAACAGCTTGAACTGTTCATAGAAGGTCAAGTTTCTCCTCCACAAACGGGGCCAATTTCCTCACAACAGGGGATGCCAACTGCCAACAGGAGCTAAATTTCCTGTCTTCCTTAGTTTTGTTTTTTGAAGATTTTTATTTATTTATTATTTGACAGAGAGACAGCAAGAGAGGGAACACAAGGAAGGGGAAAGAGAGAGAGGGAGAAGCAGGCTTCCTGCTGAGTAGGGAGCCAATAGTGGGATTCAATCCCAGGACCCTGGGATCACCACTGGAGCCTAAGGCAGACACCTAACGATTGAGCCACCCAGGTGCTGCCCCCTCCCTTAGTTCTTAACAGCTGGTTCCAATACTTTGGCCAAATTCATTCTGAACTTGGGTCACTGCAGTCCTTGATTCAAGTCCAGGAAGGAAGGGAGGAAAAGACCAGAAGTCTAGCTAAGAAACCAAGAGGCATGCTCTCCTCATACTGAAGGGTGGGTGGGCTTCCCTTGATCACTGACAGGGCTCAGGAGCTGCAGGGCAGAAATCAACGACCTACAGCTGAAAGCCCAGGCACCTGGTTATCACTCAGTGAGGGGCTGGGTGCAAAGGGCTGGAAGTAAAGGAAACTTGAGTCAACACCACCACTGGGTGCCTGCGCACACTCTCCAACACTTCTGGCCCCCGCTCTTCCTAAGAAGTGTGGGGGGCTGGGCAGGGGGATGCCTTTTCACTTGTTACGGTTTTACGCTGGTGCTCTCCACCCTGTAGCGCGGTGGGGTCCGTCTCTCCAAACGTTAACAGGCAGAGGAGAAAGAACCCACCTGGCCCAGGGCCACCCCACTGCTGACTTTACCTGTTTGGCGATCTCTATGTGAGCGAAGCGTCCAGCCCTAACGTGGGCGCATCCTAAAACCCCTAAGACCGGCAAGGGTAAGGCCAAAGTGTGCCAACCAGGTCGTGCGCAGCTGCTTTAGAATGGGTTAATAGAGAGCGGTCTAGCGAGGGCGGTTTCTGCCAGTCTGACCATCAGGAGAGAAAGCCAGACTTAACACTGGAAATCCTCGTCTTGCTCAAAAGAACGCCTCACCCGGCTGACCCCGCGAGCCTCCTCCCCCGGCCGGGCCGTTCGAGCGCACCCCCGGCTGCCCACCCGACCCCGCTCCCCGCGTCCCCCCGCGCTCACCCAGCCGCCGTGCGCCTCCAGCCAGGCGCGGTGCTGCCCTGTGAGCCGACGGCAGAGGAAGTCCACCAGGCGCCGGCAGTCCTGGCGAACGCTGGCCTCCCACTCCCCCAGCTCCAGTTCCTGGTCCGGCCCCAAGTTCGAGCAGGCCCCCGACGGCGGGCGCTCCAGCAGCGTTCCCGCGAAGGTCAAGAGCGCCACCACACGGCCCCAGCTTAGTGCTTGGGGGTGGGCGAGTATCTCCCGCTCCACCTGAGCCACCAGCTCGACGCGGTTGCCGCGGTAGCCGCGGTAATCCGACAAGAAGCGCTCGTGACGCTGCCGCACGTCGGCGGCCACCGAGCGCAGCACCGCGGCCTCGCGCGTAGACGGCGACCGCGCGGGGATGCCAGGGCCGCGGGCGCAGTACTCCAGGTAGTCGGTCAGCAGCTGCGCCGTGCGCTCCCTCAACGCGTCCGCCATGGCCCGACGTCTCCCGGCGCCGCCCGACCCGACCCGGTTTTCTAGGTCCCGCTGCGCCTCCGCCCAGGGAGGGGCCGCCACACCCCTCCCCGGTTGGGCCCCGCAGTTGTTTTTCTAGGTCGGGAGAAGAGCCTCTGATGGGAATCCCATCCGCACCTGTTCCAGCCCCAAAGGCCAGGCCCCGTGGTGTGCACGCGCTCACAGGGCGATAAGAGACTGAATGACGCTTCTTTTTTTGGGGGGGGGGGGGGTGATTATTGTTTAGCTCTGGGGTCGGGGACTAAGAACCCGGAGGGGACAGTCTGGGAAGTTGAGCCAGACTTTTGCCTCCTCTTAAGAAGAGGTTGACAAAGGCTACCCACAGCCCTCCACTGACGACTCCATTGCGAGGATCATCATCTCCAGATTGGACGGAAGCCGCAGGTGTGTGTGCTGGAGATACCTGCCTGTGGATCTGGCATATGCGGCAGGAAACAGGATACTGCTGCAGGCTCCTGGAGTGCCAGTACTGGCTGTATCCATTCATTCACTGGTATTTATTCAGAGCCTGTTAGCGCTGGAATGTAATGCTGAACAAGGTGTGTGGCCCCTGCTCTCAAGAACCCTACAGTCTGGTGCTGAAACAAAGTAACAGCCCCCCACCGCAGAGTTTAATTATCACTATCGCCGGAATAGCTGAGTACCCAGCTCCAGGATAGTGGTTGCTTCCAGTAGCTACCATTTCTATATTGCTTAGAATTCTCTTTATTTTTTACTGGCAAATTCCTCAGTATTCCAAGGCTCTGTTACAGTTAGCATTTCTTTTTTTTTTCCTTCTTTTTCTTTTCTTTCTTTTTTTTTTTTAATAGATTTTATTTACTTGACAGAGAGAGAGAGAGAGATCACAAGTAGGGAGAGCGGCAGGCAGAGAGAGAGGGGGAAGCAGGCTCCCCGAGGAGCAGAGAACCCGATGCGGGGCTCGATCCGAGGACCCTGAGATCAGGGCCCGAGCTGAAGGCAGAGGCTTAACCCACTGAGCCACCCAGGTGCCCCTATAGTTAGCATTTCTTACATTAACCTTTCTCTGTTCATGATACTCTATGGCTTCTTTCTCCTGATTGGTCCCAGACTGACACAGGATTGGTATTATCAGTAAAAATTCTGTGGGTGCAGTGGTCTGGATTATGTTGCAATATCCCACTCAGGGTGAAAGAGGAGTTGATGCCCCTTGTTTCACACAAGAAAGAGGAGGCAAGACATTTGGGAGGTCCTTTTGGATTTGGGTGGCAACATACACCATGTATGAGTGTGTGAATTTGACCCATCCTCAGGCTGGTGGATTGGGAGGAACAAGAGAAGATTCTGTAGTACATTTAGGCTGTACTACAAGCTGCTCTACCACCTGGGTCTTATGCTCCACCAGATCCAATGATATGTGATGTGCCAAAGAGGGATCCTGGATGGACACTCCAGCAAATGCCAATAGGAGAATTACAGCACAGACCTCTAGGTTTTCAAAGCAAATCTGTGTTCTTCTCTGCACATAGCTATTCTCCTTTCAAAAAGCAGGTTCTGACTTGCTACTCGACCTTGGTAGAGCCTGAATGGCTAACCACGTGCTATCAGGTGACCATGTAGCTTGAGCTCTCATCGTGTGGATGTTGTCCGACCTACCTAGACATAAGGTTGGGCACGCACAGCAGCAATCTGTGCATCTCTCTGTATACACGACTGAACTCAGGCAGGTCCATTAGGTACAAGTAAATTGCATGAGTAGGTGGCTCCGAATCCTGCGACACCAATTCTTACTGCTTTGCCTCCTCCCTCATTCCATGCCTATGGCCTCCAAGGAATTGCTTATGATCAGTTGACTGAGCGAGAAAAACTCAAGCCTGGATTACAGATGGGTCCACATGATGTGTGTTACCACATGCAAGTGGACAGGGGGAGAAGCACAGCCCCACTCAGGGGGGGCTGTGAAGACACTGGTAAAGGAAAATCTTCCCAGTGGGCAGGGATTCCAGCCAGGTATTTAGCTGTCCACTATGTCTGGAGGGACAGATGGCCATAGTACCCACCTACACTGGTTCTTGGGCAGTTGCTGATGGTTTGGCTGGATGGTCAGGGCCTTGAGAAGACGAGGCCTGGAAGATTGGTGCTAAGGAAATCTTGGAAAGAGTTATTGTCTGGATGCCTCTGAATGGGTACAGACTGAAAATATTCATGTCCCATGTGACTATCAGGAGCAGACTCTTAATAAACAGACAAACTTCTGTGCTCTGTGGATGTCAGAGAGCTTCTTTACCCAGCTAGCTTGGTGCTGATTCTGTGAGTCTGCGAGCAAAGAGGCCACGGCAGCAAGGCGTGTGTATGGCAACAATGGGATTCTCCCTACAAAGGTTGAGCTGGCCATTGGTACTGGTGGGTGCCTGGTCTGCCACATCAGGGGTTCGTGTATAGTGAGCCAAATGAATTTCCTCAGAAGGGATTATAAATCTCTGTGCATCAAGCTCCCATTTGAACTCTTTTTGACATCTTATGGGTTCCTTGTGGAGTTGAGTGTTTTTCTATGTGGTCATATTTTATTTGCCAGGGACTCATGATTTTACCTGATTAAATATAATATAATGTTATATTTTAGCAACAAGCACAGTTTTTTCTTAGATTTGGAGTAGTTTGGTGGTGAGTGGTGATTCCTCTGGCCTGGCCATTGGCTAACTCCTAATAATTATCAGGTGAACCAAACAGCAAGTGAACAAATGAGCCTCTACACAGAATTTCTGATCCACACCATGCAAGGAAGCAGTTTGCAGTCAGATTTGGTTAAAATCCTTGCTCTGCCACTAAGGAGCTGTGCAACCATGAGCAAATTATCCAGCTCTTCTAGCTTCAATTTCCCTAAAAAATGGAGGTAATAATTGCACCATCCAGCTGTTACAAGTATTATGTGACTTGGTGTATGCAAGGTGCTTTGCACAGTGCTTGGTACATAGGGCAAGTTCTTTACAGAGAAATTTTTTATTATAGGTATGAACTAACCAGGGTTACTATGCTCACTTGTCCCACTTTTAACCAAAAATCAAAATGTCACATTTTGGTAAGCCTTACCTATCTGGTTTCTTGGTTTTGTTTTTTTTTAATACTGAAAATACCTACGGAGTACCTACTATTTTTCCATATATCTATAGATTCAGCAGCTTTATTTTGATAAATGTGCAGCCATCACCACTAATTCCATGACCTCAAAGGAAATCCTGTACCCATTGGCAGTCCCTCCCCATTCATCCCATCTGAGTCCCAAGCAACCACCAAATTACTTTCTGTCTCTGTGGATTTGCCTGTTCCGACTATTTCATGTGAACAGAATCACACACTGTGTAGTCCATTGTGTCTGGCTTTTTTCACTCAGCACAATTTTATCAAGGTTCATCCACGTTGTGGCATGAACCAGGACTTCATTCCCCTTTCACTGCCAAATATCCCGTTGCCTGATACCCCACGCTTCGCTCATCCGTTCATCGGTTGTTGAACATTTGAGATGTTCCACTTTGGGCTACTGTGCACATTTGTGTTCAAGTTTCTGTGTGGGCATGTTTTCATTTTTCTTGGGTTACAGACCGAGGGGTGAAGCCACCTATTATTGGGGAGCACAGATAGGTTAACCTGTGCTTCGTGGTTTCTGGTTTACAATAAGGCCAAGTGTTCACCAGTGGTGTATAGGTTAGATAAGCTTAGGTTCGAAGATGGGCGTTTTCTGTTGTCACAATCTTTGTGTAAATGCTCGCACCATCCTTACCTTTAGCTCTTCATAGTTATTTTTGAGCCATGAACAGAGCATCATTCCTGATCCCATCCCCTCATGAGAGGGTCAGCATCCTTTCTACAATGACACAAACATACTCACTTCATTTTTTGGTCACCAGAAATGGGGGTCAGCCCACAGTGGAGACGGACCAGTCCCGAAGGCCAGCCTAGCTCCAGCCACATCCCATCTAGAGAACAATGGGTCTGTGGTATGCCTTGAAGAGTGGCCCGATTCTCTATCACAGGTGAGACGGCGAGTGGTTTAGCCTCATGTTCTTGCAAAGGATCCAGAGGGACAAAAAGATTAACTGAGTGCTTTCCCCCACATTGCCTCCTCAGAGTTCCTGGCCCACCTCAGTTCTGCCAGTCCAGATCTCCAGGAACTGTATATTTTTAGGACCTTTTTTTTTTTTTTTTAAAGATTCTATTTATTTATTTGACAGACAGAGATCACAAGTAGGCAGAGAGGCAGGCAGAGAGAGGGGAGGAAACAGGCACCCCTCGGAGCTGAGAGCCCGATGCGGGGCTCCATGCCAGGACCCTGGGATCATGACCTGAGCTGAAGGCAGAGGCTTTCACCCACTGAGCCACCCAGGTTCCCCTGTATTATTTAAAAAAAAAAAAAAAATTTATGTAAGAGAGAGAGAAAGAGAGAACAAGCTGGGGGAGGGGCAGAGAGAGAAGGGGAGACAAGCAGACTTCCCACTGAGCAGGAAGCCCGTTGCTGTGATGCTCAATCCCAGGACCCTAAGATTGTGACCAAGCATCAGACACTTAACCAACTGAGCTACCCAGGTGCCCCCAGGACCTGTATTTTTAACCTGCTGTTGACCCGAGCAGTTTTCTCAGCAGGCAAATTTGGGAGATGCAGATCTACAAATTCTTGCTCAGCCAGCTCTCTGGGGCTCAGAGGAAGCCAGTAGACAGCAATAGGGCCCCGACTCCAACCCTGGTTAATCTAACCTATCTGCTGGGCTTACCCCCAGGATCCCAACTGCCCTCCTCGGAAAAGCTTTTCAGCAGTCCAAAGACCTCAGTTGGTCTCTAGCCTTTCCCACTGCCTCTATGTGTCCCCTGGGAACCTCCTCTGAGGGCCTCTCCTCCAGCCCCTCTCCTCAGTGACCCTCATCCTTATCCCCCTTTTTTCCAAGCTCCTGTAAGGGTATTCTCACTCAGTGGGGCTTGAGAAGGGCTCATTAGCCCATCAGCTGTTTCAAAGTAGAGTTCCAACCCTAAGACCCTTTCGGGGGGGGTCCCCAAGATCAAAATTATTTTAAATATGTAATAATACTCACCCTTTCTCTATATGTGTGTCCTTTAAGACTCTCACTCTCTGGGGAGTTATCCAGAAGCTCCTGCTATGTGGGGAAAGCATCACCAGTGGGATGTGTGCTTCTGTATTCTTGTGTTTTACTGTTTTCCTTAGCTTTAATGTCTAATATGATAAATATTGATAGATATAATCCACATAACCAAAAAGCTCAGTAATTTTTAGGAGTGTAGAGGTATAATTAAGACCAAACACTGGAGAACCAGGGGCCCAGATGAACCTCTAATTGGCGACAGTGACTAAGTGACTAATTGGAGACATGTGTGGGGGCTGCTTAAGGAGCGGGAGGAAATGAGGGAGGGCTGAGGGGAAGAAAGAGCACAGGAAGGGGAACCAGGAGGATGGGAGGAGATGGGGGTAGGCGTGGGACGAGAAAGAGCAAGAAGGGAGGAGGGGGAAATAGGAAGGGGAGGAATGGAGGAAGCAGGGAGCCAACCCTTGTTGAAAACAAGCCAAAGACTGAGGACGGCGCTTTATGTATTTCAGTGCCGTCCCTCCACACGCCAGCGAGCTGAGGCTGAGAGGGCTTCAGATATCACGTAGGCTAGAACTTGGTAGAGCTGGGTCTGACCGAGGTGCACATCGTTTGGGCCCACGCTGTCCCCCTCTAACTTGCAGCAGAGTATGGGTATCATCACTGCCCCCTGCTTGCTAGCTGGCCAAGCAGCCATGAGAGTCTGAGATACAAACACCTTTATGACCTTTCGCTGCCTTTATGATGGAGGGAAGGTGTAGAGGAGGTCAAAGGGTGGAAGAGGGAAGTGGGTATGGGGTGCCTGCCTCTGGCTCATTGCAGGGTACGGCCGGCCGCCCACTCCAAAGCAGCTGCCTTGATTTTGATTCACAGGCATTTCCCATAAATGACCATCACTGCAGCCTGCCTACGCCTGGTCTTCTCTGGCTGTGCACACCTGAGAGCGCGTCTGTGTGGACCCTCCACCATAGCTGGTTTGGTAGGTTTGCCCCCAAGTCCTCTAAAAAAAAGAAAACTGACTACAAAACTCCACTCAGCATTATTTTCAATATGCAAAATAAAATTTATTACCTGGAGTTACCCTTGGAGTCTCCACATGGTGTGGCATATTACAAACCAAGTGTTTCATGGATAAATACTAAACAACACCCACTGTGAAATCAAATGCTTCCAGGGGAGGTGGCTTACTGCCCGTGGGGATAATTGAGTGTTCTAGGGAATACTTCACAGGTTTTTTTTTTTTTTTCCCCTGTAGCTTTTTTGATTGGAAAGTTATGGACCGTTTTTGCACATACACTGAAGATGCTCTCTGCCTCTCCAAACATCTAACCTTGAATTTGCTTCCCTTTAGTCTTGGTGACTTTTCTTCTGTCCTGTCCTCCTTCACTACTGGAAGGTCCAGATCAGAGTGCAGAGACATTAAAGGGTCTGTAGGGGAGAGGAAGACCGGGAGCAAACTCTGGGACCTCTTGGGAGTGGAGCTGGGGAATGCCGTGAGAGGCACCCTGGGACCTGATTCTTTCAGCAGCTGGCTGGAGTTGGGGAGATCATGTACCCATTTCCTCGAGCCCCTGCCCAGCCTGGAATCCACTGGGGAAGAGGAGAGGAGTGGCTGAAAAATGGGCCATTTGGACCAACTTCCTCCTTCCCTCTGGGCTCTCTGGAGTTAAGCAGGGGCCTTGTACATTTCTTTCTCTATCCCAGGGCGCGCTGTGTAGTAAAACCCTCAGTAAAACGTTTGCTTGGACTGGATCTAATCACCATATTTACTTAAAAGAACTGATGGAAAAGCTAGCCTGTTTTTTTGTGTTTTTTTGAGGGACTTGCCCACTAGGATACCTGCACAAGTCGTTCTGAGGGTGGGCCAGGGAACGCGTCCTGATGTTTGCAGGCCAGCCAGGTCCAGACCTGTCTGCTGACCAGACCCTGCGGCAGCTCTGGATGGTCTCTCTGAGCAGCAGGGCCTGGAGCTGGGCCCACAGGGCCAGAACCATGACTAGGAGTGGGGGCAGGCTGGAGCAGGGCCCAGAGAGGAGACTGGATGACCCAGGGTTTATGGGCACCACAGGAGCCCAGAACACCCACAGGGCAGGCCTCAACCAGGGAAGACTTCCAGTGTGTGAGCTGACCTGCTATTTCTCCAAGGAAAGCATGCTATCTTAATGAACAAGGAGTTTTCTAAAACAAAGAATAAGCCTCAATGCCTTAAAGACAAGGAAAAGAAGGGATCTTAAAACAAAAACACTTGATGTCTTCCAGAAGGAAATGCTGATTTTCAAGTAAAGACAAGTAGTTTGTGTGTTATTTTTTTCTCCATAGAAGAGAAGCAAAGACATTATCGCCTGGGACCTATCAACTAATTCATGTAATTACATTTTCAATGCAATAAATATGAATATACTTCATATGGATAGGATCTACTATGACACCTGTAGTATCCTGAGTAGATACTACTAATTCTAATACATCTAATACTATGAACAGGTTTTTAAATAAGTGTACTGTCTGTGTTCCCACACAGAAAGGTTTTGCTCTGAGGAGCCTTTGTGTCACAAACAGCATTCAGCTTTTCCCTCAAATGACAGGAAATATCCCATCCAAGGGAGCCGTCACATCATCACAGAAGTCCTAAAGCAAACATCCCGTCCACTCTATGTGCATCTCTCCTCTATTTGTGACAGTTCACACAGAGGGAAATATTTGACCTGAAAAAAGACAATGCGAGACTGAAAAAGAGACTTTTACAATAAAAACGTATTTTCAAAAGGGATTGTGTCTGATTACGTTCAGAATTTGAATTTTCTTCTATCACAGACCCCTCAACACTGTCTGCCTCGTGCGGTCTGTTAAGGTCAGCACTTCTAGAGGAAAGTTCCAAAAGGCACAGGGCACCCTGAGAAGAATCAGATTTTAGAGTGCTCTGAAAACAAATGTGGTTCAAGGAAGTACTAGGGGATTTATTAAATGCTGAATCCGTGTGGTAATAGAACGCGTGGAGACCATATGATTAGAATAACCTTAAAAATGGATACATTTTAAAAAGTGTTCAAAATGCAAAACACTGGACTTGAAGGTGTTCTAGTGCTGAAGGCCCACACCAGATCTTTCCAGGGGTGGTTGTTTTAAAAGTAATATCGGTCTGGGCTCCTTTAAGCTACATCGCAATAACCCTCAGGTCCTCTAGAAGAAGATCTATTTCCATTTGGCGGTTTCAAATTCTACCCTCAGGTGCGTATGTGTGCATTGTGAGGAGACGATTAGGCCCAGACCTGCAAAGCCACAAAGAGATAATTGTTAGTCCCTTTAGTTAAGGACTTGTGAAACTTGAGTTTAAAAAGATAAAATCAAGGTCAGTCTCACACACACACCCCAAAATGAAGCACACACATTTCTTGGATGGTAACACCTTACTCCTGGCTACTCAAAGGTGCCTCTTCGGCCCTGCCTCTTCCCCTAGCTCTGCTCAGTCATCCAAGGGGTATCTGCGGGGGACACTTAGGCTGAGTACCAAAACCATCTGTACTCACACACGTCCTTGAGTCATTCACATGACTTTACTAATTCAGGAAACTCTTGCCCTGGAAGAGGAGCTCACAGATAACTTTGTTGTTTATTTCAGAACCTCACAGAAATCTTTGGTTTATCCCAAGATTAAACCACTCAACTACTCTCTTTAGAAAAGACACTCACTTCTCAGGCAGACACAGAGCATCACAAATGATGGTTACTTTTCAAGACTGTCTTCAAATTCCTCTCCCTCCCCAACTATGTGTCCAGCAATCTTTTTTTTTTTTTTAAGATTTTATTTATTTGAGAGAGAGAGAGAGAGAGAGAGAGAGAGCATGAAAGGAGAGAGGTCAGCGGGAGAGGCAGACTCCCTGCCAAGCAGGCAGCCCGATGTGGGACTTGATCCTCGGACTCCAGGATCATGGCCTGAGCCAAAGGCAGTCACTCAACCAACTGAGCCACCCAGGCGTCCCTGTGTCCAAGCAATCTGAAAACTACTGTGCCACAAATTTGTCTAAACCTAATTCAATCCATCCAACTGGTTAAATCAGACCCCCTCCCCAAACCTCATAAACATCTCTCTCTCTTTTCCCCTTCTGAGATGCCACTAAGACTGTCAAGTTTGTGCTCTGTCCCTAGTGAGGTAAGAAATACACTTAGCTTTGCTTTATGAACAGGCATTTTGGAGGTATTTCTGGGAAGCCAACAGCCAACAAGTTCATTGAGCTCTTTTGAGAATCTGATGAAAGCCATGAGGGCACTTTCTCCAGAAAAATGGATACAGGACATGTGAGTGACCTATAATTTCAGGGGCTTCATGGGTTCCCTAAAGCCCCTCTGTGGGTCTCACAAAAGTATGTCACCATGGAATAGAAATGTCCCACTACTGGGAGTGAGACGGGCACCCTATGGTTTGCCAAAACCTACAGTCAGCAGAATCCTACTTTCAGGATCAAAGGGGGCTGTTTGGATCACCTGGCCCCATTATTACCTCAATTACATGCTGATACATGGTTGTTTCAACCTATGCTCCAATACCTGCACTGATGGGGCACTCATGACCTCTCTGGGGCAACACACCCCGTCTATGGCCACGGACAGAGCTGAAATTAGAGCTCTGTCTGGCTGATGTCACCCAGGCTGACTCTGAGCCTCCGCATTAAGGAAGGCCAATCACTCCTCTCACACACAGAGTAAAATAACAGAATTTCTCTTACTCTTAGGGTATGATCCCATGATCCTGAGCAAAAAGCAGTCCCATCAGGGGAGACTCGGAGAGTACTAACGCGGTTTTCATGTCCGAACAGGATGGAGACTCGGGACCCCTTCAGAACATCCCAGACATTGATGGTGTAATCATTGTATCCAGCAAACAGCAGGCGCCCTCAAAGCAGGAGGACAAGATGGTTACCGAACCCGTTCTTCCCATCCATTTTTCTTTTTGTGACGTTCACTCACACAATCGGCAGTCGCTTGCTCATTCATTCATTCACTCATTCAGCCCACTGTGATTTAGTGCCCCCTATGTGCCAGGCACTGTGCTTTGCCCTGGGGCTTCAGAGAAGAGAGCCGAGTTGCTGCCCCTCGAGGAGGGTGCTGGTGGGCAGGCAGGCAGATACGTGAAGGGACACACGGTAGCCCGTGGAAGAGGGATGTGTGTAAAATGCTATGAGATCATGGAGGAAGGAGGATCGAGGAGGGCACTGCACAAAACTGATAGGAGTTGGCTCTTGGGGGCTGAGGCAGAGAAGGGAGGCAAGAGATGCTGTAGGCAGCGGTAGCAGCATGCAGGCAGAAAAGCACAGATTTAGACTGGGGGGCTGTGTCTGGGGAAACTTGTCCTGTCAGAGCAGTCTTAACGTTTATTAGCAGCCTCCCCAGCAGTGAGGGCAGAGGGGCCATGAGCTTCTAGGCATTAAGAAAGGGTCTCTTGCTCCCCTCCTCTGGAAAAGTCCCTTTTCAGGGATGAAGGGGAGGCCAGCAGGCTGAGGAGGAAAGCCTGTGAAGGGCCCCGCAGACGTGAAGCTGTGCGCATCACTGAGGAACAGCAGTAGGTGGCATGGCCTTCATTTCCCATAAAATGAAGGGGGTGGGGAGGCTGCTTCGGGTGGGGTGACATGGGGCAAGGGATCATGGAGGAAAACCAGGGCAGACTCGGACTGCTTAACCTGCTGGCTCATGCGGAGTTCAGCTGAGGGAAAGCTTGATCAAGAGCTGGGTTTCGTTTAAGTCCCGGCGTAAGGTCCAGGGAGAGTTTCTGAAAGAAAATCTTACCACTGAGGGAGAAGTCCACACTGGATGCTCCAAATATGATACTGTCTTTGGAGTAGACGGCGACTTCCCTGTCTGCCCGGAGGTCGTAGAGGCGACACTGGGGTGACAAAGAAGACAAAGAAGCACTTATTTCTTCTTCTTTTTTTTTTTTTAATTTATTTATTTGACAGACATCACAAGTAGGCAGAGAGGAAGGCACAGAGAGAGGGGGAAGCAGGCTTCCCACTGAGCACAGAGCCCAATGCGGGGCTGGATCCCAGGACCCTGAGATCATGACCCGAGGCGAAGGCAGAGGATTAACTCACTGAGCCACACAGGCGCCCCAAGAAGCACTTATTTCTGGCTCTGGGTTGAGGAAGAGAGGAGCACGGGGATATTGGCAGGAGCTGCTGGCTTGTGAAGTTTGGGGGATGAGGGAAATACCTCAAGTTTTGTTTAGAGGTAAACAAATCAGTGGAGATTCAAAGAAACAGCAAATACAGAAGATTTTGGGGGGATACAAAACCAAAAATGAAACCCCTCTTTCTCTTCTGAGAAAGGATACACATTCATTGTAGAAAATACAGAAAAACTCAGAAATGCCCAAAGAAGGAAACAAAAATCACCCTAAATCCTAGTACTGAATAACATCTAGGCTATTTCCTTCAGTTTTACTTCCATTTTATGTTTGTCTTTACATGCAGTGGATATTTCACGAAGACTTCTATTAACATCAGGTTATGAGCATTAAATAATCTTCAGAAACACATGACTACCATGGTTGTTGAATATTCCGTATGCAGATATATTAAATCTGTTTAGCCATAACCTCTTAAGAGTTTTTGCTTGTGTCTAATTTTTCTCCTTTACAAATAAAATTTTGATGACTGTTCTTACATAAATTTTGATGACTGTTCTTACATATCTCTGATGTTTTCTTCAGAATAGTTAAGGAACAGAATCCCTCAGAATAAAATTGTTTTAAGAAACAGTATGACTGGGGGAACCTGGGTGGCTCAGTGGGTTAAAGCCTCTGCCTTTGGCTCAGGTCATGATCTCAGGGTCCTGGGATCCAGCCCCGATTCATTCATTCGTGCTCTCCGCTCAGTGGGAAGCCTGCTTCCCCCTCTCTCTCTCTGCCTGATTCTCTGCCTACTTGTGATCTCTGTCAAATAAATAAATAAAATCTTAAAAAAAAAAAAAAAAAGAAATAGTATGACCAGATCAAAGGGGAGGTATATTTTGAAAGCTCTTGGATCATATGGCCAGACTGTTTTTCAGAAGGATGGAACCAAGAGGCCTAACTCTTTAACCACATCATGTCCACAATGTAGCATTTCACGTCTAATCCAAATGAGCATGGATCCCTCCCTTACGCTTGCAGTTATTGGATTACAGGTAGTCTGAAAATGTTTTCAGGAGTTTATTTGCCATTTTGGATTTCCTACTTTGTAAACAGTCTAGATTTTATCAAACTCTTTCAAAAAATTGGGGTGTGTATCTTAGTGATGATGCAACCTCATTCATATCTAAAGGATTTCAATTTGGTCTGTCATATAGATGGCAAGAACTTTTCATAGATGTATGGTCTTATATTTTGTTATACGTTCTTTGGCAGATGGAAGTTTTACATTTTCATTTTCAAAAAGATCTTATTAATTTGGTATTTATTTATCTTCTCTCTGGCAAACCCTGAACCAACCACTTTCCCCAGGCTGCCTGAGGAGGTATAGGAAAAGGAACATATAGGGCATGGGAGAAATAATAACACATGGGAGAAATAATAAGTATCAAAAATATTTACTTATAGCAGTATTTCTTAAACAGGAAAAAAACCCCTGAATCTAAACTTTCAAAAATTAACTAGTTAAGTACATACTAGCCCGTCTATAACATGGAATACTATTCAATTGCTAAGAAAATATAATGTAGATTGGCTACATTGGCATGGGAAAATGTTTACAGTCTATTGCTAAGTGAAAACAAATTATAAAGCATTTTGTTTTAAAATAAAAAAGAGAGGAATTCACCCAGCTGTGACTTTACTTGGGTTGGGAGATTAAGATATTTAATCCCTTACCCAAGTTTTCCTCAATGAATTCACTTTATTATGGTAATCAGAAAAACATTAATTTTGAAAAATAAAATTAAATCACTGCATTTCTCTTTCAAATAGGAAAAGTTCTCATAATTTAGAAGCATACCGTAGCATCATCTGATCCTGAAGCAAAGGCATCTCCACTTGGGTAGTACCTGAAGAGAGACAGTTTGGATAGAAAGCACTTTATTTGGGGTGGTGATTCTCAATCCTGGATGCCTGTCAGAATCATCTGGAAATCACTGGGAAAGTAGTCCCATGCTGGGCCTGTGGAATCAGAGTTGGCATCTCCACTGCGACATATGAACCACTCATTATAGAGGTCAGAAGGGGAGGCTGATCTGGCTGGCCCACTGGCCTCTACTTTTCTTTCCTGTAAGTAGGGGACAGTGACAATGGCTTTGCAGAGTTTTGGTGAGGAGTAACTGAGATAATGTGTGTATTTGCACCAGGCACTGAACACAGAGCAGGCTGCCTGTAACCATAGTTTCCACTGATCTGGGACTTGGCTCAGCTCTGGGATAAGAAGTTATTATCTGCATAAGACACTGGGATTGCAAAGACAAAGCCTCAGGCAGATCTCTGCATGGACCACTGCCTCCATGTGAGACTTCTGGCAAAGGACTTCACCTTGCCCAGCCTCAGTTTCCTTATTTGAAAAGTGAGGATGATAATGCATTTTCCCTTTTGTAAAGACTGAATAAGATAATATGGGCAAAGAACTTGGCATGGCCAGATGGAAAGCATTCAGCAAATGATACTTATTACCGTTACGTTCATTCTCTTCTCGGCTATCAGGCTTCAGAGGGAGAGAGGAATCTACACTGAGACCTAACGGATGTTGGAGGAAGGGTAAGGGGAACAGCACAGGTGAGAGAATGTGCATTTTAAGGAGTGAGTATATAGAGGTTTAATTTATTTTTGTGGCTTTATATTCTATCCAGCATCTTACCAACTTCACTTAATATTTGTATTAATTTCCTTTGATTTTTCTAGGTAATTATTGCACATTTGTCAAAAGCTACAGTCTTTTTCCTTTTTCACTATCCTACAAGTGAGGGCAAGGACCTAGAAATTCTTACTAACATTTCTACTGCTCATGTAAATAAGCACTGCTACCTTATTCTTCCTTTTAAGGGGAACAGGTCTACTGTCTTTCCCACTTAGTGAAGATTCTTGGATGATTATATTTCAAATACTGTCTTAACGATGCCATCTTCCAAATTTACATGTCAAGTCCTTGCCTCTCTCTTAGGAACCAGTTCATAGATCCTGCTACCTACTCAACATTTCTACTTGTGTATATAATACGCATCTCAAATGTAACTATCCCAAAACAGAGCTCTGGAATGCATGTACAACAACTGCCTCCTACCTCTGATTCCTCCAGCCTTCTCTGTCTTAGTAAATGGATCCCTGCTTACTGCCCCTTATAAAAGCTTTGGGTTCCCAAGCTCAGGATTCTTCTTTTGTAATGGAACCTCTCCATTTCACCCTGTGGAATTGGGGCTCAGGCAACCAGCACAAAAATGCTGATACTCTGGCTGCTGCCATTGCTAGGAGTAATAAACTGTCCTTCATCTTGAACCCAGGAGTCTCGTGTCTTCTACCAGCAGCTATGAAACTGTGGCAGTCTAACTTGATAGCTTGTAGCTAGGGTAAAATCTCAGAATCCTCACAATTCTGGACATTTCTGTCTCCATGCTGTCTTTAGTTCCAGCCACTGTCACCTTTTTCTTGGACTCATGCAACTTTCTAATTGGCCATCATACTTCCATTCTTGCTTCCCCACAATCTGTTCTCCAAACAGCAGCCAGAGTGATCTCTCATGGGCAAAACACAGACCATGTCAACCACCCCCCAAACTGGCCTTTGGTTAGGTCCCTCCACATCTCATCTTAACCCAGCTCTCTGCAAGCCTGGCTCTTTCAAACATTGTTTTCTCAGAGAGGACTTCCCTGGCCATCCTAAGCAATAACCCACCCCATCCCATCTGCCTATTTTACTTTGCACATAGCACCATCTTAAATTAAATTATACATTTATTTGTTTGTGCTTTGTCTTATCTCCTGTAAGAAAGTAGAGACCTTGTCTATCTTGTTCACAAAGTTCCTGGAACAATGTCTACCATATAAGTCTCAATAAATATTTGCTGAATAAATGAATGAGAAATACCGACTCTGCTTAGGGAGGATAATAACAATTACTCTAAGTGCCACTGAATTAAGTATCTCCAAGAGATCTGCAGCGCTGTTCAGGGTTACCACAAATCAGCCTTTCTTGCTGGAGGGACCTGTCTCAGCCAAGTGAAATGAGCCTGGAGGTGGTTCCTGGGCTGAGCATTATTACCCCACGCCAGGGATTGCCAGCAGAACAGGGAAGTTACGTGAACATTCTACTCACTAACCGGACACTGTTGATGTCAGATTCGTGTGTTTCAAAGGCCTGCACGCACTGGCCGGAGCGCATGTCCCACACCATGGCTTTCTTGTCACATCCCTACAAATGCAAAGTTACCCAGAGTTATGCTCACTGCAAGGCCTGTCTGCAGTCGAGCATGAGCTCTCATTACGTAACAGAGCCATTTACCTCCCATGGGTAAATGGCTCAACATGCTTTTCTGAGACTAGCATCACCTAAGGCTGCTTTCTTCAACCAATAAGCCCTGAGAAGGTGAGATTGTCTTGGGGTGTGGGGAGCAAGAGAAGGCACCCAGCTGTCCCCTTTAGCATGTTTTCTTCTTTTGCACCTTTCCAAGTGTGGGTGCAAACCCTCCAGAGCCTCCTTGCTTCCCCCTGGGCATTTCTCTCTTTGTTCTGTCCTTACTTCCTCCCTCTTCTTCATCTCTGCCTCCCTAAGCCCAGGGGGGAAGGGCAGGCACACACTAGGTGCACAGTGGGGCCACCCCACTGTCTCAGGTGTACAGGACAGCCGGAGGCAAAGGGAGCACCCCAGGAGCCGCTGGGTCATCTGCGCCTCTGCGGCACGCCGGCTGGGGGTCATGACCTTGCCAGCAGCAAGATGCGGGTCTCCAGCAAGTCGCTGTCCTGGGCTTCCATCTCACCACCTATAAACGTGACCCAGGGGATCCTAAACATGAGGTTTTCACCTTATACTGTCCTGGCTCCAGGAGCACTTGACACATTCCTGCTGAGCAATGCTGTTATGGAACTTGGGTAGGACAATGTGGACTCTTAATAGTCAAATAGAAGACGTAATGGCTTAAAACTGGTGTTCAAGTTGCCGGTTTCAACCTCAGAGAGAAGAGAGGGATGAAGCACCACAACTAGTACCTCAGAAGCCCCGCAGTGGGGGTTCAGTGCTCCAATCATCTTTAATGAGAACGCAGACAAAGCAAGTGGGGGCGTCTTCTCATCTTCTGAGGATACTAAGTCAAACGGAGTTTAGTGCTCTGAAGGAGACACTATGATCTACAGTGCTATCAACTACTTGAAAAGGCAGTGCAGTTGAGGAGGCACAGATACAGTTATTCGAAGGCCCAGAAATGAAACATACACAGGTGGGGCCAAATACCCAAGAAGAAACTGGGGTTCCTGCTGATTACAGGCCACACAGTCCCTGCCTAATGCCCAGCACCAAGACACCGGCAGCTCGGAGCCAAGGGCCCCTGCGTCCTCCAGCTGCAAAGGACACGTGATGGTGTGTCCAGCACCTCCTCTCCCCCCTCTCCTGACTAAAGTGAGACAGGACTCAAGCCAGGTCAGCTGGCTCAGTTCCCCACTCTTATTCCTGGCCATCCACAGAAACACTTGCCCCTGACGTCTGTCTGACCCGCTGTTGGCTCCTCCACCTAATATATTCCACAGCATATCCCGGGTCAGTGGAGTACTGGTCTGCATCATGCCCAATTTACAGATGAGGAAATGGAGTCAGAGAGCAAAGCCATGACCCCAGCATCCTAGTCTAGTGCTCCTGTGTGCCACTGTGGGCTTGTGTCTGACCCCAAGCCTTCAGATGCTCTCTTCCCTGTGTGCTGGGGTGGGAGGGTGCTGGTGATGCGCAGGGCTGGGGCAGGAGAGTGTCTCACGAGCCCCAAGCCCTGATCACACCACAATGCTGCCTTACCTCAGCAGCCATCTGACCAGCTTGGTACCCTTATGGCTCATCTCCAATGCTCTCAGCTGCTAACTCTGCTGTTTATTTCAGGGCACCTGAGTGGCTCAGTTCGTTGAGCGACTGCCTTTGGCTCCCATCATGATCCTGGAGTCCCTGGGTTGAGTCCCGCATTGAAGAAGAGTCTTCTCTTCTCTCTGATCCTCCACTTTCTCCTGCTCTCTCTCTCTCTCAAATAGATAAATAAAATCTAAAAAAAACCCTAAACATGCTCAAATGCAGCAGATACGCACCTCAAGTCACAGCATTCACATGAGGAGAACATTCCAGATCCCTCTGCAGACTGAATGTCAGCTGCAGAACAGGAGACCCTCACAGCCCCTCACCATAACCGCCCACCACATGCTGCCCTTGCTGTGGGAGCAGGGGATGTGACAGCGAGCTGAGGACAATTCCTCCCAGAGAAATGTCTGGTCAACTCCCTAGAAATGACAAGAATTGCCACCATCACCCTCCCAAGGAGAGGAAGGACCCCGAGGGATTTTGCTTGGGCCTTTACCCCAGACACGAAGGTGTTGCCCGTTTCTGATGGGGCCAGGTCCAAGCAGAGCACGTCAGCCCCGTGTCCGTGGAAACTCTGCAGCAGCTGCCCGCTCTCCACATCCCACAGTGCACACGTCCCGTCGCCGCTTGCTGTCAGGATCTGTCCCCAGAGAAGGACGGGAAGAACATTGGTATCAGGATCTGTGCTGGGGGAAAGTCACTCAGATGCTGAAAGCTGACCGGGGAAAAGGAGGCTCTTGGAACACACACACGGACACATGCCTTGTTATACCTGGATTCAAGCACAGAAGTATTTCTCCTGCCCTATGAAAACAAAGTCCCTTTGCGACATGCTCACTGTCCTCGCGATGTGTGTTTATGTGCTTGTCTCCAGGGGAACAAAGTCGAGCAGGGCCTCCGTGCCATATTCACAGAGCTCTGTGATGGCCCGGGGTCATGGAGGGAGTGCTCTGTGAACGTCTGGGAGAACAGAACTGGTGCAGCCCCCATGAGCAGGCCAGACACCTCAAGTGCTTCTCAGATCTTAATGTGCTCCCCAGCCATGGGGCTGCCTGCTAATATTGCACCTGGGCTGGGGCCGGGGACCATCCCCCCACCCCCAGCCCTCACAAACCCTCACCTGGTAGCAGTGAGGAGCACTGCACCCCACCAGGCAGCATTTTGTGAGACATGTGCCCCTGTGGCTGCTTCTCCCTAGAGCAGGGCCTAGATGGTCCTAGGGCCCCCCAAGAGGGTCACACGCATGTCCTCACAGACTCAACAAGCCTCTGCTGGGTGCTGATGACATTCAGCTGCCCTGCTAGTAGGCATTAATTAGGGTCTGCACAAAGACTGTGTCTTGGTCCCAGCTCTCCGCTCTCCCGGAGCACAGTTGAACAGAACTGGCAGTAAGACATGACACCAACCAAATTCCCTGCCCCTGTGTTGAACAATTCCGAGCTCAGGCACACTCTCCTGGTGTTCTGTGAGGCAATACTGAGAACACGTGAAAACAATCTAGCGGCTTGCTTCAGGACACACCTGCTGCTGCAAGATAAGACTGTGAACCAACAAAACAACTTATTTACCAAGACAAACAGCTTGCTCATCCAGACTCACTTCAAGACCTTCATCTTGTGGGGCTCCCTGATTCAAACCTAGTAATGTTGTAGCCAGTTTCCTGCCTCAAGACACCCACCTTAAAAATCACTCAGCCTGGATCCCCAAACCCTCCAAGTACCCTTCCTTGATTTCTTCATTTGCGATGCTATGGGGATTCTGGCAAGTTGGGGTTCTCCCTTGCTGCAGGTCTAAGAAGGTTTTGCTGGAGGAATGCCTGGGTGGCTCAGTGGGTTAAAGCCTCTGCCTTCAGCTCAGGTCCTGGTCTCAGGGGCCTGAGATCGAGCCCCATGTCGGGCTCTCTGCTCAGTGGGGAGCCTGCTTCCTTCTCTCTCTCTGCCTGCCTCTCTGCCTACTTGTGATCTCTTTCTCAAATAAATAAATAAAATCTTAAAAAAAAAAAAAGGTTTTGCTGGACAGCAAGTTTTTTCCGAGGATCTCAGCAGACAAGACTGTGATGACTCACGATCAAGTGAGAAGTGCTGAGATCCGGGTAGGCCCATGGGAGGGACAGCAAACCCACCCCAGCAACATCTGAGCTGCTCTCCAAGGATGAGTGAGTGCTGGCTGGGTGAAGGCCCACCTCTGTGGGAAAGGAGAAGTGTGAGGACTTTAGCCTGTAGGCCAGACTGAGGAGAGGGGAGGGGTTAAGCTTCCAAGGGAGATAAGATCAAGGGCAGATTTTAGGAAAACGTGTCTAAGGTCTGTGTGGCCACCCCTCAAGCTGCTTCTGTAAACTGACAAGTACAAAGGCCACACATACAGTGAGAGGAACGCTGTGATGCCTGGGGAAAAGCATGGTGAGTGGAGTTAGGGTCACAGTAGGTGGGTGAGTGTCTGTGTGTGTGTGCCCACGCGCGCCCGTGGCTTGGGCTTAGGCTGAGCACAGCGCCCTGTGTCCGGGGGAAAGGCAGCGGAGACGCAGGGCTCACAGCTTCCAGGACCCAGCTGACCATACTGAGGCAGCCCGTCCCGAGCAGCCATGGGCTGGGGGATCCCCAAGGGCTAATAAGCTCTAGACACACAACCTCCTGATGCCCCACCTTCCTGCTGCTCCCAGGGTCTGGATGAGGTGATAAGACCACACAGGAAGGGGCTCTTGTGGCATCACGGCAATACTGTGGGGCCCTCTGTGGGTGGAGATTACCAAGGAAAGGAAATGAGCGAGCCCTGGGCTTAGGGACTGCAAGCCTTCAGTGTACCCATGGACCGCCCTGTACCTCCAAATTCCTCCTGCTGCTGGTTTTCTCTTCTCCTCTTCCCTCCTGTTCTTTTCCTTCTCTCTTACATGCTGGGCCTAGCACTTACAAAGAATCTCCTTTTCTCTGCAGGAGGGAAACCACATTATACCCAGGGGACTCTACTCCCACCCTGGCCTGGTGCCTAGCTTGCTGCAGCATGTTGGAGTGTGTTTCTTCCCAGACAGTCTGGTGAGGCCCAGACTCTCCTTGCAGCTAGGAGAAGCAGCTTTGGAGCTCCTCGCTGGAGCCAGAGCTGCCTGAGTTCCAGAGAGCTTAGGGTTCTCTGGCACAGTCCTCAGGGCCCTCCTTAGAGCTCCCACTCATGGGCAACTCTCAAATTTGGGGACTCTCCAAGGCTGCAAAGCTCCTCCAGCTGTTCGTGGGCTTCTCCACCCTTGGTTTCCTTCAGGTGGCCTGGTTCACCCAACAAGATGACCTAGGCTGGTAAAAGTTAGTTTATGAACACACAAGACTTGGACTGGGTCTTAATTTCTGTACTTGTATTTTATAATATGCCGTAATTCCCTTCAATCTCTCCAAGCCCATACCTATTCCTGTCCTAACACTTACAAAGGGCCAGTAATCTCCCATCTTTATTGGGACACCCAAACAATCTGCTTTAAACGATTACCTCAGTCTAGCTCTTTAATTTGCAGATTTTCGGGGCGCCTGGGTGGCTCAGTGGGTTAAAGCCTCGGCCTTCAGCTCAGGTCATGATCCCAGGGTCCTGGGATCGAGCCCCACATTGGGGGCTCTGCTCAGCGGGGAGCTTCCTTCCCCTCTCTCTCTGCCTGCCTCTCTGCCTACTTGTGATCTCTGTCAAATGAATTAAAAAAAAAAATCTTAAAAAAAAAATTTGTAGATTTTCCATGCCATATTCTTCAACCAAAGAAATGAATATTTTTAAAAAGTTACAAGTAAATTCTTTTTTTTTTTTAAGATTTTATTTATTTATTTGACAGACAGAGATCACAAGTAGGCAGAGAAGCAGGCAGAGAGAGATAGGAGGAAGCAGACTCTCTGCTGAGCAGAGAGCCCGATGCAGGGCTCGATCCCAGGACCTGGGATCACGACCCGAGCCGAAGGCAGAGGCTTTAACCCACTGAGCCACCCAGAGGCCCCACAAGTAAATTCTTAATAGTAAAAAATATTTTAAAAATACTTTTAATATTTTTGTGATCTTCACTACAATATAAGTAAAAATTGAATTTAAAAACAAAACACTCATCACGATAAATGCACGAAACAGAACCTCTTACTCGCGGTCATTTATTCTGGAATGTAGGGATTTTGTAGGTTTAACACCAGTCTTCTGCCAGCCTCTTGACTTTTTCTTTTTCCATCCTTGATCACCAGAATGGAAGGAAGCTCAAGGTTCATTAAGGTATCCCAACCAGGCCATGCATCAGAATCACCCAGGAAGCTGTGAGATACTATTAACAATAATAAAGTAATAAAACCTAACACTTACTGATATTTACCAGGGGCTGTACTATTTTACACAAATCATCTCACTGAATCCTCTGAAAACCTTATGAGAAAGGAGTTTACTACCATTCTCTCCTGAAGGTGAGAAAAAGAAAACAGAATAAAACTTTGTTTGGGACTGACCAGCTGGGATACAGTGAAGCCGAGATTTATCCCAGCAGTCTGACACCAAGCCAAGACCTTTGCCCTGCTCTGTTTCCCAGGATACATCCCCGAGGAAGTGGCCCACAGGACCTTCTCTACCTGGGGCTGGCGGCTTATTTGGAGGAAAGCACTTTTTCCTTCACAGGTGCCCCTTTGATCTCCACCTCCAGCACCTGTGGCAACACAGAGGGGGTGGGCAGGGAGGGGGTGGTGATGGGACCCCCACCAGAGGGTCTTCAGATGTCTGAAGACTCACTGTTCTTGCATCCCTCTGAGCCTTCCTTCATCCAGACTAAATGTCCTCTGTTGCTTTGTCCTCAGCCCCAAAGACGGCGGGTTCTGGCACCACAGCCAGCCCGGGCCACAGCGCCCCCTACTGTACAGGTCTCTGAGAATCCTGGTGGCAAACGACGGTTGCAAACACTGCGGGTTCCAAGTCCCAACACCCCTCCGCTCAGCAATTAAACAGTTACCCAGTCCCCTGGTCTCCCTGCCTCCAGCCTCGCCTCCCCTTCCGACCCCAGTGAGATGAAAACACAGTGGGCCACAGAAGGCTTTCATCGGACTCAGAAGCTCTCCTGCTTAAAAGAAACCCAAATCTGACCTAGTGCCTGCAATGGCTGAGGCCAGACTCAAGGGCCCTGTGATCCCGCCCTGCCCACCTCTCAGGCTGCCTGTCTCCCTCTGGGCTGCCCTCACACTTCCCTGGCCACAGCCCTTCCCTCCAAGGCTGGCTCAGGCAGCCCTTTGCAGCAAGTTTGGGACCACCCCTCCCATTCGGAGCTCTCAACATCCCCCGCTGTTCAGTCACAGTTTCCGTGAAGGTCCTGAGAACAGAGCCTGAGTGTGAGCAAGTCCACCCCCGGAACCGGTGGTATCTGGCAACGTGGGTGGTGGGCACCTACGAAGATTTGCTAAGTAGGCATGAATGAATAAACCAAGGATCCTTTAATGACGTGTTAAGAAACTTAGTCAAAGGGTTGAAGTTGTAATGTCTTCACCTTGTAGTTTATTCAAAGTAGGGATCAGGCTTACTAGTGAAAGCCTTTTCTTTTGCTATTTGAGAAAACACAAGTGTGAGGTGTATGAAATGCACAACTCTGAAGCACAGCAGCTCGTTAAAGTTTTACACACGTAAGCACATGCAGACTCAGACTGCAGGATAGGAATTTCCACGCCCTCAGAAGATTCTCTGTTCCACTCCCACGACCACCAAGTTCATTAGAGGAGGATGTTTTATGTGGAATGCAGTTTATCTCAGCTCTGTCATTAATTAACAGCCCTGACTTTCCCCATTTTTGATTTATTAAAAATAATAATGATAACCAATGAAAAACAACAGGAGGGTCCTCTTAGAGCCAGCTGCTAGAGCATATCTCTCCTTATATACTTAATACTTACATTGAATGAGACAGGCTTTCAAACAAAGATTGTAACAAGAGACAAAGAAGGGCACTACACAATGACAAAGGGAAAAATCCAATAGGAAGATAGAATGATTGCAAATATCGAGGCAACTCACATAGGAGCACCTAAATACATAAAGGAACTATTAACAGACACAAAGGAAGAAACTGACAGAAGTTTAATAATAATATGGGACTTCAACACTCCACGTACATCAATGGATAGATCATTTAGACAGAAAATGAACAAGGAGATAGTGGCTCTGAGTGACACATTGGGCCAGATGAACTCAACATACATTTAGAATATTCCATTCCCAAACAGTGGGATACACATTGTTTTCAAGTACACAAAGAACATTCTCCAGAATGGATCACACCTTAGGCCACAAAACAAGTCTCAGTAAATTCAAAAAGACTGAAATCATATCATTCATCTTTTTAAGCACCACAGCTGAGCACAGTCAATCACAAGAAAACACCTGGGAGAAATACAAACTACACGGAGGCGGAATTACAGGCCACTAAATAACAGATGGGTCAACTAAGAAATCAAGGAGGAAATAAAAATACATGGAGACAAGTGAAAACAAAAACCCAACAGTCCAAAATCGTTAGCATGCAGCAAAAATGTCCCCGAAGAGGTCGTTATAGCAAAATAGGTGTACCTCAAGAAGCAAGAAATATCTTGAATAAACAACCCAACCTTATACTTAAAGGAGCTAGAAAAAGAACAAAGGCCAAAGCCAGTAGAAGGAAATAATGAAGATTAGAGAAGAAATAAATGACATAGAGACTAAAAACAACAACAACAACAACAACAAAAACAAACAATAGAACACATTGATGAAACTAGAAGCTGGTTCTCTGAAAAGATCAACAAAATTGATAAACCTTTAGGCAGACTCATCAAAAAAGAAAAGAAAGAACTCAAATAATATCAGAAATGAAGGAGAAAAAAATAAAAGCTGACACTAGAGAAACACAAAGGATTGTAAGAGGATATTATGATAAAAATTATATGCCATATCCAAATTGGATAATCTAGAAGAAATAGACAAATTTGTAGAAACACATAACCTCCCAAAACAGAATCGAGATAGAAAATTTGAACAGATGGGTTACTAGCAATGAAATTGAATCAGTAATTTTACTTTTTTTTTTTTTAAGATTTTATTTATTTATTTGACAGAGAGAGATCACAAATAGGCAGAGAGGCAGGCGGGGGTGGGGCGGGGGGAGCAGGCTCCCCGCTGAGCAGAGGGCCTGATGCAGGGCTCGATCCCAGGACCCTGAGATCATGACCTGAGCCAAAGGCAGAGGCTTAACCCACTGAGCCACCCAGGTGCCCCTTGAGTCAGTAATTAAAAAAAAAAAACTCCTGAAAAACAAAAGTCCAGGACTAGAGGGCTTCACAGGTCAATTCTACCAAACACTTAAAGTAGAGTTAATACCTATTGAATCAAATTGTTCCAAAATAGAAGAGAAAGGAAAGCTCCCAAATTCATTTTACAAAACCAGCATTACCCTGATACCAAAACCAAAGACACTACAAAAGAAGAGCACTACTAGCCAATGTCTCTGATGAGCATAGATACAAAAATCCTCAACAAAATACAAACTGAATTTAACAATACATTAAAAAAATCATTCACCATGATCAAATAGATATTTATTCCAGAGATACAGGGTGGTTCAATATTCACAAACCAACATAATACATCACATTAACGAGAAAAAGGATTAAAAACTTTATAATCATCTCAGTAGATGCAGAAAAAGCATTTGACAAGATTCAACATCTATTCATGATAAAAACTCTCAATGAAGTAGATTTAGAGAGAACATACCTCGACATAATAAATAATAAAGGCCATAAGTGAAAACACACAGCTAACATCATAGTCAATGGGGACAAACTAAGAGCTTTTTCTCTATGATCAGGAAGAAGACAAGGATGTCCATTCTCACCACTTTTACTCAACATAGTACTGGGAGTCTTAGCCACAGCAAGCAGACAAGAAAAAGAAAGAAAAGGCATCCAAATTGGTAAGGAAGAAGTTAAAGTGACACTATTTACAGATGATTTGAGAGTATATAGAAAACCCTAAGGATTCCAGCAAAGAAACTACTAGAACTGATAAACGAATTCAGTGATGCTGCAGGATAAAAATTAATACACAGAAATAAGTTGCATTTCTATACACTAATAATGAAGCAGCAGAATGAGAAATTAAGGAAATAATCCCATTTACAATTGCACCAAAAAGAAGAAAATACTTAGGAATAAACTTAAACAAGGAGGTTGAAAGACCTGTACTCTGAAAACTATAAAATATCAATGAAAGAAACTGAAGACAACACAAACAAATGGGAAGATATTCCATGTTCCAGAACCAATATTCTTAAAATGTCCATACTACCCAAAGCATTATTTAATACTCCCTATTAAAACACCAACAACATTTTTCACAGAACTAGAACAAACAATCCTAACACTTGTATGGAACCACAAAAGACTCCAAATAGCCAAAGCAATCTTGAGAAAGAAGAACAAAACTGAAGGTAGTACAATCCCAGCTTTCAAGATATACTACAAAGCTGTGGTAATCAAAGCATTATGGTACTAGTGCAAAAACAGACACATAGATCAATGGAACAGAGTAGAGAGCTCAAAAATAAATCCATGCTCTTATGGATTAATCGACCAGGAAAGGAATCAAGAAATATCTAATGGAAAGAAGACAGTGTCTTCAACAAATGGTGCTGGGAAAACTGGACAGCTACATGCAAAAGAATGAAACTGGGCCACTTTCTTAGACCACACACAAAAAGTAAACTCAAAATGGATTAGAGACTTAACATGAGAACTGAAGCCATAAAATTCCTAGAAGAAAACATAGGCAATCATTTCTTTGACATTGCCGTATAAACATTGTTCTAAATATGTCTCTTCTGCTAAGGGAAACAAAAACAAAATCAAACTATTGGGATTACACCAAAATAAAAGACTTTTGCACAGTGAAGGAAACCATCAACAAAACAGAAAGATAACCTACTGAATGGGAAAAGATATTTGCATATGACATATCTAATAAGGGGTTAATATCCCCAATACAGAAAGAACTTATACAACTCAACACCAAAAGAGGCAAATAATCTAAATTAAAAATGGCAGAGGACTTGAATAGACATTTTTCCAAAGAAAACATAGAGGTGGCCAAAAGAAACATGAAAAGATGCTCAACATTACTCATTATCAGGGAAATGCAAAGGAAAATTACAGTGAGATATCACCTCATAACTGTCAGAATGGCTAGTATCAAAAACACAAGAAATAATAAGTGTTGGCCAGGATGTGGAGAAAAATAATCCTCTTGTACTGTTGGGGGGAATGCAAATTTTGGTTCCTCAAAAGTTAAAAACAGAACTACCCTATGATCTAGTAATTTTACTAGTGGGTATTTTACCCAAAGGAAATAAAAATGCTAATTAAGAAAGATGTGTGTACCCCAATGTTTATTGCAACATTATTTATCATAGCCAAATTATGGAAGCAACCCAAGTGTCCATCCATAGATGAACAGATAAAGAAGATGTGGCATACAGATACAGATATAGATACAGATAGATAGATACACACACACAATGGAATATTATTCAGCCATAAAAAAGAACGAGATCTTGCCATTTGCAAAAACATGGATGGAGCTACAGATTATAAAGCTAATAAGTGAGGTAAGTCAAAGAAAGCCAAATAACATGATTTCACTCACATGAGGAATTTAAGAAACAGAACAAAGAAAAAAAAAAGAGACAAATCAAAAAACAGACTGTTAATACAGAGAATACATTGATGGTTGCCAGAGGGGAGGGATGGGTGAAATAGTAAAGGGGATTATAGATAAAGAGCACATTTATCACGACGAGCAGTGAGAAGTGCATAGAACTGTTTACTCATATTGTGCATGTGAAACTAATATAACACTGTATGTTCACTATACTTGAATAAGATGATGATGATGATGATGATGATGATGATAGAGGGACACTGCAAAGCTTCCTTCCTCTCCTTGCCACCCCTCCTTGGTCCTCTATCACTTCCCTTGCTCCCCGACAGGCTGAGAGCCACCACACAGCCATTTACTGACCTGCATGTCTGAGTTGGTGAAGCTGCAGGCTGACAGGTAGTTGGTGTGCATAGCGACGGACTTCTTTTTGGCAGCCATGTTTTCATTTTTGTCAAACGTCAGTGGATACACAGAACACTTATTATCCAAACCACTAGCATGGAAAGAAAGAAGTGTCAAATGCTAATATAAGGCAACAGGATACGAGTACACATTCTCCTTCAGGCAAACTTTTCAAAATGTTTTCCTTTGGCAACAACGTGTGTTGTAAACTTTCCCCCCAACCTGGAAGATTTTCAAATGTACCGTAAAATTGAAAGAAAAATGGTACAGTGAGCACCCAGATCCCTTCACCTACATTCACTAACTTTGCATTTTGTCATATTTTTGGGAGCAAACTCTGAACCCATTTGAAGGTAGAGGTAGACATGACATGTTACACCTAAAGACTTCAATTTGTAAATGTACATCTTCTTAAAAAAAAAAAGAAAAGAACATTCTCCTAGGTAGACACTAGATCACTATCACATCTGAGAAAACGAACACAGATTCCATAACAGTATAATCAACCATCTGTATTCAATCTTCCCCAGTTGTCCCCAGGATCCAGCGCCCCATCAAGTTTCACACATGGCATTCGGTTTTTATAGCTTTTTGAGATCTTTTCATTTAGAAAAGACCTTCCACCTCTGTTTTTGTTGTTCAAACAAGAGATCTTAGGCCAAGAGTCTTGTAGAATGTCACATATCCTGGACTCGTCACATTGTTTCACAATGGTCATGTTCAAGTATAACATTTTCCATACTACTAGTATACAGGTGATACTGTGTACTCCTTTCTCTTTCTCCTGCTTCACTTAAGCAGGTTTGCGATGCCTACTGTCTAGAGACTGGTGATGCCGACTTGGATCACTTGGTCAAAATGGGGAGCACTACATCACAGCACGGCAAATGTGACTTGCTTGTAATTAGTAACTAGGGTTTGCCACTTCAAGACCATGTGAAGATCCTGCTTCCCAACAACCTTTCACACAATGACGTTAGCATGATTATCTTGTTTGAATCAAATGTTATTTTAGGAGAACAAAATGGTGACCTTCCGATTCGATCATTCCTTCTGCATTTATTAGCTAATGTTTTTCGGTAAATAAAAATTCCCCCTCCTCTCACTGTATATACCTGTAGGTTCTTTTTTCTCTTCAACTATGTTATGAGCCATTACTGTCACTATCCCAAATGAGGCTCACATTGTCCCACATTTGGACAGTGGAGGGCCCCTTCAAGCAGCTCCTGTTTCTGTTGGGTATGACCCCACTGGTCCCTGGACGTTTCCTTGCTTTCTGGAACAAGAAAATATCCTAGGCTCACTTTATCCTTTTCCTGCCCCAGAACTACAATCAGCCTTACTCCAAGGAGCCCTGCTTCCTTTTAGTGGACAATGACATTTGGGGGGAGGGGTTCACTCTCTTCGGATGCCCTGGGGATGCTAGGGGAAACCTTAGCCTTTCCAACTGCTCAAGGGGGCAGATGTGGACTTGGGATGCCTCTTATAAGTAATTCATAAGCTTGTGGGTGAGAACAATTTCCAGTTAGGCTGTGGCATTGCACCAATATGCTCAGTTTTTTTTAAAAAGATTTTATTTGAGAGTAAGAGAGAGAACACAAGTAGGGGAGGGGCAGAAGTGGGAGGGAAAGGGAGAGAGACAATCTCTCAAGCAGACTCAGCCCGAGGCAGGACCTGATCCTACAACCCCGAGATTGTGACCCCAGCCAAAACCAAGAGCCGGATGCTCAAGTGACTGAGCCACCCAGGTGCCCCTGCTCAGTTTAGTTTTTTTTTTTTTTTTAAGATTTTATTTTTATTTATTTGTCAGAGAGAGAGAGAGAGCGAGCAAGAATGAGCACAGGCAGAGTGGCAGGCAGAGGCAGAGGGAGAAGCAGGCTCCCTGCTGAGCAAGGAGCCCAATGTGGGACTCAATCCCAGGATGCTGGGATCATGACCTGAGCCGAAGGCAGCTGCTTAACCAACTGAGCCACCCAGGCGTCCCTCAGTTTAGTTTTTGATGCTCTTTCCTCATCCACTGGACCCCATATTTTAAATATTTGTTAATATTACACCAATATTTATACCTTGAACTCCCTTTGCTTCTTTTTCCTAACAAGGTGCAAGGCAGCCAGTGCAGTCAGTCACTGACCGTCTACCACACACCAGGGCCAGGAAACAGATACGACAGAGAGGAAGGCACGAGCCGTTCCTCCTCTCTGAGGAGGCTGTCTGAGGAGGCTGTCACCACAAACCTGTCTTCCTGGGCCTTGTAAAATTACTCTCTTCCCTGCTTGGCCCCTGCCCTCATGGAAATCTTCCCACTGGGTTCAAACAAGAAATAGCTGACAGAACCATTCTCCAAACTACTGCTAAACACACTGTTCACGGGCCGACCGATGGCTCAGTTGGTTAAGCAGCGGGCTCTTGATTTTGCATCATGTCACAATCTCAGGGTCAGGAGATGAAGCCCTGCCTGCATCAGGCTCTGCACACAGCAGGGAGTCTGTTTGAGATTCTCTCCCTCTGCCCCTCCCCCCACTCGCTCATTTTCTCTAAAAAAATAAAAACAAACAAACAAAAATAAAGACACTATTCACTATGTTATTATATCCATTGCATATTGCAGAAGGATCTACCCAATATATTCTTTTTGAAATACAGACCCAGCTAGTTGATATCTCAGTATCAAGTATTGAGAAATGATGTAACTTCTTTAGCTCTATGCATCTAACATTAATGCCCAGTTAGAAACATATTACCCAGAATTAAAAAAAATAGAGAGAGAGTATTTATTATTCCTAATGAGTAAGAATTGATCTTCCCTAAAGAGAGGTCAGCTTTTGCCCTCAGCTGCTGGGAGGTCATATTTGAGCCTCTAGAATGGCCCCCCTGATGGGAGAGCAGACTTGGCTCAAAGACCGTCTAACAGTGTGATTTATGATGGGGGCTTTAGGGCACACACTGTGAGTTCTGACCTCCCCACAGGCCCAGAAACTAAAGGTATTAGCCTCTAGGACACACTGGAGACTGAGGGTCAGCTACATGGGCTGTACGTGATTGAGTCCCAGGAAAAACTCTGGACCCCAAAGACTCGGGCGAGTGTCCCTGGTTGCTAATCCTCTGTTTTGTCATGCGCGGTGGCCAGGAGGAGCTAATGCCATCCATGATGCCATAGGGAGGGGATGACTGAAACTCCAGGTTTAGACCCAGCCTGGACTCTGTCCTGGGTACCTCTTCCTTTGGTTGGTTCTAATTTGTATCCCTGCACTGTGAGAAAACTGTCAGCCTAGGTAGACAGTTCTGCGGTTGTTCTAGCAAATTATCAAACCTGAGGGTGATTGTGGGGACTCCCAAGTTTGTGGCTGAGAGCCGAAATGACAAGTTTTGTGGGGATGGTGCTTTCTTTTTTGGGGGGAGGGGGGATGGTGCCTTCTAACTATACAGCTGGCCGAACTCCTTTGCACTTATCTTACTGTGTGTGTGTGTATGTACACACACACAAAAAATGTATTTACACACAGCATATACACAAATACATATATACTTATATATATCACGTGTGTGTATGTCTGTCTCTTACTGTGCTTACCTCATATCCTGGCAAGAAGTAAATGGGAATGGATCTTATATAAACATTACCATTCAGTTACAAAATGGAAATACAACCTACTTTTGCATTATTTTAAAAAAATTAGAAAATATGAAATACATGTGTGTGAACATGGGTTCCAAAGGCACACGGGGTCTTGGCAAGTGGAAAGTGAATGAAAAGATGTGCCAGGGGCACTTGGGTGGCTCAGTGGGTTAAGCCTCTGCCTTAGGCTCAGGTCATGATCTTAGGGTCCTGGGATCGAGTCCTGCATCGGGCTCTCTGCTCGGCAGGGAGCCTGCTTCTCCCTCCCTCTCTGCCTGCTTCTCTGCCTACTTGTGATCTCTCTCTGTCAAATAAATAAATGAAATCTTAAAAAAAAAAAAAAAAGATGTCCCAAATGGCCCCTCAAAGGGAGGGATGTTGAGGATGACCATTGGTGTGACTCTGGCTGGAGAAGGCTCCAAACTTTTTGCTTAGAGGCCAAGGGTTTTCATTTTTGAACTGAAACTCCTTTCTCCTGATTATAAAAAAAACATATGCTTATTTTCAAAATTGGAAAATTATAAAAAAGAGAAAGCCCCATAGTCCCATCTTCTACAAGGAACTACTATTGGATTTTTTGGTATAGTTCATCACAGACTTCATGCCTCTTTTCTAAACATGGCTGGGATCCTATGGTAGAGGTATTTTGGATGGTTCCAGAATTGTTTAATACAGGGACAGGGAATTATGTTGGTTACAGCTTTTACTGCCAATTCTGTTAAAATGAGCACCAGGAGAATAGGGGGAAAAAAAAAAACATCTTCCTAGCAACCTGAATGATTAGTTACCGTAATTAAGAAGTCTCTTTTTAATGATTGTATAAAATAATACCTTCAACTCATGTCCCACAATTCACTTAATAATTTCCTTTAATGGACACATTATTCCTCCCTAAAACCCCCTTTCTTTGCTTTATTAGATAATGCTACAGTAAATATTACTGCTCATGTGGCTCTTCTATATTTTGGATCACTCCTTTCAAGCAAGTTGTTAAGATGTGTGGAATCACTAGATCAAAGGTTATAAATTTTTCAAGGCTTCCAATACACATTACCAACATGTTTTCCAAAATGTTCGTACCAATTTATGGTCCCAGCTGATAGCGTTTGAGAACAGAGGAGGCAGGTCTGAAACTTGAGCTACTGTCAGTCTTTAATGAAAGTAAGTATGAAAGAGAGTTTCATGGTTTCTTTTTTAAGGGAGTTCAGGGAGGAATTAAACACACTGCCTAACCAATCAGCAAAAACAGTAAGTTCGGGTTTGTTTGCTTGTTTTTGCCCATCAAACAGTGTTTCATGGCAGACAGGAGATCTGAAAAGCTGCTTGACCCCTACTTACCCACATGCAATGGCGCATCCCGACGGGGCGTACGCACAGGCCATCACCCACGTGCAGGGCATGGTGACTGCGTGCTCCTGAAACACAGAACGTGAGCCTCATAGAGGGAACGAGCAGCGCTCCTACACAAATGTGTTAACATGTGGAGCCCAGCATGGGGCTCAATCTCACGACTCAGGAGACCATGACCTGAGCAGAAACCAAGTCGGATGCTCAACCAACTGAGCCACCCAGGTGCCCCTATTTCTTTCTTAATGGGATACTCCTCTTGTTCTTGTGAATGAATATTGGGGCTCATTTTCTGTGAAAGGTCTGTCGGAATTTCACTTCAGTTATACGCTTTACCTTATTTACTCAGATTCTTCCTATTCTCAAAATCTACTCTTAAATGATCCTACATGTATGCTGTGTTTGTTGCCCTGTGAGTATCCAAGGGCCTCTGTCCCCTGTGGGTCCTGACACCTTCCTGGGAAGGTCAGAATGAAAGCGGGCGAGGGCAGGGTGATCTTGAGAGACCCTATAAGGTGGGAGTGATGAGAACTAGAGGTAGCAGTTCCTGCTCCTGGCTGGTGGTCGGGTCACCCACATTCTCCTGCATGCTGACAGGAAACAAAGCCACAATTGGAAACCTTCTGCATCTGTGGGCTTCTTTCCCTGAGAGACATGGGCCCCGGTTCCTGGTTCCAACACCAGCAAGATGTGTGGCCCCAAGCAGGATGGCCACCTGTCCACCCTCAGTCTCTCCCCATCGGTGAAGAGAGAGGATAGGACTAGATGATTTCAGTACCTTTCAGTGCTGGTCTTCTTTCCTGTTATGATTCTCTGTGTTTTTGTGGGGGAAACACGGGCCCTGATGCTGCTCACAGAAATTCTGTCACTCACAATTACAGCCTTTCGGATGCCTAGAATAACCCACGGCAGCAAACGGCCACTCTGAGCACAAGGTGCCACAGAACCCCTTCAAGTAACAGCTATGTTCCCTGTCAGGGGCCACAGTGGCAACACCATGGCTCCCCAGAAATCAGGCAGTGTGTGCTCTATGATATCCTAGGGCTTTTAAACAGAAGCAACAAACCCCTACACACTCTTGAAGATGCTAAGGCGCGCTGGCAGAAGGAGAGGCCTCCATGGAGGGAGGTGCTGGAAAGGAAACCCCCTGCAAACTGCTAAGCTGCCATCTTTACTATTTCCCAGGGGCCTGACCATGAGGGACTCTGCTCCAGAAGATGGTTCTGGGCCCCCCTTGATCAGCCTGTGTGCACCTGTCTACTACAATACTTACTAAACATGTTCAATCATGCAGAATATGGATGCTGCTGGGTTTGAGGCACACAGAGGTCTCTTTGTCTTATATGGTGAAAGAGAAGACCTTCCCTGTATAAATAACGGAACCAGTATGGAATACATAGTAGTTGTTACGGTAAAAGGCAACACAAGGCAGGCTTGTGAGCACATCTCCACAGAGATTTTCGCCTTTCTCTTTAGTTAAGAGTCTAAATGTAGGTCATATTTGGAGCTGAGCACACCCAGACCCGACTTGCAGGCTATCACTGGAGAGTCAGTTCAACTCCCTGCAGCTTTAGCTTCCTCCCACCTCCGCCATCTGCTCATGTCCACGGTGCTACAGAGTCCGGTCAAAGACACAGAGGACAGGGGTGCCTGGGAGGCTCAGTGGTTAAGCATCTGCCTTTGGCTCAGGTCATGATCTCAGGGTCCTGGGATCGAGCCCCGCATTGGGCTCCCTGCTCAGCGGGGAGCCTGCTTCTCCCTCTCTCACTCCCCCTGCTTGTGTTCCCACTCTTGCTGTGTCTCTGTCAAATAAATGAATAAAATTGTTAAAAAAAAAAAAAAAGACACAGAGGGCAGAGAAAGCTGGGGGTTCAGGAACCTCCTACCACCCCTCAGGAGAAAAATAATATATGCCTATGTGAATGTGCTGAGTTTTCCAGGCCAGGCCCTTTCCGGCGTGTTAGTGCCCTCTCTGGGGGCTCTGTGTGCTCCTGCCTGGGGGAGGGGTTTCAACTCCGGATGGAGACGGACACGGCTGTGGGTTACTGAGGTGTCCCAACACAAGATGGGCTTTCCTGGGGTTTTCAACCCCAGACAGGCAGCCGAGGAGCCGGATGACTATGCCTGGGGGTATCTGGCAGGGAAGAGGACAGGACTGGGGCTCTGAGGTGCTGCTCAAAGCGCCAGGGACAACCTCTTACCTTGTTAGTAGTGAAGGAATCCCACACGATCACCTTCCCATCCTGGAGGGAAAAGAGTCAACAGCTTAGGAGTTGTCAGCCAGTCCTGACAGGGAGCTGCTGAGAATGCTCGGAAGAGCTGTGTCTGGCTGGGCAGCGTGCAGGAGACCGCCAGAGTGAGTACCCGGGTATCAGAACCTCTAGCCAATCTCTGAACAACAGGGAGGGAATGGGGGGCTGAACTGTCCAGCCCGATTACAGGCTCAGTTCTCAATGGGATACTGCTTGTGGAACACAAAGCATTGCTCATAGACTTCTAGACCATTTAGAAACCAAGCACTGATTGTTGGTATCTTGTCATCGCCCACACGTCCTGACAAGAAGCTAGACAGGGGTGAGACAGACCTGAAATTACCTCGAGGTACTTGCCAGGTAACTAGTCGTCTCTTACTTCCTCCCTCCCCACCCCCACCAGCCGTCCTGGCTCCTGTGCCCCATGCTCCCCGCTCTCTGGGTCAGAGCCCCACCAGCACGCATTCCAATCTGGGCTGCGCAGGCTTGACATCAGTGTCACTTCCCCACCCGGACGTTTCACATCTGTGCTGAGAACAATGTGCAACTCCTGTCTGTCACTGTGGGGCCCCTCCGCAGAGCACTCGCTGCCAAGGGTGGGCTCAGGGCTGGTGAGGCTACTTTTACCGTGACAGCTGCTGCAGTCACACTGGGGCTGTCGGGGATCACCACAAAGTTGTGTGTGTGTCATACAAACCCACACAAGCCCTGGTCCCTACGGGGCAGCCGCCTGCTTGGCATGTGGTGTGCGGGTCCTCTGGGCCCCCAGACTCTGCCTGACAGAGGAAGAAGATGGCCGAGTCGGCCACCTCCACGGCAGACTTGGTTTTTGTCATCACTGAAGCCGTTTGGAGCTATATCTGAACAATGAGGTAAGGGGTGGGGGGAGAGATGCCACTCAGGGACACAAGCAAGGTCTGATTATCCAAAGTGACATGGTTGCTTTCTTTGCACGATCCACTGGAAGACTTCCATATTCTTGCTGCATGTGGCTAAAAAGCCCAGGAAAAAAGTCAAAGTGGGCCATCTGGGGCCTTTCAAAACTCCTAAGCACATTGGCTCTTCCAGTCTAATTTCTCTGACTGAATGCCCAAACACATTTGAGGTAGATTAGGTAACAGGGCAGATAGGAGGGAAGGAGCTCCAGACCTGTACCCCGGGACTCCCCCCTCACCTGGAGCCTGGCTGTCGGTGTGTTGTCAGAGCTGGCCTTCCTTCTGGCGGCCTTCCTTCTGACTGTCTGCCTGCCGGCCCCACTGCCCACCCACTGTGTGCTCTGGAGAGTAGAAGGCACCCAAGAGGCTAAAATCAGCTATGAAACCAAATGTGGGCCTCTCCAGAAGCCCAGATTTATACACCAGGGGCCTGTGAACCTGGAGAGACCACCCTCACCCCAAGCCCTACCCCACGCAGTCAGGTTAATTAATCTCCTGCCTGCGAGAAAGAAGGACTGCTCTGAGTCACTCCGTCTGCTCCAGAATGTTCCTGCTGTTTCCAGCCTCCTCCCACACCCGCCCCACTTCTCGTCTTCTCTGCAGCAGAGCGGGATGGATGGAGCGTGTCAGCAATGTCCCTCCTCCCTCTCTAATAAGAACAGCATGTGAGTGACAGAAAAATCCAATATCTATTGTACTTTGAAGGACAAAAAAATGTCAAAAAGTCTAGGTAGCAACATGTGTATCTTGATAACCACTTGGTTAAAAAAAAAATGTCTGGAAAGAAATGCTCTGAAATAGTAATAATGGTTGGGACAGGGCGGTGGGAGTAAAACGGTTTCTTTGTTCTCTTTTTCAGGGCCTCTTTAACATGGTAACAAACGTAAGAGATAAATGTTTTATGAACTTAAAAGAAAGCAAGTACAACATGACACATTAGATCTACAGGTAATACAGGAGATTAAGAACACCTGTCCTTACCAAACACAACCTGACACAGATGTTGGAGGGTGTGGATTATTTAGATCACATACAGTTTTTATATTTAAAAGGGCTATTAAAAAGCCCAAAATTGTCCTTTGGAAAATCTGGGCTGAAAGTAGGAATGGTGGGAGGGGAGTCCAAACTGGCCATAAAAATAGAGGACTTCGGTTTATAATTTTATAATTCAATGCATATTACATCAAAATAGACATAAAAAGGACCAAGCAGTGATCACCACACTCCTGACAGTCACACTTTTGTAGAGGCCCCTCCCTCATGTCAGGGTTGGAAAACAGCAGGAGTGAAGGAATGTCACGTTTGACAGCCTGGCTTCAGCCTCCTTCTCCCCCTCTTGCTCTGGGGAAGGCTGGCTACCATCTCGTGAGCAGCCCTGTGGAAAGGTCTACATGGTGAAGAACGAGGGCCTCCAGTCGATGAGCCATTTTGGAAATGAGTTTCTGCCCTAGTCGAGCTGTGCCGTGACCTCAGCTCTGACCAACATCTTGACTGTAACCCCATGAGGGACTCTGAACCAGAACCAGCCATGGGACACTACATCAAAAACTAATGAGGTACATACTGGTGACTAACATAACATAAAAACAAAACAAAACAAAACAAAACAAAACCCCACCCAGATAAGCCACCCTTATCTGGCTCTCAGAAACCGTGTGAAATAATATTTATTGTTTTAAGTTGCTGAATTTGGAGGCAATTTGTGATGCAGCAATAGATAAAACTAGTACTTAAGATACGGAAGAGGCAATGTCAACTACATAAAACGAATGACAAATTATACTTTACAAAATATGTATCTTAAATTTATTCTTTAAGGCATAAAAAGTGTTTAGGAGCTCTTAAACTAAAAGAAGCCACGAGCACTTACGTCCTCAATTTGGGGGGGAAATGCCCCACTATCTAAAAAACGGATTTCATTCCCAAATGTAGCCCTGAAGTACGCTCAGGAAAAAAGAATTCTGAATGGCTTCTCAGATACAGTTCACGTTTCAGTTATTACCATAACTCTGAATCCACCCAAACCAGTGACATTCTACAGTCTGCAAGAGAATGCTGCACTATGCTTACGCGCATCCCGCGGAGAATAAGCAGAGGGATTAAGAGCAGGCAGGGTTTTTTGAAAAGGAAAGTTCTCTTGCTTCTTCAGTGATCAAGTCAGACCCTTGCGCGCCCTCACAGAGCAGATGCCACCTACCTGGGAAGAGCTCACGATCCTCCTCTTATCTTTGCACCAGTCCATGCAGAGAACCTTGTTCCCATGGCCTTTGAGGGTCCTCCTGGTCTTCATGACAAACTGCCCCAGAGCTTCCACCCGCTCAGCCACCTGGTGCACTAGAAGGACAGGCTACAATCAGTTCCGTCGCCAACGACTGGATTCTGAGCCCTACGCTGGCAAAGGGGGGACGTGGGTCTTTGAGGCCACAGTTTGAGTCTCCTGGTTTGGTTTTGTTTTCCTGTTATGCCTTCATAACACTCTTTCAAGCTCAGGAGAGGGTAGAAACAACACGGTCATTCTCTTTGTGTTTAATACCCCACATCTTTCAGAGCACGTCTATCTTTGTGTGCTGAGGGATCAGCAAGATGACCTCATCTAGAGAGATGATGTGCCTTCCACCACACAGAATTCTCCTGCTGAAGGGCCACAGCTCTGCAAGGTGGGCAGGGCAAGCAGCAGAGTGAGACCATTGTCCCCATTTAACAGGTGAGGAGACGGAGGCTCACAGGGTTCTTTGGCTACAACAAGTTCAGACAGCCAACTGGGAAAGAAGCTGGGGCTTTCGGTTCTTTTACCCACCTTTCCAATCACAAGGGAAAGTGACTTTACAAGAACTGTCCCATTAGGTGGCGAAACGTGCACCCACGCTGCTGTGTGGCAGGCACTGTGACTCCTGGCTGAAGCCCCTGTACCTAGCACAGGCCTGGGATGTGTTGGGGGTCTGGTCACGTGCTGCAGGCAAGAACGGACGAGGGAGCCACCACATGGTACACCCCCAGGTTTACTGAAAACTTCTGGTGCCAATACAGATCAGTATTCTACAAGTCTAAACACATGACCTACAGGGGCAACCCACACCAGGGAGGAGCTCCAAAAAGGAATCTCTCAGGGGCTGGGCCCAGGCCTCTTTCCTGAGCCTGTCACTGAGGAGTCCCAGAAGGAGCCACGTTCCCATGAAGAGACCGTCATGTCCCAGCCCCGCATCCAGAGATGAGGAGACTGAGGCTGGGGGACCCCACGGCTTCGGCCCCTTGTGCAGTGCCCTTCTGGTTAGAGGCTGTGCCAGAAGGAAAAACTGGGGCCCCAAACCGCTCCCCCACCACTTCTTTCTCCAACTCTCCCAGCTGGGCCTTTCCCCCAGGCAGGTGAGAAGGAGGGAAAGGGCATCCGAGGCAAGGGACAGGCCCACGAAAGGTGTGGTGTCTCAGCACAGCTGTGCAACACGGTGGTGGGGGGGTGTGAGGCAAGGCAGCTGGCGGCCCTCTTCCTTCCCAGGAGCTGCTGCCACATGCTGGGAAGTGCCACCTCCCTCATGGAAATGGGGCAGGAAGGGCCAGACTGGGCTGTGGTTTAAGCCTCTGACAACAGCACGACTTCTCAGAAATCCTCCCTCCCTCCCCTCGGTCTCTCTAAACACTGCATTGTCTATTTCCTAAAAACAAGGGACTCTGACAGAGCCACAGCACAGTATCAAAGTCAGAACATAAACATGGAAGTGATGCTACATCCAATTTACAGACCTTACTGAGTTACTCTCCATTGTCCCAATAATATCTTTACAGCAAAAGAAAATCCAAGAACCATGGGCTGCCCTCAACTGTCATGTTTCTTTAGTTTCCAGTTAGAGTTTTCCAGCGTGGGCTTGTCTGCCGCTTGCTCATGATCAGATGCGGGCAACGCGTGTTTGGAAGGATTGCCACAGACGGACACCGAGTCCCCACCAGCGCGCCCTGTCAGGAGGCACCTGTCGTCCCTTGGTCCCGTCACTGGTACTGTGCACGCGGACCATTTGGTTGAGGTGGTGTCTGCCGGGTTTCCTCCCTAGAGAGTTACCATATTGCCTTTTGTAACAAAACTGTCACTCTTCAAACTCCAATACCCTCGTTTCAACATCTGTTCATGATTCTTGCCTGAATGGGTGATGATGATGGTTGGCAAGTGATTCTCCTAATTCCATCATTCCTTCTGCATTTTTAGCTGTCTTTCTAATAAAAGGAGCCTCCCCTCCTCTTCAGTGTATTTATTCACCCATTCATATTAGAGGGACTCATGGATTCTTACCTTATTCAAGGGGCTATAATCCCTCAGCATTATTATTTATTTTAACGCTCAACTAGTCACTGATTTGCTCCGTGGGAGCCCTGTCAAGCAAGTGCCCCGACCTTCTGACATGTCCCTATTGTTCTCTAAGCATTTTTTAAAGATTTTATTTATTTATTTGACAGAGAAAGAGAGAGAGAGAGACAGTGACAGGGGGAACACAAGCAGGGGGAGTGGGAGAGGGAGACGCGGGCTTCCTGCTAAGCAGGGAGCTCAATGTGGAACTCCATCCCAGAACCCTGGGATTATGACGTGAAGGCAGACGCTTAACGACTGAACCACCCAGATGCCCCCTAAGTATTTCTTATTCTAAGCTCATGTTCTTTCCCTGCTCTGGCCCTAGAATCAGTCACTTCTCCCAGAAGTCTTGGTTTCATTTAATTGCCCCATTTCTTTGTGATAGAAGAATAAGAGTGTGAACCAGTTAAAAGTCTCTGTGAAAACCCAAACTATAAAAAGTCCTTGCTGAACTATGAAGTACTACAAGAGAGGTGTCTGGCTGGCTTAGTGGGTGGAGTGTGCAACTCTTCATCTCCGGGTTGTAAAGCCTCGTGTTGCGTGTAGAGAGGACTTAAAAATAAAATCTTAAAGGGTGCCTGGGTGGCTCAGTGGGTTAAGCCTCTGCCTTCGGCTCAGGTCATGATCTTAGGGTCCTGGGATGGAGCTGCATCGGGCTCTCTGCTCAGCAGGGAGCCTGCTTCCTCCCCTCTCTCTCTCTCTCTGCCTGCCTCTCTGCCTACTTGTGATCTCTGTCAAATAAATAAATAAAATCTTAAAAAGATAAAAGTACTACATGAATGTGCAATTATTATGCTATCACTTCTGCTAAAACACTGCATTTTTTTAAAAAGATTTTATTTATTTATTTATTTGACAGACAGAAATCTCAAGTAGACAGAGAGGCAAGAAAAGGGGGGCAGGAAGCAGGCTTCCTGCCAAGCAGAGAGCCCAACGCAGGGCTCGATCCCAGGACCCTGGGATCGTGACCTGAGCCAAAGGCAGAGGCCTCAACCCACTGAGCCACCCAGACACCCCAAAACATTGCATTCTTTATTGCCACAAATGGCACAGCAGTTTTTTACAGATACATTCTTAAAAACACACTGAATATAGTTTAAAGATGGTGACTTTTCTTAATTCTTATAGGCCATTTATACAAGTCTGTACCAGCTCAGAGCTGTGAGCACATTTTATTTAGTGTTTGGAAACTTCACATTGCTATCATTGCTGCTTTCCCCAATTCAGCATGGGGACAACCAGAGCTATTTTATGTCCCTCCCATGAAAATAAAAAAAATTAATGAATTAAAAAGATGACTCACCCAATCGATATGGGGCCTTCCTTATCTAATGTGAGTCTGACCATATCCTGGCTACTAATGATTTTTTTCTCACTGCATTTTCCTTTTCATATATAGGTTTACTCCAAACCCACTCCATCCCATCTCTATCTGGCAAATCTCACATCTGTTAAATTGAAGAGTTACAGCTTGAATGATGTCTCTAGAACCCTGAATACATGCCGGGTACAGAAAAGAATAAGACAGTCCCTGCCCTTCCCGAGCTCATGGTCTGCAGGGGGCAGATCGCAGCTGTAGTGAGGTAACAGAGGTGGTGGGGAGCCCAGGGTAACCCAGCTGACTCTGCCGGCAGCTGTGCCATCAAGAGGGGACGTCACAGGTACCTGGTTTTGAAGGATCCATAGGAACTGGAGTAAGGAAAGGGGAGGCTGAATCACCTTCCAAATTTTGCACCAATAAACTGTCTTTGATGGCCACAATTTGGTGGAAGAGCTAAGGAACCGAGGATGAAGAATTATCCAAAGCTAATTCTAAAAAATTCAGTTTGCAACCCAAGTGTCCATTGATAGAGGAATGGATAAAGAAGATGTGATACACACACACACACACACACACACACACACACAATGGCATACTTCTTGTAGAAGAATGAGATCTTACCATTTGTGACAGTGAAATAAGTCAGACAGAGAAAGACAAATCCATATGACCTCACTTTTATGTGAAATCTAAAAAACAAAACAAAGCAAATGCAGAAGCAGACCCATAAATACGGAGAACAGACTGAGGGTTGCCAGAGGGGAGGAGGTGGGGGATGGGCAAAATGGGGGAAGAGGAGAGGGAGGTACGGGGTTCCAGTTATGGAATGAATAAGTCATGGGGACGGTGGGGGGAATGGGGAACCTGGGTGATGGGCATTAAGGAGGGCACACGTGGTGTGAGGAGCCCTGGGTGTTATCCTCAACTGGTGAATTACTGAATGTGACATCTGAAACTAATGATGTACTATAAGTTGGCTAATTGAATTTAAATTAAAAAAAGAAAAAAATACTAAGTCACGGGGATAAAACAGGATAACAGCATAGAGAGTACAGTCAATGATATTGTATAGAGCTGTCTGGGGACGGATGGTAGCTACTCTTGTGAGCAGAGCATAACCTACAGAGTTATCAAATCACTGCCGTACACCTGAAACTAATGTAACACTGTATGTCAGCTAGATTCAATTAAAAAATACAAATGAAAAAATTTAAAAATGGGTCCTCTCTGATTCTACCCCTGGATTGAATGGGGTGAGATATAAAAACCCTCAAACACTTGGATGGAAGGAAAACATCTGCAATCACATTACTTCCTGTGTGCTTGGGATTTTGGAATTGCTCCAACACATACATTAGCTACACACACACAAAAAATCTCCCCAGAATTCCCTAATTAAAAGCTGGAGAGGCTAAGCAATGGTGCAGTCTTTCAGACAGAGTACTACATGCCTCCATACAATAAAATCAAAATATTGACGTTAAACAGAAGGGCAAAATGACACAGGGAGCTATGTAATCCACTGTGTTAATTTAAAGTTAGGCTCGGGCGCCTGGGTGGCTCAGTGGGTTAAGCCGCTGCCTTCGGCTCAGGTCATGATCTCGGGGTCCTGGGATCGAGTCCCGCATCGGGCTCTCTGCTCAGCGGGGAGCCTGCTTCCCTTCCTCTCTCTCTGCCTGCCTCTCTGCCTACTTGTGATCTCTCTCTGTCAAATAAATAAATAAAATCTTAAAAAAAAATAAAATAAAATTAGGCTCAAACTCTGAATCTAGTACAATCCCAAGTATGCTCACAAATAATTAGCACAAACATAAAACCATAGAAATACACCAAAATATTCAAAGTGACTACCTCTGGGTGGTGGGGTTATGAATAGCTTGTTTGCTTCTAGATTTCTAAATTTGTTATAGTGGGCCTTAGTTTATTATGGTGGTACCCTAGAGATACTTGTGTGAGCTAGCTTGTTGCAATTATGAACACAGAGCCGAAGCAAGGGGAGAGACGAAAGGTAGGTTTGCTCTTGGCTCCTCTCATGGCTGCAGGCAGCATGGGGGAGAGCAGCAGCGAGAAGATTAGTTTGTAGGGAAACTCACGTCCAGCCTCAGGCCGCACAGCATATTTCCTTAAAACTTGGAAAAAGCCAGTCAATGTATTTGCTTCAGACTAATCCAGAAATTGGTTTTCCTTGGTTTCTCCTTAAACCATAAAATCAGATTAGTCCAAGGCTCCTGTTATCATACAGCCTTTGAGAATAAAACCTTTCACAAAGTTACATTTATAAGAGATAGAAAAGTGAATAAACAGCATCTGATGGTAAGTCCTGTGACTTGCCCAAATTTCCTCTAGATATGTACTCAAGAAATTACATACATCTTTGAGTGGCTTTGTTCCTACGCTAGATTAGAATCTGCCTTCAAAGAGGCTGGGAATCTGGAAGAAGCCCCCCACAGCCCCCACGAGGCTGCCATACATGCTGCCTGACATAAACACAGCGTGCCTCCTGCCCTTTCTGGCTCACTCTTCTGTTTAATTTCAAGTTAAGGACTCTTTAAAGTTGAACTCTCATCTTTGTTTTTGATCTTGACTCTCATCCAGTTCTCATTTTTTATTATCAAAGCAGGAAATGCACAGATGGGTATACAGTGAAAAGTACCTCTACCTCCCCTCACTCCCCTGGGATCTCTCTAGAGAAAACAAGTTTCTCATGTATCCTGCCACAAATTCAATGCACATACAAGCATCCCTTGTTTAAGCTAATTAGGTCATGTTATACTATTTTGTACTTTTTCAATTTCATATTGAGATCTTTTCATACACATACATGGAATTTTTTTTTCCTTTTTAATGTAAGTCTCCATTGCCTGAGAGATGGCCTAGCAGGGTGAGAAGGAGAGCTAATACTAGGAGCCCAAACCTTGGCATCTACCCCCACCCCCATTCTCCCTTAGAGTAGCTGCAGAAGCTTAAGGCATTCCCTTTATCCTTCCCTGGATCTCAACAGTCTCCTCATCCATAAGGTTATGGAGAGGAGGGGAAGGAAAATTTTTGTGCCCGAGGACTGAGGCTGAAGCAACTGACCCTTCTAGTTTTGAGAACTGTGGGACAGGACCTCCAAAGATCTCCATGTCCCAATCCTTGGAACCTGTAACTATGTTACTTTACATGGCAAAAGGGGCTTTGTAGATGTGATTATGTTAAGGATCTTGAGGCGGGATGATTACCCTGATTTATACAGGTGGGCCCACTATAGTCATAAGGGTCCTTATGAGGGGGAGGCAGGCAGATCAGGGTCAAAGAAGGTGAGGTGATGACAGAAAGGTCAGAGGGGGTGGGGCCACAAGCCAAGGATTGCAGGCAGCCTCCAGAGGCTGGAAAAGGCAAGAAAGAACCTCTCCCCTAAAGGTTCCAGAAGGAATGTGGCCCTGAAGACCCACTATAGACTTCTGATGTCCAGAACTGTAAAAGAGTAAATTTATGTTGCTCTAAGCCCCTATGTTTATGGAAATTTCTACAACAGCAAGAGGAAACTAATATGTTATAACTTCATGATTCTAAAATGTCTTACAATCAAGGAAGGAAACACTTACCCATGGTAGAAGGTAAGCAGAAGGCAGGGGAAACATCCTGAAACATCCCATAAGGGGAAACATCTAGGGAGGAGGAAGCTTTGAAGGAATAAGGTGAAAGTCAGGGGCCCAAGGCCCGGGGCTATGGAGTTTCATGTAGGCTGGCTTCCCCTTGGGACCCATATAAGCCATTTCCTCTATTTGACACTGGCCAAAGGTCTGACTTCTATCCATATGGAGACAGACCTTTCCACTGTGAGTTCAAAATTCAGCCCTGGCTTCTGAGGGTACTGCATCCTTGGCAGGATGGGGGTTCTGTGTTGAAAAGCTCTACCTTGACTATCTCTCTGCCTTAAGGCCATTTCCCAAGTCAAGGAAAAGGCTGAGAGGTTCCCTGCGGGCAGTCTGCCCTGCTGATGAGGAGCTTCTGGAGAACCTCCTCTGCACAGAGCCCAAAGGGACTGGGCACAGAGCTGCAGTGAGGCTGGGCTGGAGTTCTGACTGCCTGGGCTGGAATCCTGGTCCCACCACTTACTGGCTGCAGTCCCCTAGCAAGTCCCTTCACTCAGTTTCCTCATCTGTAACATGCAGAAGTCAGAAGACCTACCTCAGAGGCACCCACCCAACACTGACAGCATCGTCGACAGCATCTGCACAACGCAGGAACTGGCTGAGTGAAATGAGGCAGACTTTGCCCAGTGCCTCCCAATTGCTGTTCCCTACCACTCGCTGATAACAGAAGCCCAGCTTTATCTGGGGATGACAATGTGTCCAGTTCACTTCTCCCTTTCCCAGTCTTCCTTGCAATAACTATGTGGCCTACTTCTGGCCAATAAAGTACAAAATCTGTTGGGAGAAAGGAGGCTTGGGGGAAAACTTCTGCTTTCCTGATAAGGAAAACAAGAGGCTGGTGCCCACATTGCCCCTTCTTGCCCTGGATACAGAGGTTATGTTTGGAGCTGTGGCAGTCATATTATAATCATGGGGCTAACGCCAGTGTTTTCAGGGTAATGGAGAAGAAAGCCTGGAGTCTGGGTCCTTGATGGCACACTAGGCAGCTGAACCAAAGCTAGTGGTCATTGACACTTCTTCCTGTGATATAAGGAAAATAACTCCCAATTTGCTTTATTTGGGGTTTATGGTTCATTGTAGCTGGACACATTCCTAAATGATAAGCGGTTTAGCATGTCTCTGATTTAAAGAAGGCCCCTTGGAAAGAAAGCACACTCTATAGAGTCACGTCATCTGCTTCTATCAAGTGATTTTCAAAGAAAGGCATCAGGCGCTCAACGACCTAGCATGAACCCCATGTTTCTTCTCCAAATAGATTTTAAAAGGGGTGGCACCAGATAGGAATGGTAGGAGCCTGAGGGGTGCCTGAGGGTACCGTGCAGGGGGTGGGGTGTGGGGGAGGAGGCTGTGCTCAGCAAAGGGGAGCTGCCACCCTCGGAGCTGAAAAGCAGATAAAGCCACTTCCCCAAGCCTGGCCCTGAGCCCAAACTCTGCTGAGGACAAACCATCTGACAGTAAAGGGAAGCAGATCCCACCAAGAGTCATTTAACCTGGCTTTTTAATTGCTGGCTCATAAAAATCACAGAGCCGTTTCTGAATTATGGTGGTGGTCAATAATTAAGTTTATTTAAGACTGGCATTGCTCTTTTATGCCAAACGCACCGCATCCATTCAAAAGCTTCTTTTGCTTTTTTTTTTTTTTCTCTTTTGCTTCTTTTTCCCTTTTGCTTCTTTTCCTCTGCTTTTTTTCCTCATCTGGTTCTCCACACCCCCTCGCCCAAGGAAAGGGGGCAGAGTGGAAAAACTAGGTTTTAAACTCAGAGCCTGGTTCCTCGTAAAAGCAAAACTGAGAAAAGACTCCACAGTGATGGAGAAAGCTAAATGATGGAAAAACAAAACGGGAGTTTACCCTTGGCCGCGCCCACCAGGGCGGTGTTGGCTACCGCCGACACCCTCCTCCACCCGGCTCGGGTAGGAAGGCAAGCAGTTCGCAGCTCCCAGGCAGGTGATGGAGAGAACTGGTCCCAAGATCCTTCAGAGGGTGGGGTGGGAGGTAAGAACAGCGGCCAGGGGCTGCTACCACAGGCGCCCCCGCCCAGAGGCGGAACGGCCTCCGCTAGCGGGGGTGGTGGGTGCTCTGCAAGGTGTCCCGCGTCTCCGAGGGCCTCCCGGCTCGGGCCCCACAGCCGCGCACCCCGGGGCTCCGGGCCGCGACCCGCGCCTCACCTGGCGCCCCGGAACCGGGGGCCCATCCCTGGCGCCGGCGCAGGCCTGGCTTCTTCCCGGGGAGGCCCAGCGCCCACCCCCACCCCCCGCCAGCCGCGCGCCCCCGGGGGCCGGTCTGGTTCCCTCGGCCCGCCTCCCGGCGCGCAGCCCCCGCCCCGGCCCGCACTCACGCTCCACGTCGTGCAGCTTGGCCCGCTCCTCCTCCAGTTTGCCCTTGAGGCTCTCGGCCTCGCTCTTCAGCGACGCCAGGGTCTGGCTCTCGTGCAGCCCGTCGGTTGCCATCTTCGCGCCGGTTCGCGGCGGGGAGGGAAGCGGAGAGCCGGGATGCGGGTGAGCGGGCGACCGAGGCCTGGCCGGCGAGCGGGCGGGAGCGACCCCGCGCAGCTCCACCGCCGTCTCCCCGAGCGCGGCCCCGCCCTCCGGCGCTGACGCGGCGGCTGCGAGCCGGGCTGCGGCCGCCGACTCCCCCCTCCGCCCGCCGCACGGGCGGGCACCGGCGCCCTCTCCGCGCCCCCCCACCTCCGCCCTGGCACCTGCCGCGCGCTGGCGCTGTGCCCAGGGCGATGCCCTCGGTGGTGCTGCTGCTCACCACCCCGGAGAAGCCGGGAGTATCGTGCCCATTTTACCGGTGGGAAAACCGAGGCTCAGTGATGGTAACGTGACTTGCCGGATGACACGCACCCGGTGAAGGACCAAACTGGGATTCCAACCCAGGACCGCCCGGCTCCTGGGAGCCGGTGAAGTCCCGCTGACGCGGCCTTCCTACTCTCCCCTTCCCCGGCACCGGTCTCCCCTCAGTGGGCCTTGATAGGCTGCCCAGTGGCAGCTGCCTGCAGAGTAGATGAGCGAGGACTGCCCGGCGAGGCCCAGCCCGCACCGCTCATACACTGATACCGTCCTCACCTGGGTGCCACTCCCCCACAACGAATGGGAAACGTTCCTCCTTTGTTGACTTAAATATACAAAAATAAAGCGAAATCTGGCTTCTGAGAAGCTGTAGAGGCTTTGCGGCATTAGGAAGTGCACTCTTGGTTTTGCTTTTCCTCTTTTCACACAGGGAATTAAGTCCCTGGCCTGGGGTCAGCAAAACGAGGTGCTGGAGCCGGGATTAGTATACAGGGGCCCAGACCCGGGTGTTTGGACCCACACTCCATGATCTAAGATGTGTCCCTTCTGAGGCAGCTTCCTCCACCCCAGAATGAAAGGTTACTAGGGTTAACGAATTTAGTGGGTATTTAGGGGTAACTAGCGAATTTAGTGACGTCATGGCAGGCTCAAGCATCTCTTTTTCCCAGTCCCCAGCAGTGCCAGCACTGTTCCAAGCACTTTACAATTAGTAAATCGCAGTGATCACCCTGAATGGATACTGATGTCCCCATTTTACAAACGAGGACACGGAGGCACAGGTTAAGTGATCTGCTTGAGTCACACTTTGAGAAAGAGGCAAAGGCAGAATTTGGACTGAGGCAATGTGGCTTCATTGGGCTACCTGCCTTCTGGACTTCAGTGGGGAGGATCCAAACCATGGCTTCTCCCTTTTCCTTTGTCCATGACCTGGTGTGTGTGTGTGTGTGTGTGTGCGTGCGCGTGTGTGTGCGCGCGCAAAATGAGAAGGCGAATTTAAGGTTGTAAATTCCAGAGCAAACATTCCCAAGCAGGATTTTGGGGGCTATCCTCACCCCTCACTCCCTCAACAATCTAGCCTCAACTTGTTGTCTTGGGCAGCTCTTTATCAAAGAAAAGTTGGAAGTAATCTGTATTCATCTCTACATGGTGGTCTAGGAGGTTAGATTCTGAGCTCCTCAGTTTCCTTATCTGAAAAATCTACTTCATCGGACTGTTTCAAGAATTAAGTAAGGTAATTTGAGTGAATCTCTTAGCAGACTTTTCCATCATAGCAGGTGTGTATTAACTGCCAGCTAGCTCCCCTTTCCCTTTCCATCAGTGTAGTTTTATTCATCATTTATCCTCAGTATTTAGCATAGTAACTGGTGTATGGTAGGTCCTCAGTTAATGTTAGTTTATGAAGTGGATGTATTAAACAGAATATATAAAATATATAATTAAAATGAAACAAATATGAAATGTCAATATATAAATATAAATGCTTTAGATATATGCAACTACTTATAAAAGCAAAAATATGACCTGTGCTTCAGAGTCTGTAGAGCAAAAGTTTAAGATAGCACCAGGCCCATCTAGGTCATACTGCCTGAGGATAAACCCTGGCTGTGTTGTGTGGCCTCAGGTGATTAACTTCTCTGTGTCTCAGGCTCCTTAACTGTGAATGGATAACACCTCCCCAGAAAGGCCTCTTCGGGGTGGCCTCGCAGCGCGTTCAGAGCTGTGCCTGACACAAACTGTTTGCTCATTATTATTAAGGCTCCCTGATACACTTGAGCAATTCCCCCGAAGTAATTCAAACGAGACACTAGGTCATGGAGGCACTTCTCAGCAGGGTCACCTCAGGCCTAGCAAAACAGCATCCTCTTATCACCTCCTCAGTGACCCCTTGTGGCCCATCCTGGGATGTGTGCCTGCTCGAGGTCTGCCTGCCTGTGACCTGGGGTGAGTGGAGCTTCACACTGGGGTGTGCCCTTCTCTGGAGGTCCTCTCTGTAAAACAAACCCCAAACATCCTCCATTCTAGAGGTCCTACCATCTAGAGATAAGGTCATGTGACTTCTTTACAGATGGCAGAGTTTGCAAAGTGCCTTTCTGTACTTTGGTTTTAACTCCTTTTTCTAAGTAAGGAAGAAGGAGATCATAAAAGTTGACGTCCTCTGCATTTCAACAGGAGTGGAGTTACAGTGTTTCCCCTATTCATGAAAAGGGTCCGGGGCGAGGGGCGCTACACAAACTCAAACACCTGGGTGGAAATTAGCTGTCAGTCTTTGGATGTCTCCTCAGCCACAAGAGGGTGTCTGAATATTTGGGAACCCCCAAGTGCTTGTGGAGATAGCCTGTCACAGTTTCCTGGAAAAGCTCTCCAGGCGGAGCCTCTGCCCTGGGGAAAATGTTCGATGCTACAGGATGTGACAACAGGGACTCTGGGCTCCCAGTATCCACAGAAGAAACTGTTTAAAAAAGATTTTAAAAATAGCTAAGATTAATAAGTAGCACTGCTCCAGAATGGCAGGGCCCTGGAAAGCAGGCTTATTTTAAGAACCAAATGTCATCAGTCTGATGACGTGCAGAGCCACATTTAGAACACAGTGCACTGCGGATAGAAGCCCATTACACTGAGCCTGAATCTTGTGATGTCACGATTATGACGCTGTACCAAAGCCTGTGTGTCTCTCTGGGCTGTTTACTTGCCGTTAGCTTTACGAGAATAATTTTTTATATGTAATTACTGTCAGGGGTTACAGTGGGACCAAGAGGATGAATACTGCATTTTCCTCTTCAGTTGGATAAAATGTAAAAATCCTCTTTCCTGTCTTTGACAGATGGGTTTAAAACTGTGTTGACAATGAGGCGTTTCCAATTGGGGTTTTGCAGAAGAGTACTTTACCACTTTTTGACCAGCTGGGGGCTCTGCTGAGCTGTATTACTGAGCCCTGCACATTCCCTCAGGGCTAATTTCTAGGGCTTCCTCCATGCTATGGGCATGCTACAAAGATGTGAAAAGCCTGTGCATAGCCACCTCTAGTGAGGACTGATTTATGTTCTTTGAAAAATGTAAGGATTTATATTCAGTCCCTGGCCCCCAGCATCTTAGGCCTAAGGAGCACATTTCCTTGAACTTAATTTTGCTTACTACAGAGGCCCTGGAGGGTCCAGTCTTCAACAGAGCTGGAAAGCTGGATCATGGCCTTCGGAGAGGCACTTTCAGGCTGTTTGTTTGCCAGAGACTATTTTAGCTTGGTTACTTGTCAAGCAGACAGAAAGCAAAAGCAAAAAGCATTAGCCCTAAAAAAAGTAGTAATAGCTAAAACATTCATTGAGCACGGCCTCTGCTGGGTACTGTTTTAAATGTTTTATCAAATGAACTCACCGAATTCTCATAAAGCCCTATGAGATAGATGTTATTGTTCCTATTTTACATATTTGAAAACTGACCTCCTAAGTCAGTTGAAATCTGTTGGCACCAAGACTGGCAAGGAACATAACGAGGATTTGAACTCCAGAGGTCAGAGGGTTCACACCTTGAAACCCCCACGCTATGCTGCCTCATTCAGCCCAACTGTGTTCAAAATGTCTGTGTGAATAAACAGATGGGATGGTGACTCATCTGTCATAGGGCCCTGATATTAGCCATCATTTTAAAGCAAGATAACCCATGAATTCTTTTAAAGTGGCACTTACGATTTCTGCACATGTTGAACAGTAGCTGAGCTGTTGAGATTTCTTGAAAACTGGTCTCAGAGCCCGTTGTTTGAAACATTTGTCACAGGAGCCAAATACATTAACGAGAAAGGTCTGATCGCACATTTTTAATCCAAAATGAAGCTGAAAAAGAGAGAGAGAGAAAGGGACGTTTGTGCAGGAGAAAAGGCAACAGAAACAGTTTTTTAAACCGCATCTTCCTTTGATCACGATGGTTGCTCAGACTCCTACATGTGGGATAAAGTATATGCAGTCAATTTATAAACTTTGATTTATTACAACACACTGGGTCAACACCAGCTCGTTGATTTAATCAGTAAGAAAGCATCAGAATAGGTTTTCTGGGGTTACCATTTAACTGGCTGTTTCGGCAACAACACCAACACAGTTGATTTTTGCAGCCCAATAGTAATCCTGTGGGGCTCCACAGTGGAAAGTGTCATTATAATGGATATTATAATTTAAAAATTAAAAAAAAAAATTCTTCCCCTAAAGGTAAACTTTTGGAGGGAAGACGAGAGTCAGAAAGTGGTAGAACCTGATTTCAACCAATACCCTAAGGCTGAGTAAACATAGTATTGGTTCTCTGCAAGGGACACATCCCATTTATTAAACACTGGACAGCCACAGACCCAGGGCCCCTGTCTGTCCATCCAGAAGTCAACCGACAGGTTCAGGCCACTCAAGGGAGGGCAAATACAGAAGCAAAACCATCTGGTGGCTGAGGGTGCTGGCTCTGGCTGTCCGGACCCTGGCCCCACTTCTTAAGCAGGTTACTTGAGCTTCTGTGGATCTTTGCTAATTAATCAAATGGGGACTTAACATCTACTGTAACAGGAGAAATCACTAGGGGATTTATGAAAGGCAGTGCATAAAGCTTAGCTCAAGGCTGGAATATAGTAAGTGCTCCAGAGATGTGATGTGAAGCTGCCCTGTGAGTGGCTGTGGGGGCAGCAGCAGCAGGAAGGAGGGGCTGGGGATGAGGCTGGAGATGTGGGAGATGCAGAAGTGAGCCTATGGCCACATTTAAGGCAGAACGCGATGAAGGCCTTACATAAAGCGATGGTGTAGGATGGATTAGGGCCATGCTTGAGAAGAAGGAGCTAGACTTGCTGACATGGGGGGATAAGGAGAGGGAGGGGTCCATGAAGCCTCCTGGGTTTCTGTTTGGGAGGCTAGGTGTTGCGGTGTCACTGCTGGAGAGGAGGACGAGGACGTTAAGGGGGACAGGGGAAAACCATCACAGCCGGGCCAATTTAATAGGTGTTTCAAAGAGTGGACCACATCAAGGTTCAAAGAAATGACCCCCTGAGTATAAGGAGGTTTTGAGCCACCGGTCTGAACATTTCACCAGAGCCAAATTTAAGAGGAATGTATTTGTAGGGCAGGTGGCAGTGGGGACACCTCAAAGGGGAAATGTCTGCCATGCAGCGGTCACCCTGGGACTGGACGAAGAATGGGGAGAATGAACGGGGGTGAACTCCTACAACAAAGGGGCAGCTGATAGTAGTTCTTGAGATCTCTGCGTGACAGAGAAGGAGAGGGCCATCCCGTAAGGATAAGAGATCAGAAGAGAACCAGCTACTGACCATCACGGAGCACTTGGCCTTGACTGCTCACAGCCACCCCAGGAAGGAAGCAGATATCCGTGTCATATCTGAGAAAATACCTCAGGATTAAGTAAGTTCGAGGTCAGCAGTGGAGCCCGAATCTGTGTGTAGCGGGACTCCACAACCCTTCTTGTGAAGCTGGCGCAGTCAGGATGCTCTGCCTTTTCATAAAATATGAGTTAAAGAAGGCTGCCCCCTGAGCCTAGCCTTTGGCGAGGACGCGGTAACGCTGTCCCCCACTGCCCAGGCCTGCCAGTCCCAAGGTCATGCTGAGGACTCCAAGTAATAGCATTAGGAACGTGAGCCATGGTTTTTTCAACAAGGGAGCAAGGTCATTCGAGCGGATTATTCCAGCATTTGCGCTTCCAGAAGTAGGTCAGAGAGAGAATGCACAGCAGGAAAATCAACTAGGGTAAGAGGTTGTTATAGTGATCTGGGGAAGGGGAAATGAGCTCTGGACAGAGCTGGGGGAATGGAAGATGAGATGAACTGTGGGAACTGAGTGGAGAAGGAATACCAGGATGGCCAGGAGTTGCGAGAGAGCAAGAAAAAGGGAAGGAAAGAAAATGCCAGTATTCCAAATCTGGGGAGAGACACTGTTCTCCTTCCCAGACTGAATTTTAAACTTTTTCAAATGATAAGGCTATACATGTTTATTAGAACTGGAAACAGAAGTACAGGAAGAAGGAAAATTAATCACATGCATGCCCGTAACAAACTGATTGCTGTTAACATTGTTTTCTTCTAGTGTTTTCATAAACATATGTTTACACTTTAAAAAAAATCAGAATTGTATGCAATACATAATTTTGAATTTTAGTTGTTTGCTTACTAGTGTTTTTGTCTACATGTGCCATCGCGTATTCTTAGAAAACATCATTTTCTCACGGAGACCACAAGCTTTGAGACATATCAACCTTAAATCATTTCACATGTCTAGCATTTTGGATTTGATTGGTTAAGCATGGGCAAGCTACAAACTAAATTTGATATATTACAGTATTGAAAACTATAAATATTATACATGGGCATTGTGAGTCTGGAAAAATAAAAAAGGCATAAGGAAGAAGACAATCACCTATAATTCCACTGCCCAGAAAGACTCCTGGTCCATATTTTGGCATATGCAAGAGTAGATTTTATATTTTTTATATACTGATGTTTTTCATTTAGCATTTATATCATGGCCAGATTTAACTGTAGTGCGTTCTACCATCCTTATTGTTAATAATCCTTTTTTTTAATTTTTTTTTTTTTAATTTGTTAGAGAGAGGAGAGAGAGAGCACAGGCAGACAGAGTGGTAGGCAGAGGCAGAGGGAGAAGCAGGCTCCCTGCTGAGCAAGGAGCCCGATGTGGGACTCGAGCCCAGGACGCTGGGATCATGACCTGAGCTGAAGGCAGCCGTTTAACCAACTGAGCCACCCAGGCGTCCCAATAATCCTTTTTATAATGAGGGAACTTTTAACAGCTAGAACAAATGCTTCACTGAGCATTTTGACAAGATAAAAATGTCCCATTTTAACAAGCCTTGGCATGAAGTTGTTCTGCAGTAGTCCACAGAACTTCTCAGACCTTCCCCTAAGCCCAAGCCAAACACAAAATTTCCTTGATATGTCTCATCTAAATAAATAATTTAAAAATTACCCCCCAAAATCCACCACCTCATATTTATTTTTAAGAGTTCAGACCTCAGGGCACCTGAGTGGCTCAGTTGGTTAAGCGTCTGCGTTTGGATCAGGTCATGATCCCAGGGTCATGGATTGAACCCGGTGTTGGGCTCCATGCTCTGCAGGAAGGCTGCTTCTCCCTCTCCCACTCCCCCTGCTTGTGTTCCTTCTCTCACTGTGTCTCTTTCTGTCAGATAAGTAAATAAAATCTTAACAAATAAATAAAAATAAAAGACTGCAGACCAAAGACAGAAAGTCAGGAGTGAAAGTCCCTACGACTTGCTCTGTGTTCTCTCCCCATATTTAGAATTGCTGCATATTCTTCTAGACTTTTTTGACACCACAGATAAAGCTTGTGAGTTACATAAATAAGGCTATTAGCTATTTGCTTTTTAAATCTAATTTATTCTGTTAGTCCTTACAGATCTGTTTTTTGGTAATAGCTTTAATATTACTCTATACCATGTAGTATCATGATTTATTAAACCAACCTCTTATTATTGGATATATAGGCTATCTCCAGTTTTTACTTTTAGAATAATGCTTCACTGACCCAGTTGAAAATGGGCAAAACAGCCCTGCATGCTTTGCTGCTGGGAATGTAAAATGGTGCGGCTGCTGAGGAAAACTGGTTGGCAGTTACATAAAGGGTTGAACAGAGTAGTCACCATATCACCCAGCAAATCCACTCCTAGGTACATATGCTCATGATAACTGAAAATACATGCTCACATGAAAACTTACACATGAATGTTTATAGCAGCATTTAAGCTCAAAGTGGAAACAACTCAAATCCATCAACCGATAAATGGGTAAACAAAATGTGGTATATCCATACAGTAGAATGTTATCTGACAATAGAAAAGAATGAAATTCTGATCCATACTACAACACAGATGAACCTTGAACCCATTATGCTGAGTGAAGTAAGTCAGACACAAAAGGCCACTATCTACCACTCAATTTCTATGAAATGTCCAGGATAGGCAAATCTGTATAGAGGGAAGGTAAGTGAGAGGTTGCCTGTAAGTAGAAGGGGAAAATGGGGTGCAACCGCCTAGTGGGTATGGCGTTTCTTGTCTGGGGTGATGGAAGTGTTGTAGAATTAGATAACGCGTATCATTGTGTATATACTAAAAACCACTGAAATGTATGCTTTAAAATGCTAAGTTTTGGGGTGTCTGGGTGGCTCAGTTAGTTAAGCATCTGACTTTTGATTTCAGCTCAGGTTCTGATCTCAGGGTGGTGGAATCGAGCCCCACATCAGACTCTGTGCTCAGTAGGGAGTCCACTTGAGATTCTCTGTCCCTCTCCTTCTGACCCTCCCCACTGTGTGCCCCCTTTCTCAATCCCTCTAAAATAAATAAAATTTAAAATAAAATGCTGAGTTTTATGTTATGTGCATTATCTCATTAAAAATTAGTTTTTATCATATGATCTCCCTGATATGAGGGAGAGGAGATGCAACATGGGGGGTTAATGGGGTAGGAGAAGAGTAAATGAAACAAGTTGGGATTGGGAGGGAGACAAACCATAAGTGACTCTTAATCTCACAAAACTGAGGGTTGCTGGGGGGAGGGGGGTTGGGGGGGGTGGGGTTATGGACATTGGGTAGGGTATGTGCTATGGTGAGTGCTGTGAAGTGTGTAAACCTGGAGATTCACAGACCTGTACCCCTGGGGAAAAAAAAATATATGTTTATAAAAATAAAATAAAAAAAAATTAGTTTTTAAATACAAGACTCTGAACAGACACTTCACAAATGCAGACATTCATATGCTCAATAAATATATAATGCTCAATATCATTAGTCATGTAAGAAATGTAAATGAGAACCACACTGCTATCCCACTCCTTACCCACTGGAATACCTAAAATGCAAAAGACTGACAATTTGAAGTGTGGGCAAGGTGTGGTGAAGTGGCCTTGTCGACGGGAGTATAAATTGGTATGTCCACTTTGGAAAACTGGTTGATAGGACCTACTAAAGCTACCCATATATATATCCCGTGAGCTGGCACTTCCACTCCTGGATGTATACTCATCAGAAACAAATACTTATATTCTCAAAAAAAAAAAAAAAAAAAGAAAAGAAAAGAAAAACTAATTTCATAGCAGCTTTATTCACAATAACTCCAAACTGGAAAAACCCAAATGTTCATCAACAGACTAGATAACTTGTGATGTGTAATAAAAAGAATAAACTTTTGACACACATGACAATGTAGATAAATCTCACAGACTTATGACTATATGATATTTGTATCAAAACATCTTCCTATTTCAGGAGCACCTGGGTGGCTTGGTTGGTTGCTCAACCAACTCTTGATTTTGGCTCAGGACATGGTTTCGGGGTCTTGGGATCCAACCCAGTAAAGAGCTCTAAGCTCAGCAGGTGGGACCGCTGAGGTGGTGGGTCTGCTTGGGATTATCTTTCTCTCTCTCTCCCTCTGCACCTCCTCCCCGCTGTTCCTCCCCATGGCTCATGTGCCCATGTGTTTTCACTAAAATGAATGAATTTTTTTAAAGATTTTATTTATTTATTTGACAGAGAAAAAGAGAGAGCACAAGCAGAGGGAGTGACAGGAAGAGGGAAAGGGAGAAGCAGTCTCCGCACTAAGCAGGAAACCCAATGTGGGGCTTGATGCCAGGACTCTGGGATCATGACCTGGGACAAAGGTAGATGCTTGACTGACTGACCCACCCAGGTGCCCTTAAAAGATTTTATTTATTTGACAGACAGAGATCACAGGTAGGCAGAGCGGCAGGCAGAGGCAGAGAGAGAAGCAGGCTCATCGCTAAGCAGAGAGCCCGATGCGGGCCTCAGTCCCATGACCCTGAGATCACTACCCGAGTCAAAGGCAGATGCTTAGCTGACGGAGCCAGGCAGGCGCCTGAAAATGAACAAATCTTTAAAAAACAACAACAACAACAACAACAACAACACTCTTCCTCTTCCATAAGCTGCATTCTGAGGCTTATATTGACATGTAAAGTGTTACCTGGATCAATTTTTAAAGCTGATTGTATGACTTTACAGATGCTTGGTTTTTTCCCCCCGAATGCCAACACTAAATATATTTTTAAAACAAAACACCTTTCTATTATTTCAAAAGAAATGCATATGGGTCGTAGAACAATTAAAAGATGCAGATTACCCACCACTACCGCAGTTCACCTGAGCTCCCTCCTCATGAACGCCCAGTCAACACTTTGGTGTGTGCACATAGAACACGTGTGTGAGCATGCAGGAAAACCCGAGTATGCTAATATACAGTTAGCACATACCTACCTTCCACAGAGTCAGCACTCGGAGAGCCCAGCTGAGAAGTCAGAGTTGCAGCTCCAAGGTGAAGTCGAGAAAGCAGAAGCTGTACCTCTAATCTCCTTATCCGGGCGTCGTGGCTCAGAGGCTTTGACCCTTCCCACGGGCAGTCACTGCCTGTGCAATCTTCTGCCCATCCACAGCAAATGCCCTCGGAACTTCTGCTGACCTGCTTCTTGAGCCTAGTTCTCTGACCTCTGCAGGAGGCAGCCTTGGCAGGCAGGAGCCTCATGAATGCACGCTCTGCTCCACTGAGCCATGCTGACATTTGCCCCAACTGTCATCAGCAACTTCCGCCTGCTTGGTCCTCATCCCACCAGCTCCTCTTCATCTTGGAAGTTCTGCCCACCATCAGATTTGTGGGACGGTTGGAGAGGTGGGAGGTGTGCCCTTCCCCTCCCCCATGCATACATTTCTCAGCATTGCAGGCCCCCTTTTCTTGTTCCCAGACAAGATCTGCTCCTTCCCAGTGCTGACCCCCAAGTCCTGCCCTCTAATAGGACCTTGCTCCTGCAGCTCTGTCCCATCTCACCAGCATTAACATGAGCGCAGGGAAGAGTAAGATGTGGACCTGCTCTCCAGGAGCTCCCAGGGTAGCAAAGGAGATGGGCACTGTCTCTGGCCGATAGCCCTGGGGGAGTGTTGCAAAACAGGCATGAACCCTGACCTATGGGAACCAAAAGGGAAGGGTGATGAGGAGCAGAGAAAGGGCACGGAGAAGGGCACAGGTGCTGATCAGAAACCCAGCCAAGTGTCTGCCAATGGCCCCTCATTCCCTCACCATTTGGGAGCCCATGGAGACAGCCTAAGCCAGGATTTAGGGCATATTTGCTTTCCCTCTAAAAATGTTTATATATATTTTACAGGGTATTATGAATCCATAAAAAGATATCAACATCTTCAAGTGTACAATCCTTAAAGAAAGGCACAAACCTTGTGCACCTAAGAAAAATGTAGTCTCCTAGCAATTGAAAGAACCTGACCTGGGACGCCTGGGTGGCTCAGTCCTGTAAGCGTCCGACTCTCAGCCTTACCTCAGGTCTTGATCTCAGGGTTGTGAGTCTGGGCCCCAAGCAGCTGGGTGTGGAACCTACTCAAAAAACCAACCAAACAAACAAAAAACAACAACAACAACAAAAAACCCCAAACCTGACCCAATTCATTTGGTAATTTATTTTATTGATTATAAAATACTTGAAAGTTCTACTTTTCATTTCTTCCTATACAATGTATCTAAATGAACTAAATCATTTATAAAATGAAAAGACATCATTACATATCAGGGCAACATTGCTTCATCATCATGTATTATTTCCACCCCTAAGATATATGTCCATGTTAGAGAATCACAGCTACAGCCTGGGAGTCTGTCAGAAGCAGAGGGCCGGTTGGGATCCTCGGAACGGCACCCAGGAGCACTGGGGCCACTGTCCATATAGGCTAGCAGGGCTGGTCAAATGACATTGTGTGCTCTGAAAGGAAGGAAAGAAAAGGTTTGGGGGAGGTGTGTGTGGGGGGGTGGACAAGGGATAGTCCGTTTCCACAAAACTTGGAAAATGCTGGTTTCTCCCAAGGAGGAACTGACATAATTCTTCAGTTATTTTTATGGGAAAATTTAAGAGCATATTTGAATGCTGAAAAGATAGAGAAAATCATTTAAGTTGCCTTTTAAGCTTAGTTTTTAAAAACATCATATGAACAATGAGAAAGTATGGCAAGTGTGTTGGCAGATAAAAGTTAAAGAAATGTTGTTTCAGAAGAGATGATAAATGGGCATGAATTAATTTTACTAATAGATTCATTTTAGAATATATATATATATATATATATATATATATATATATAAAATACTTCATATGATTCACTTCAGATTGAATATTCTCTTAAAAACTAGAGGAACCTGAAATTATAAATGTTTTTGCATGCAGGAGCATTTTTAATAAAAAGTGAATGAACCCCAACCCCTCCGCCCTGGGGCAGGAGGCCTGGGGTCAGAGGACTTTTGACAGGACCTTGTGGCCAAATGGGATTATTTCCTGGAGGACTCAGCCCTGGACCCCACCTGTGGCTTCATAAATGTACCTGGGCCTCACAAAAACATTAGAAAACGTAGGAGACACGGGTCTCCAGGATCCTACGCCCTCTGGGTGGGGGAGCCCTGTCCCAAGACAGATCTAGAAAATACGGGCCTTCCAGGAATCCCAGTAAAAGCTGGCTGTGCTTCTGAAGGTAGACGTGGCCTTTCCAACCCCAGCTAGTGTGTGTTAACTCTTACAGAATGACAGTGGTGACACCATCACCGGGAGCAAGAGAAGATGTGGCCCATCTTGGAGAATTCTTATGTTCTTCCTTATATCACATTCCAAAGCATTTCCAGTTCCAATAATAAACCACATCCCTCATATTTGCTCTTCATTTAGCTTCTGAGGGAAAAGTACACTTACTCTCTTTTCTCCTGCTATAACCTATTGAGAAAGCCTAGCTTAAAACTGCTGGGGATCTGGATCATTTCCAGAGCATGTGGAGAGGGGGTAAAAGGAAATGTAACTTGGAAGAGATATTTTGTATCCAACATCAGCTGGGATGAATCCGCCCGGTTATTTAGGAGAGCCTGAAATTAAAACCAGAGGAAAAAATGAATAAAGAAACCAGTGCATTCTGCTTTATGATTGTCTAGAAGTCTAGAGTGAGGAAAACACAACTCCACCGTCGCTGAAAAGCTCCTTTCAAAATCATGTGAGCAAATGCACAAAAAAGCCTTTTAACAACACAATCCCGTGGTGAAATGGTCTATGCAGGATTTCCAATCAGCTCTCATGAATATTTACTTACGTGCTCTGTTTCACCTCAGAAGTTAATTTCCCATAGGATGGACTGACTGTAAATGGATCTGCTTTCTATTCTTACCCATTCTTGTGGCATAATTCTAAGCCCAGACATGAGTAGATCTGAAGTATTGAATATTTCTAACAGTTATCCTTTTTTATAGTTCAGTAGTTTGTAACCTTTTTTATCTCAACACCCCTTTATACTCTTTAAAGATTACTGAAGACCCCAAAGAGTTTCGTGCATATGGGTAGAACTATTGATATTTACTATATTAGTAATTAAAACAACAATTTAAAATATTAATTCATTAGAGTAACAAGAACAAACCCAATGCATGTAAACATTTATTGAAAAGTAACTATTTTTTAAAACAAAAAAAATTAGTAAGAAGTTGTATTGTTTTATATTTTGTAAATCTTTTTAATGTCTGACTTAATATGATAGGTAAAATCTCTCATGTCCGCTTCTGCATTCAACCTATAGTGAATAGAGGTTGAAAGTAGAGGAAAGTAGAGGTTGAAGTAGAGGAAGAAAAGTCTGCTTCACACATATGTACTTGGAAAAAGGAAGCCTTTGCAGATCCCTTGAAAGGGTCTCAGGGACCTACAGAATCCTTGAATTAAACTTTGAGAATTGATACCTTAGTTGACTGGGGAAGAAACTTTAGGGATTAAAATAAGAAAAATGGGTATACATTTTCCCATTCAGCTTCTGCTCCCTTGCACAGTACTGATAAGAAGACTGATAATAAACAAGACATGTTGAAGGAACACAGCAGGTGAATCATGGTTTTAGAGGCTAAAATGGGCCTGGATGCCTCAGTTGGTTAAGCGTCTGCCTTTAGCTCAGGTCATGAACTTAGGGTCCTGGGAATGAGCCCCGCATTGGGCTTCCTGTTTAGTGGGGAGCCTCCTTCTCCCTCTCTCTCTGCTGCTCCCCTTGCTTGTGCTTTCTCAAATAAATAAATTAAAATATTTTAAATAAAATTTTAAAAAATTCAGAAATTCAAAAAAAGAATAAAATGGGTATTTGACAGGGAAAATTCCTGCTGCTTAAAAAAAATTTTTATTATTATTAACATATAATGTATTATTTGCTTCAGAGGTACAGGTCTGTGAATCATTAGTCTTACATAATTCACAGCACTCACCATAGCACATACCCTCCCCAATGTCCATCACCCAGCCACCCCATCCCTTCCACCCTTCTCCCCTCCAGCAACCCTCAGTTTGTTTCCTGAGATTAAGAGTCTCTTACGGTTTGTTTCTCTCCCTGGTCCCATCTTCTTTCATTTTTCCCTCCCATCCCCCATGATGCCCTGCTCTGCCTCTCAAATTCCTCATATCAAAGAGATCATGATAATTGTTTTTCTCTGATTTACTTATTTTGTTTAGCATAATACCCTCTAGTTCCATCCACATTGTTGCAAATGGCAAGATTTTGGGTTTTTGATGACTGCATAGTATTCCATTGTATATATACACCACATCTTCTTTATTCATTCCTGCTGCTTTTGCTAAGTGCCTTTTGTTTCCATGTTTGGTAAATGTGCTTTAATCTTAGATTTCTATAACATTAATTCAATATTCAATATTCAATTATTCATTCATTCATTTAAAGTAGACTCCATGCCCAGTGTGGACCCAATGTGGGGCCTGAACTCACAACCCTCAGATCAAGACCTGAGCTGAGATCAAGAGTTGGACATATAACTGACTGAGCCACCCAGGTGTCCCCTCGATTTCTTATACTGAAAATTAAAAGGTACATCCTTAAGGATCTTACCTGTACTTTACGAACAAAAGATGGAGTCACTCTTTTCTCAAAGTCATCTATAGGTGTGTATGAATTAAGGATCTTTATGATCTGGAAACAGCATATAAGATGGGGTTAGAACATGAAAAACGACAAGTCTGTCCAAGAAATAACGATTCTGATGGCTTGGGAACTCTTGGGAACCACATGTAGTTCTTTGATACTGTAAAGTGCCTCTAAGAACCGTGTGTTCTGGCTTCCTTCCTTAACCCCTCCCCTCCCCCCATACATACACGTCTGTGAGTTCAGAGGGCAGGGAATGTATCATAGGCACTTTTCTGTTTTTAAGTCCTAAGTTAGTATTAAATAAATGCTTATTAGATAAGAGGGTGGTCCTTGGAGATACGTGTGCACCCCAAAGAGCACACAGAGACTCAGACACACCCTGTGGCTGGCTAAGCCAGAAAGGGTGACACCAATCACACAATCCATTTTTGAAGATCAGGGATACCCTCAGCAAGCCTGGTCACCTGCACAGCAGACAGTGAGGTACAGCGTTCATAGATCTCCTTGGCATCGCTGTCTGTGGTCTTCTTGACCTGAAGCAACCAGGCTGCCTGAGAGAGAGGTTCCAAAGTTTCCTTGGCCAAGCTGTTCTGCAAATTCTTATCTTTAAGCCATTCTTCTAAGTAGCTGATGTTGCACCTGGAGTAAAAGCCAGAGAAAGAGTGAATAGTGGGTGATCTGTTAAGAACACTTCAGGGGAGGGTGCCAAATCCCTCAGTGTGTCCTGAGAGGGTATTCGAGTTCACTGAGAGCTTTAGGACCATGGTCCAGCCGTTTCTTCATTTGTAACATGAGGCGGTTGGACCAAATGATCAGCTCTCATGATCCGTGGTTCTAAGGATCTTGATGATCTGGGGTGACGGCCATAGCAGCTCTAAACTTTGGGGGAAATTTGAGCAAAAAGTGGTGACTGCAATAATTTATAAAGTGATCTATAAAAATAACCTTAATAATGGATTTGAAAATCTACTAAAGGAAAAAATCATAGTGATATTTGAAGACCTTACATTGGTATAAAAAACTGCTTTCTTTTCCTAAATTGGCAGAAAGTTTTCAATTGGTAGAAGGCTTTCATTCGGTCCACTGGGGTTTTTATTCTTGTTTCTGTCACTAATTATCGTAAGTTTATAAAGTAAGAGATATGGGTTTTAGTCCCACCAGCCAACTTTGTGAATTTGGAAAGTTACTCAACCTCTATGGGTAAGTGAGAGTGTTGAGAACCCCCATATATTGCTAGTGGGAATGTAAAATGGTAGAGCTGCTAAGGAAAACAGGTTGACAGTTCCCCAAAGTGTTAAACATAGAACTGCCATATATATATACTCTTGGATATATACTCAAGAGAACTGAGAGCATGTCCACATAAAATTTCGTGCATACATGTTCACTGCAGCATAGCCAAAAAATGAAAACAACCCAAAATGTCCACCAACTGATGGACACACAAATTGTGGTATGTCCATACAGTGGGATATTATTCAGCAATAAAAAGGAATGAGGTATTGATACATGCTATCACATGGATGAACTTTGAGAACATTATGCTAAGGGAAAGAAGCCAGTCACAAAAGACAACACATTTTATGATTCCATTTATAAAAGTGTCCAGAACAAGCAAACCTATAGAGAAAGAAAATATATTTGTGCTTGCCTCGCTTGAGGGAGAGGGGACTATGGAAGTGGGATATGGTAGTGGATGAGAATGCTGGTGCTAATGGGTATAAAAATTCTTTTTAGAGTGATGGAAATGTTTTAAAATTACATTATGGTGATTGTACAACTCTGTAAATATACCAAAACCTATTGAACTATACAGATATAGTTTACAGAATGGATAAAATTTATAATATGTAAATTATCTATCAATGAAGCTGTTTTTAACAATTGAATTTTGGGGGCACCTGGCTGGCTCCGCTGGAAGAGCATGCAACTCTTGATCTTGGCATCATGGGTTCAAGCTCCATGTTGGTTGTGGAGATTACTTAAATAAATAAACCTTAAAAAAAATGAGTGTTGAACCAGGTGATCTCTAAGGGCATTCCTAGCTTGGGCCTTCTTAATTAGCAACTCCCTCCATGGGTCTTCTCTTTGACTATAACATTGGGACAATAATGCTGAGTCGATATATTCCATAGGGATGTAATGAGTGTGAGATACTATTTCTTGTACTGGTTTCCTGCCTTTTTTGCACTGACAATTTGGTTCCACTAGTTTGAGTTCTCATTACAATAGATTCCTATTGGGCCTCCCATCTTATCCCTTCTAATTCATCCTACTTAATTCTGCCACAGTCCTTCCTTACTATGGATGTTGAGCATGTTAATTCTCCCACTAAAAAAATCAGTGGTGGAACATAATCCAGTAATTATACCCAAAGTATTGGGTAAATACTGGGTATTTACCCAAAGACAATGAAAACGCTAATTCAAAAACATAAATGTACCCCTATGTTTATTGTAGCATTATTTATAATAGTCAAGATATGGAAGCAACCCAGGCATCTATCAATAGATGAATGGATGAAGAAGGTGTGGTGTAGCTATACAATGGACTACTACTCAGCCATAAAACAGAATGAGGTCTTGCCATTTGCAATAACATGGACTGACCTAGAGGGTATTAGGCTGAGTGAAATAAGTCTGTTGAAGAAAGACCAGTAACGTATGATTTCATTCCATGTGAAACTTAAGAAACAAGACAAAGGGGAAAAGAAACAAAAAACCAGATTCTTAAATACGGAGAACAAACTAATGGTTGCCAGAAGGGAAAAGGGTGGGAGGATGGGTGAAATAGATAAAGGGAATTATGAGCACACTTATCCTGATGAGCACTGAGTGATGTACAGAATTGCTGAATCATGCTTTTATATACCTGAAACTAATACAACACCGTATGTTGATTATTCATCAGGTTTTTAGAAAAGGGGAAAAATCAGTGGTGGAGTTCTGGTTCTAAGCAAGAACATACTCCACTTTGCCCTCCCATTGAATGCAGCTGTAAAAGCTTGATGGAATGCCTGAAGCAGCTATTTGAGGACTCTGGAAAGTAAATAGTACTAGGTAGGTTGGGGAAGAAGACCAGGATTTGAAGTATTGACAAATGGGTAGTGAATTTACTAGTTTTTTTCCTGTCTACTATTCATTAGCCTGACCTCAAAGGAGCCTGAAACTCAGCGGTGGGTACTGATGGCAATAAAGTCTTCCAGTCAGAGGCCTCTAGGTCTGTGTTGAGGAGCTGAAGAAAGGTGTCTTAAAGCGCTTTAGAGAGGACAGAAGTCCTCTGTTTTTCTTCTTTCTATTTCTTCTTTCTTCTTTTTGTGCTTCAGCCCCAAACAATTTCATTGTGGTAGCAGTGTGGCAATGGGGTCCAGTAGGAAGCTAAAACTCTGAGGAAGGAAAACCTTCTCCAAATGGAGCAACAGTGGTTCAAGAGAATGGGGTGAACCCCCATTGTTCATTTCTGCCACCACTTAGCCCCAGACGAAGATATCTGTAGCAAGTACACCACACAGTGAGTTAAGTAAACCCCCGGTTTTCTGTCTGGAGGTCCAAAGAGGGGATTCTCAGGGATCTGGAAAGTATCAGGGGTGTTTTGGAGATGGAGGAGCTTGGGAAAACAACCCTTTAAAGTTGTTCGTGAACTCCTTGGTGCTACCTTGGGCCCATGCACGGATCTGACCCTCAACAGCACACGTAGGTTTTGAGGACTAAACAATAGGACAGAGCACCACCCAAGTTTCAGACTGACCACGGCGTGTCACACATGAGACAGAACCAAACAGCATAACAAAGGCTTTGAGAACTGACACAGGGGTCACAAGCCACAAACGATGGTCAGAACTCGCAGCCTGAACTCAAATGGGTTATCTGATAAAAATATCAACATTCTCCATAAGACTGAAAGACCCAAAGTCTCAGTATAATACTAGAAGTGTCCAGGAGATGATTCAAAATTACTTGGCATATGAAGAACCAAGAAAGTCTCAATTTGCATCAAACAAGAAAATTAATAGATGTCAATTCTGAAATGACACAGAGATTTTAAAGAAGCTATCATAAAAATGCTCCAAAAAGCAAAGACAAACTATCTTGAAATAAATGAAACAATAGAAAGTCACAGAAAAGGATGATACAAAGAAAAACCAAACAAAAACTTTACAACTGAAAAATATAATAACAAAAATAAAAGAATTCTTTTAATGGGTTCAACAGCAGAATAGAGATGCCAGAGGAAACAGTCCGTCAAGAGAGAGGATTCGATCTAAAGAATGAAAACAGAGGGAAAATAAATTAAATAAATAACGTTAGGGACCCATGAGACCATAATGAAAGGCTTAACATTCATGTTATTGAAGTTCCAGGGGAAAGGAGAAATTATGATGCAGACAAAATATTTGAAGAAATGACTGAAAAGGGGGCACCTGGCTGCCTCAGTTGGTTAAGCATCTGCCTTCAGCTCTGGTCATGATCCCAGGGTCCTGGGATTGAATTCCACATAGGGCTTCCTGCTCAGTGGGGAGCCTGCTTCTCTCTCTCCCTCTGCTGTTCTTTAGCTTTCTCTGTCTTTTTAAAAAAAAAAAAAAAATTTTAAAAAAAAAAAAAAAAAAAGGAAAGAAATGACTGAAAAGGTCCCAGATTTAGTGAGATGTGCAAGCTTACAGATTCAAAAAGCTCAGGGAATCTCAAAGAGGTTGAACTCAAAGAAATCCACACCTAGACACATCCTAATTAAACTGTGGAAAATCAAAGACCAAGAAAATCTTGAACGCAATCTGAGAAAAACTGTGCATTACTTGGAGGGAAAAGTAATTCAAATATCCTTGCATTTCTCATCAGAAACCATGGAAAAATGTTTCACATTTTTAAAGTGATGAAAAAAATGGAATGTGAACAAAAATTCTATATCTCACCAAAATATACTTCAGGAATGAAAGTGAAATGAAGACATTTTCAGGTGAAAGAAAACTAAGTATTGGCACTGAACTTGCTGTGTAAGGATTACCAAAAGAATGCCTTCAGGCAGAAAGGAAATGGTATCAAAATGAGATTTGGGGGAAAAAATAAGACTTGCAACATTAGGAATGAAGGAGTAACAGAAACGGAGTAAACATGTGGGCAAATATAATAGACAGTTCTTCTATTGAGTTTCTTAAAATATATTAGCTGGTTTAAAATGAAAATTATAACATTATCTGGCAGAGTTTTTGATGTCCGTAGATACAATACATAAGACAACTATAACATAAAGGGGAAAGGGGCCTATGTGATAGTAAGCATCTTATATTTCACTTGACATGGTTAAGATAATGATTCTAAATAGACTAAAAGGGGCACCTGCGTGGCTCAGTCAGTTAAGCATCTGAATCTTGATTTCACTCAGGTCTTGATCTCTGGGTGGTGAGTTCAAGCCCCATGTTGGGCATGGAGCCTACTTCGAAATAACTAACTAAATAGACTGAAAATTAAGTATATATTCTGTAATTCCTAGAACAAACACTAAAAAATACAAAGATAGAGTAAAAACACAGTAGATAAATTTTTTAGAGGTGGGGGAGGGGCAGAAGGAGAGAGAGAGAGAGAGAGAGAGAGAGAGTGTTTAAGCAGACTCCATGCCCAGCATAGAATAGAATCTGAATACCTGAATACCTGAAACTCTATATCTACTGAACAACGCCTCCCTCTTCCTCTCTCTCCTCAGCCCTGGGCAACAATCATTCTATCTTCTGTTTCCAAGGGTGTGACTGACAGAATACGTTTTTTGATCATATGGAATTAAACCAAAAGTCAGTAACAGAAAGGGAGCAAGAAAGTCTCTGAAAGCTTGTAACATTTTTTTTTTCAAAGATTTTATTTATTTGTTGAGAGAGAGGGATAGAGAGAGTGTGAATGGTAGGGAGGGGGAGAGGGAGAAAGAGAAATAGACACACAGGTCTTGATCCTAGGACCCCAAGACCCTGGGCTCAAGGCAGAGGCTTAACTGACTGGGCCACCCAGATGCCCCTGAACAACATACTTCTAAGTAGTCCACGGGTCAAAGAGTAAGACTCCAAGGAAACTAGAAACTATTTTTAATTAAAAAAAAAAAAAAGAAAAACAATGTCTCAGAATTTGTGGGATAAAGTTAGTGCTTAAAGAGAAATTTTTGGCATTAAATGCTTATGTTAGAAAAGAGAGGTCTCAAAGTCAATAACCAATGCTTCTACCTTAAGAAACAAGAAAAAGAAGAGCAAAATACATCCAAAGCAAGCAGAAGGAATGATATAATAAAGACAGTAACAGAAATCAATTAAATTTTTTAAAAAAGAGAAAAATCAATGAAAGCCAAAGCTGGTTATTTTAAAGGATCAGTAAAATTGATAAACAACCCCTGGCAAGACAGATCAAGATAAAAAGAGAAGACACAGATCACCAATTCAGGAATGGAAGTGGGGGGATATCACTCCAAATTCTGCAGAAAGTAAAATAATATGGAAATATTATTTGTAGCTCTATGCACATAAACTCAACAACTTAGATGAAGGGCACTGATTCCTTAAAGAAGCTCATCAAAGATGAGATATGTAACCTGAATAGTCCTACGGCTATTGAAGAATTTGAATTCAGAGTTTAAAGCCTTCTGGAAAAAAGAAAAGCCTGTGGTGGCTGCGACCACTGAGGGACTGATGCGTGTGTTGCTTAGGCCCGTGTTCCACTTTCTTGATGTAACCAACCTGGCCCTCCATTTGAAGGGAGCTATTAATACCCTACCAGCAGTTTTCTGTCATGAAGCTTGTGCTCATTCCTCTAAGCCTGGGTCTGCTGAAATTCTGCCTGTGCTTTCAGACCCAAACCAATGCCTTTCATGTTCTTCCCCAGGTCCCTTAGTCCAGCAAGCCGTGTATGTCCTTGGGCACATTACTCTGGTCCCTGACAGAACTGTCTGTCTCCACGTGCCCTGCGGAGGCTTTCACCGAAGATCGCTGGACAAAGCAGCCACAGTGAAACTCGCTGCAAAAATGCTACTGCAGAGACTGTGGGATAAAGTTCCATGTGAAACCTTATTTTTTATAACTCATGACTAGGAACAAAAAAATAATCGGGAAAATCTTTACCTCTTCCCTGGGAACACCTGGCTTACCATACTCATGAGACCAGAGAGCTAACCATGTTTGGCTTTTTGTCCTGTCAGTCAGGAAGCCCAGAAACAGTTTTCAAGCGACTCTGTCCAATGTTTATCATTTTTCCCCTTTGGTCTTGATCTTCTACTTGTATTCAGGTTTTATTATTTTGTGGCTTGTGTTTTCATTGTAAAGCCGCCTCAAATCCTCATGGGCCTTGCTCATGGCAGGAGCTTAATAAATACCTGAATAACCGAGCCTCTGTGAAATGCATGTGCTCCTCAGAGCACTGCACCATAAGGGAATTACTTCTCAGATGGCCGCTGTCAACTGGTGAACCAAGAAAGCACTGAGCGCCTATGGGGACAGATGTGGCCTATCCTCTGAGCAGCTGTCACGGGATCTAGGTGCATGCATCTTGCTCATGACTGTCCTCACTCGTGGAGAACCCACAGAAGGAAAGAGAATTGCTTAGCCAGGGCTCTAATGACATGTTTAAGTTTATGGGTTTCCTCTAAATAGGGTTGAATCCTACCTCAGAGGCCCACAGGGCTTCTGCCTGGAACTTGTGAAATAAACAGAACCTTTTCCTTTCCCAAGGAAGAGAAGAAGATCCACAAAGCCCTTCAGAATACTCTTTCTTATCTGAAAACCACAACCTGGTGTCATGGGAATGTCCTGGTTTGTGGGAATGTCCAAGTTCAAGTTTCATTAATGCTAACACGGTTTAATAGATGCCTTGTTTACTTCTTGGCTCAAGATGCTTCCTTTGCTCCCTACCCTGACATCACTGTCGTCAACACGATCTCAGCTTCTCATGCCACATACATGTATCAAATCCCTGTGCAAATCATAGAAATCTTAACTATATACCCTATTTCTAGTCACTTGATAGCGCTAACTCTAACAAGAGCTCAGGGTTTGTGTTTCCTCAACTAAGATATCAGGAAAAGTTGACACACCTCAAAACTGTGTCTCACCATGTCCTCAGGACATTGGTCCTGCTGCTCCCCAAACAAACCCCCACTGAATCTAGACAGAGCTTCCTCCTAGAGCCTGAGGGGAGCTCCTCATTCAGCTCTCCCTCTGTGCCTTTGCCTGCCTCATTTCCCCTGCCTGGAATGTTCTTCTCCCTGTCGGATCACTCAGTGCATAGCTCTTGGGCCTCACTTGTCTGTCCACCACGATCTCTCTTCTCTGCATCCTTGTTTGTGACTTCACCATAATTGCCTTGAATGGTTATTTGGCTATTTTGAGGTTCTGGAGGGCAGGGATCTAGCTGCTCTTTCCTTCATTTCCTGTGTCCTCAGCTGCCAACAGTTCGAGACACAGAGGTGGCAGTCAGTAAACGCCGGTTGAGTGTCTGACAAGCACCCAGTGCCAGGATTTAAAATACACAATTACCAGTTACTAGTCTTTAACCACCAAAGGAAGGCCCTGGGCCTGAGTGCCAAGCTAGCTTGGTGTAGAGTGATGACCAGGGGTTGGGGCTACCACCGGACCAAAGACCTCCTCAAGTTTCTAAGAGTCCTCTTGCACACCCCTACCCCAGCAGCACAGCTCACACGGAGGGGGCGGCAGACATTAAGGGTGTAAGGGCCTACTTAGCCAGAGGGAGCCATTTTGTGTTTATGCAGTGAACTTAGATTGACCCTGCCTCTCCCAGAGGAACTTACTTGCAAAGCCCAGATACAAGGGCGGGTCAGGCCAGGTGGAGACATCCAATCAGTGGGGCGCACATATATCTACTAGGGTAAATTGAAATTCAATTGGCCACCTGTGTGACCTAATATGACTGTGCAGTTTTCCCTGTGTGTTGCAATCTCATTGGCCACCTGTGTATAGCCAGGTTCAACCCCCTCTATAAAAGTTAGTCTGTGAGGCTGGGAGAGGTCGCCTCTTTGTAAGAGACAGCCCAAACCGGTTGGTTTGGCCCCAGCCGGTTGGTTTGATTCTCGTTGCTTGACCTTCGCTTTGCTTGACCTTCACTTTGTATCAGTCTCGCTCCTTTGATTACGGACCATAACAAAGGGCATTCTTCCCAGCTGCCTCTGGGTGCGGGTGGAGGCTTATGGGTTTTACCTGATCTGCATCCCTTTTCTGCAGGAGCACATGTCTTTGCGCAGGAAGAGGCTGTTCAGGGTGATGGCCCCGATCAAGAAGAAGAGCTGCTTCACGGCCTGCCTCACCAGCTCAGGGTCCAGGCCATTCTGGCACATGGTGCTGTAGAAGTAGCTTAGCTGCTGCAAGACGGAGGTCATTGTGTAGCCGTCCGTGTCATCTATGCTGGAGGACCGCTTCCGGAAGCCGGTGGGCTTCAGGCCAGAAATGCCCTGCAGGCTCTCGTACTCCAGCATGCCCTGCACTAGAGAGAAGAACACAAGCATGTCTTGATCACACAGTGGACACGACCAGAGAACGTTTTCTATGGCTCTCCTGGGTCTGTTCCAGGAGGTGGCACGTTTTCTGCAGGAGTTAGCAGTGGTCACAGCTATGATAGGGGAAGCAAGAAGATCAAGGACTGGGGAGCCCCACGGGGAGGAGATGCATGGCTCTTTACAACAGCTTGGAGTCCTTCTTCTTTCAACTTCACAGGAGAGAGAGCAGGTTAACATGATAACTCATGGTCTGGAACCATTTAAAGCCAGAGTATTTAAATTTCAGAAAACTGAAGAAAGTATACAAGAATTTGAGTGGGACTTTAGGATTTCAAAAACACTTAGTGATGACCTAGGATTAGCTACATAAGTAGTAGCAGGTCTCCCTAGTCTTATCCTTCAGGGTGAATCACCGTTACAGGCAGGAAACTAAGAACCATGTACTTTTATATAGGTCATCATTTCAAGCAATTAAAAAGAATTAAAAAGTAGACATTTACATAATTAAATTTTTCTGGGTTTAAAATTATATTCTTTGTCATTGCACTGCTTATACTGGATTTATTTCATTATTTTATTTTCTAAAAAGATTTTATTTATATATTACAGAGAGAGACAGTGAGAGAGGGAACACAAGCAAGGGAGAGCCGGAGAGGGAGAAGCAGTCTCCCTGCTGAACGGAGAGCCCGACCCAGGGCTCGATCCCAGGACCCTGGGATCATGACCTGAGCCAAAGGCAGAAGCTTAACGACTGAGCCACCCAGGCACCCCTGGATTTGTTTTTTTAAGGTCTCAGGGCGACCATAAATATTTTTTGGTCTTCAATTCTTTTCTTACCTATTATTGGTTGAATGTTGTTTTCCATTACAACAATGAACTGATGATAGATTCGTATAGCCACATCACTAAGAATCTGTCTGTATTCTGAGAGGTCAAAATTGTTCAAGCAATTCTTATTCTGATGTGGACTATTAAGCTTCATGAATTCCTGAAAGTAATGTGAGCATATAAATATTAGAATGATACAGACATGTAGGAAATTAAATCACTACCTCTATTAGGGACATTCCAATGAGCATCTATACTTTAAAACCCAGCGTCTGATTGTATGAAATGAGCTCTGCCATGTCTGTGGTGCTGCTTATTCTCTATAACTGTCGCCATATTGCCTCCTCACCCTACAAATAGGCACCCGCCCACCCCCTGCCCTGCACCTATACCATACAGTGCTGAACAAATCCCATGGAAGCTCATCAAAAAAGACTGCAAAGCCATAAAGGAAACACACACCTGTAAGAAGCCAGGAGATGCAATACAAGAGATTCATGACTTAATTATTATAGAGCATAGATCAACCTGAAATATTTTAAAATGTGTGTAATGGACTAAATATTTATGATGTCGGAGCCCTCTCCTCCAGTGTGGCTGTATTTGAAGATGGAGCCTGTGACCAGGTTATTCAGATCAAATGAGGTCCTTAATATGAAGCCCTAATCTGATAGGGTTAGTGTCCCTTTAAGAAGAGGCACTCGGGGGACGCCTGGGTGGCTCAGTTGGTTGAGCAGCTGCCTTCGGCTCAGGTCATGATCCCAGCATCCTGGGATCGAGTCCCACATCGGGCTCCTTGCTCGGCAGGGAGCCTGCGTCTCCCTCTGCCTCTGCCTGACATTCTGTCTGCCTGTGCTTGCACTCTCTTCCTCTCTGACAAATAAATAAATAAAATCTTAAAAAAAGAAAAAAAAAAAAGAAGAGACACTCAGGGGCACCTGGGTGGCTCAGTCAGTTAAAGCATCTGCCTTCGGCTAGGGTCATGATCCCAGGGTCCTGGGATCGAGCCCCATATGGGCTCCCTGCTCAGCAGGGAGCCTGCTTCTCCCTCTCCAGCTCCCCTGTGCTTGTGTTCCCTCTCTCGCTGTCTCTGTCATAAATAAATAAAATCTTAAAAAAAAAAAAAAGAAGAAGAGACACTAGGAAGCTCAGTCTGTCTGCTTCCACGCCTCGTGCCCCAAGGAGAGGCTGTGGGAGGGCGCAGCAGTGAGAAGAAGCCATCCAGACGCCAGAACAGAGCTCTCAGCAGGAACCAGCCATGCTGGTAGGCTGGTTGAGGGTCAGACTTTGGGCCCCTAGAACTGTGAGAAAGTACATTTCTGTGGTTTAAAAGCCTTCTAGTCTGTGGTATTTTGTGATAACAGCCCAACCAGATTAATATGATATATCCAACATGTTCAAAGAGGTAAAAGAAAAAGAAAGCATTAAGAAGAGGATATAATGATAAGAGGCAGAGGTGAAAAAGAACCATTGAAATAGAAATGAAAATATGGCAATTAAAAAAAAACATTCAAACAGGGAAAAGAATGCTGTACACATGGCGGAGGGGGCAAAGAAAGGGTCAAAAGATAAATGGTGTCGAATAATATCCTCTTCCATTAATGTTTCACACATGCCAGTTTGTCTTAAATGGACTGGGCTGTGCCCCCAGCTCCTTTTGGTATTCCTTTTAGTCAGAGATTGGATTATCTTTACTTACTTTTCTTCTTGTTCTATAGTACTAGTAGAGTTACTTTTATATTTTATTTTACTTTTCCTTCATTGGGACAATTAGTTATCCACCTGGAAGAAGGTATGAGGTAATTATCTCACACATCATAGGATAAATAATCACACCAGTTCTGGATAGATAAAAGCATAACTGTGAGCTCTAAATTTGAATTATAGAAGTTCAGAAGAAAGTAAGAGAAGTTCATGGTCTCAGGGCAGGGAAGAATTTCCTGAAGACACTAAAACACATATCATAAAAGAATAGGATTGGTATACCAAAATTCAGAAATTGTGTATAACAGACTCCATAAAAAAATTATAAGACAAACCATGGTTTATCCATGATATGTAAAGACCTCGTACAAATCAGTCAGAAAAAAAATTGCCTCTAAAGAAAATGGAGACTGATGTCAGTAGACAATTTGAACAGAAACCCAAATGACCAATGAGCACATGGAGTGACTCCTTTTTTTTTTTTTAAAGATTTTATTTATTTATTTGACAGACAGAGATCACAATTAGGCAGAGAGGCAGGCAGAGAGAGGGGAGGAAGCAGGCTCCCTGCTGAGCAGAAAGCCAGATGCAGGGCTCGATCCTAGGACCCCCGGATCATGACCTGAGCTGAAGGCTGAGGCTTTAACCCACTGAGCCACCCAGGCATCCCTCCTTTTTTTTTTTTTTTAAAGAAAAGATTTATTTTATTGAAAGATTTATTTTACTTATTTTAGAGAACATGAGAGCAGGGAAAAGGGCCGGAGAGAGAAAGAAATTCTCCAACAGACTCCCCGTTGAGCATGGAGCCCTACGTGGGCTTCATCTCTTAACTCTGAGATCATGACCTGAGTGGAAACCAAGAGTCAGACACTCAACAGACTGAGCTACCCAGGTGCCCCTCCATGGAGTGAGTCCTCACCTCACTAGTGATCAAGTAATTGCAAATTAAGTCAACAAGGTATTATTTTATACCAATGAGATTGGTAAATATTTAAAATGCCTGTCAATATCAAGTGTTGGTGAAGGGATGACACTGGAAACTTCATACACTGCTGGTGGGACCATTAATGGTACAAACATTTGAGAGAGCAGTGAAAACCCTGAAAACCACCTTATTATTTTGGGTCAGTGACATTTTAGTCTGTGAGTACTTGAAGGTGGAGAATTCCTCTCTGTTGGGAGCAGAGCTGGAATGGCAAAGAATGTACATACAGATTGTGGAGCAATGATCAGAATCCTGCAGAGAAAAGAGCTCCAAAGAAACAGTCATGTTAGTCTAAAGGTTGGATTTTAGAGTCATGATACTGAATACTTCAGAATGTCACAACCAGAAACAAACTTAAAAATCATCTTACTTTATTATTATTATGATGCTTTTACTAATTATTATTATTTTTAAGATTTTATTTATTTGAGAGAGGGGGTGGGGCAGAGGAGAGGGAGAAGCAGACTCCCTGCTGAACAGGGCTCATTCCAGGACTGAGGGATGGTGACCTAAGCCGAAAGCTTATCTGACTGAACTACCCAGGGGCCCTGACCTCATTGATTTAAAACTCAGGGAAAACTGAGACCTAGTATCATGCCCAAGGTCCCGGCCTTTTGCTAAGTCTTCTGACTGTGACTTCTGTCTAACCAGTGATGTGAAGTTGACCTCCTGGCTGAGAAGGAGACTGGGAAGCCATCTGGAGCAGAGGCTACCCCTGGAGCTGGGGATGTCCCCAGTTGCTGTGGTGAGCTCTTGCTCACGAGGAAGTTAGAGACCAGCAGTCTGCACAGAACACAGAACAGGCAAGTGTCCCTACCTCTTCTCCACTGTACTGCTTCAGGCAGTTGAGGAAATGACACGTATTGGAAAGCCAAAAAGACAGCATCTCAAAATCGTCTACATGTTCCTTAAAAACAAAAACAAACAAACAAACAAACAAACCAAGAAAGACAAAGTTGGATCTGGTGACTCCTGGTGCCTTTGAGCATAGCTCTCATGAATCTTACCAGTTTGGTCAGTTCATGGCTTTTGATCAGAATGAATTCTTCTTTTATTCACCAAAGACTTTACTCAATTTATACTATAATGATAAGCTCTTATGTTTATTTAGCAGGTTCTGGTTTGCAAAGTATTTCTGATGATGAAACTTCCTGGTAAAGCTAAGTCTGAGTCCTCGCCTTCCAGAGCTCACGTTCTGACCGAGAAGAATGTTATTCATAACATCGCAGGACATAATTAAATGGGTGCTGAGCTCCTGCACAGTGGTCCTAGACTAGACTCCAAACGTTCAAGGGATGCAAGGATGCTGGTGAAAGAGGGCAGCTGAGAAAGTCTCCTACAAGCAGGGAGAATGCTGTCCTTGAAGGAAAGGGCTGGAGGGACAAGAGCTCCAAATTGAGGACTCTGCTGGGGAGAGTAGCTGTGCTTGTGGGGCAGCGGGAAGAGGCACAGAGAAGGTAAAGAGGTACCGTGGTCAGAGGTAAGTGGAAAACTGGGAAAGTCCCGGGATTTGAAGGACAAAGTAGGAGTGTTTCAGAGAGGAGGGCCAAGTGGTTCCATCCATGAGAGGAGGGTAAAAAAGAAGGGAAAACAATTGGATTTAGCAAGAGGAATCATTGGTGATCTTTCTGTGGAGTGACAGGAGCAGAAGCCAGACTGCCGGAACTAGGGGAGCCTGCTAGTGTGAGCACCTCAGCAGTCGGGGCAGCGTGGATGGAAAGGCATAGAGACTACGGGGTATGTGGGCAGGTCCTGGCCACTCAAAAAGGCAGAGGCCAGGAAGTCACTGGGGGAAACGGAGACGGGAGATGCTGGTGGGAAAGGATTTATACTCTTCATGCCTGCATCTTTGAGTTTCTAAATATTTAAATATTCCAGAGCAGCAAAATGAGGCAAATACTGTGTGCCTATAGCCTAGAAATGCACATGTGTCCTAAAACCCATGGGTGCCCCTTCCAAGAGCCCTCTGGTGGCTCTCGTGAATATAGTGACCAGGAGGCACTCAACAACAGACAAGTGTTAATTCTCTACTCCTAACTCCTGCTGAATGATGAATCCTCACAGCGGGGGAATCTCACCTCCTGAGCGGGTAGAGGTGATAGGGGTGGTGGTTACCAGGTTGAAGCCTTGGAGGTAAGGCCTTGAGGTCTATGTGCTAATCTTTAGCCTTGGGGATCCCTGACCGAACTTGTCTTTTCCAGACAGCTTGGCTTCTTTCCTTGGATGGGCCTCGGACTTGTCTGAGGAATCCCGTGGCTCACCGAAGACAAGAGGTGAAGGATGGCCCAACAATGAATCCTTAAAATATTCTTAAAGTAACCAAAATACCAAAGGCTAATGTCAAAGGCAGTTCCTACCTTAACCACTTGCTTGATGCCATTGATGGTGCTGTTCATGAGGGACTTGACCATACCGGCATCATTCCGAGAGTCCGCGTAGCGCACACACATGAACAGGATGTGAGCCGGCAGCCCTGGGATCATGTTCACCACCACGCCTCGCGGCTTCAAGTCTGGAACAGACAGAGCTGATGAGGACTACAGCTGATAGTCAGCTCTCCCCATCAGCTCTCCCCATACAGCCCAGGCCTTGTTTGCTTTTCTGTACTTGATACAGTGCCTGAATGCACGAGGAATTCAGTCTGGCAAAAATATAAAGGTACCGCCTGTTCCTCTTACTTCTCATTTGCCAAGTACTTTCTCTTTTTTAAAAGGCTGAAATTCAGGGGCACCTGGGTGGCTCAGTGGCTTAAAGCCTCTGCCTTCGGCTCAGGTCGTGGTCCCAGGGTCCTGGGATTGAGCCCTGCATCAGGCTCTCTGCTCAGCAGGGAGCCTGCTTCACTTCCTCTCTCTGCCTACCTGTGATCTCTGTCAAATAAATAAATAAAATCTTAAAAAAAAAAAAAAGGCTGAAATTCAGACAGAATTTGTGCTTCTTCCTGGCCTGGAGACCCTCGACTTCAGACCTCCAATATAAGGGAGGAGACCCACGTCCACGCCCCCGACTCCAGCCTCTAATGAGGAGGGTGGGCTATGATCTCAGTGACCACATTCACCCCTTGAATCGGGAAAATAGACACACAATAATCCTGTAGAGAAGGCCTTGCTGGCCTTGAACAGAAGAGAATGGCAGGGGAAGAGAGGGGGGAGTAAGGGAAGAGAGAAACTTTATAGAATGAACTCAGGTAAGCAAACAAGAACCTCCCCATGGCTGCATTAAGAAAGGGAATGAAGGGGTGCCTGGGTGGCTCAGTGGGTTAAAGCCTCTGCCTTCGGCTCAGCTCATGATCCCAGGGTCCTGGGACCGAGCCCTGCATCAGGCTCTCTGCTCAGCAGGGAGCCTGCTTCACTTCCTCTCTCTGCCTACCTGTGATCTCTGTCTGTCAAATAAATAAATAAAATCTTAAAAAAAAAAAAAAAGAAAAGAAAGGGAACGAAGAGGCCCTACAGCTGTGCACCTGTGAGGGTAGAAAGGAAAGGGTCCTGGGGCTCATGTGCTCTGTGCGGTGATGGGGGTGTCACTTAGAAGAGGAAGTTAGGCTACACATCAGTTTTCTACTTTAAGATCTTGAGATCAGCTGATAGAAAGAAAGTCAGCTTTTGTCCCTCCCACTGGAAAACCATGTGATTTTCATGGTGAAGACAGTCTATTAAGATTGGTTCTAAGACCACCAGCCCTTGAGTATGTATGCTGGCATATTCCTGTAACAGAGGTGGGCTGGGAAGCCTGCATCACATTGCCTGCAAATAAAATTCTCAGTGGAAATCAAAAGGAACAGGGAGCCACAGTTACTTCCACCATAGCTCCTGTACTAAGACACAAAAATGAGAGGCTGTGTCTTCTATCTGGATACTATGATTACACTTTGGAAGGGGTAAGGGCAGCACTTTTTTTTTTTTTTTTTTTTTTTTTTTTTTGACAGGGAGTGATCACAATAGGCAGAGAGGCAGGCAGGGGTTTTGGTGGGGGAAGCAGGCTCCCTGCTGAGCAGAGAGCCCAATGCGGGACTCGATCCCAGGACCCTGAGATCATGACCTGAGCCAAAGGCAGAGGCTTAACCCACTGAACCACCCAGGTGCCAGGGAAGCACTTCATAACTGAGGGCAGTTCTGGCTCCCTTGGGATGTTTGGCAATGTCTGGAGATGTTTTTATTGTCATGACTAGGGGTTGTTACTGGTTTCCAGAGGGTAGGAGTCAAGGATGCTACTTAATATCCTATAGTGCACAGCCCCCCACAATGACCAATTATCTGCTTGCCAGTGTGGAGGTTGAAAAACCCTGGGCTAGGAGAAGCAGCGGCCCCCACCCAGGATGGGAGCAATGAGTGATGGAGCGGACATTGAGTTCCAGGTCTCACTACCAAGAATGAGGTTTTGGATGAGCTTGTCCTCATCTTCCATCTTGTACTCCAGCATTCCAAGGTACTCCCTGGGTCCTGAGGACAAGTGGCCATCATTGCCTATAGGCAGAGGCAAACAATCAGTTAAATTCACAGAAACAACTTCTACTGGCTTTATAACGAGCCTACTCTGTCTCTCTCCATCCCATTCTGACTGGCTGGCACATGAACACGTGTGGCTTTCAGATAAATAAAACTTGACTAATCCTGAAGAGCTCCTCTGGTAGTGAGTCATGTCTGCGAGTCTATCCATGACTATTGCTGCTGCTGGGAAGCTGGAGTTATCCTTGAAGAGAGCCTCATGAGAGCCAGCATGAATCCAGCACCATGCAGATAAGAAAGCCAACCAAGATATTGCTTCTTTCTGACTGTGACTAATGCCACAGTCAAGAAAACAAGATTCATGGAACAGTTGGTGAGCAAAGTACTGAACTGCATGATCCCAAGGGGATCTGTATTGGTTTTCTATGTGCTGTAACAATTTACCACAAAGTTAGTGGCTTAAAATACCACAGATTTTCCCAGAAGACTGAAATGGACCTTGCCTGTAGGACTGAAATCAAAGTGTCAGCAGAGCTGAGTTCTGGAAGCTCTGGGGGAGTATCCGTTTCATACCTTTCTCAGTTTCCGGAGGCTTTCTACACTCCCCAGCTTATGGCCGTTAACACTCTGACCTCTGCTTCTGTCACCACGTCCCCCTCTCTCTCTGCTTCCATTGTCATATCACCTTCTTTCACTCTGGCATTCCTGCCACCCTCTTATAAGGTCTCTTGCGATTGTACTGGGTCCCCTAGATAACTCAGGGTAATCTCCCCATTGCAAGATCCTTAATTTAATCACATTGGCAAAATCCCCTTTGCTGTGTAAGTAACACAGTCTCAGGTCCTGGGCTTTGGGGTGTGGACATCTTTGTGTGTGCCAGAGTCTGCCCTCTGGTCACCAAAGATTCATGTCCGTTCTGAGAGGAGATGTGATGACAGAAACAGAGGTTAGAGAGTCAGAAAGAGTCTGAAGATGCTATGCTATTGAATTTGAAGATGGAGGAAGGGACCCATGAGCCAAGAAATGTGGGTGGCCTCCAAAAGCTGAGAAGGCAAGGGAAAATCTTCTCCCCTAAAGCCTCAAGAAGAAACATAGCCCTGATGACATATTGATTGTAACTCTCTGAAAACCATTTTGGACTTCTGACCTCCATTTATCACTTTAAGATGATAAATTTGTGTTGTGTTAAGCCGCTAATCTTATGCTGACTTGTTACAGCAGCTGTAGGAAATTAATACAGGGGCCATAAGAATTCTTACAGAAGGGGATGGAACAAATGAAGGAGGCAGCACAGCAGTTAGGCCAAGAAGAATGAGAAGGGTCTGGTGGGTGGAAAACAAGGTGGTGCAGGTAACCAGTTACCAGAATTTTCTTATTATTGTATGATACTTTCTCCTGCTAATATACTAGCCCTACTTCCTTGGAGACTAATCAAGGTAGAATGTCAACAGTTACTAAGCAATACTGTTTATGTTAAGAATGGCTGATTGGTATCCTGCATCTGGACCTGGAAGAATAAGAAAGAAAGCAGAACTATCCGATAAGCCCATTATACTCTGGGTATTCTTGAGTGTGGTGACTTGTATCTGGGCATGTTCCTTGCAGGGACTCGGGAAGCAAATGGCACCGATGGAGCGTTCAGAAGATGTTGGCTTCCTACCAAGAGTCATGTGGCCGAGCCTAGAAGCAGATGCTATAGCCCATTAGGCCCTCAGGTGACTGGATCCCTGCTGACGACTTGATGGCCCTCAGAGCCAGAGCCCTAGAGCTAAGTTGCTCCTGCATTCTTGACTCTCAGAAACTCTGCGTTCCTATGTGTGTATTGTTTAAAGTTCCTAAATTTGGGGATAAGTTTGTTGTATGACAATAGATAACTAATACAGGAAGGGAAGCTAATGTACTCCACTTTAGCGCCATGGACTTGGAGGAGGTAGTAGAAAGGCAAAGGAGGTAATCTTGGAGGCAAAGAGGGGCCAGGACTCAGGAACAGAAGTGAGGAGTGGGAGGTGGATTTTGGAAATCCTTGTGTTGAGGTGGTAGTTCATTCATTCTTTCCAACAACAGGGACACAATGGGGCCTTGGGAAGGGCAGACATGGTCCCTGCCCTCATGGGGCAGACTGACATTTATCATTAATGATTGAAGGAGAAAGATCCTCTTATTGCTGGTGAGCATTTTGAGACTGAGGTGAGAGTGGGGTAAATAACAGTAAAGGAGGTCTTCAAAGAAATGAATAGAGAAAAAGGAACAGACAGAGATACAGCCTTCGCTCTCCAGGTTGGGAGGAAGAGGAAGCAATATGGAAGCAGGATCAAGAGAGCAGAAGAGAGAAGTCAGAAAAGTTCAGTGACTCAGAAGCAGACGGAAGGTCGTGAGGGCATTCAAAGTGAGAAGTTCGGTCAATGTTCGGGACTCCTGTCTAGCTTCTCAATTCTCTACTTCTTTCTTGTAACAGAAATAGAGGTATTGATCCTATGTAACTGGGAGAGGAAGAGAATTTCAAAGCAGTTATACTGGAAACTTGTTCACAGTTGCATTTTTACCGGGGAAGAATTAATAGCAGATGAGATTAGAAGTATTCATTATGGGATGTCCCTTACAATTCCATGAGCGCATCTGCAATTATCTGCAATTATAGCTAATGAGCTATCCTCTGACCCAAAGGATCTTTCCATTGGCCCATCACTGAACCCTAAACTGCTCCCTCACAAACTGTCCCATTTGAGAATCGTTCCTTTGACTCTCAAAGACTCTGGACCACTTCAGGAAACAAACAATGCTTGTTGACCTTATCTGACAGTTCAAAAGGCAGGAAAGGGAATGTTATTTTTCCTACCCTTTTCAATCGTCTTGGTTAGAGTCTTGACTTGATCTTGTAGCTTTTTAATCACTCTGTCCTTCATGTCTAACTCTTCTTCAAGATCCTACAGAAATCAAAAGAAACAAAGACATTCACTTAGAAGCATTTTAATATGTGTTTTGGTAACAGCTTCATTAACATACTATCCAATTCACTTTGAAGGACACATCCGGTTGTTTTCTAAAGTCAGCTAGACAACCATCACCATCATCTAATTCTGGAACATTTTTGTCACACCAGAAAGAAACGTGTAACTTGTTCCCCTAGTCCCTTCCAGTCCTTGGCAATCACTGATCTACTTTCTAACTCTGTATTATTTGCCTCTTCTGGACGCTTAACATAAGTGGAATCATAAAATGTGTGGCCTTTTGTGTCTGGCTTCTTTCACTTAGCATAATGTGTTCAAGTTTCATCAGTTTCAAGTATGTATCAGCCCTTCATTCCTTTTTGTGGCTGAATAATATCCCAGTGATTAGATAAGGCATATTTATCTTGATCTATTTTTCCCTTAATGAAGTAATGCCCATAATAAAGAATTGAAAAATACAAATGTGTGAAAACAGGTTCTCTGGATAACAGAAACTGGAGGCAGAAAAATTGTAGAGATTTGGGTCCTGGCTTTGCGTTTCCTTCCTGTTAAGGGGGTGCCCTTGCTCATGCAGAATTTGGCTCAGGAACCAGCAGAGTCCTGGAGCCTATAGATATTTCTTAGAAAGGACAGAGTGTGGTAGGTTCTTCCTGAATTCTGAGGGTTTTGGCTCAGAAAGTATTCAGGCTTCTGAGATCCAGCAGTGCCTGGCACACAGTCACTACAGCCGGAGGGCCCCTGGGGAGTCTTGGCACCAAGGAAAAATGCTGTTTCTACGCTGTGACCACCTCTCCCCTGTTACGGTTCTGGGTCTCTGGCTAAACATGTTAGGAACTTTTTTTAGCTTTACAAGTGGGGGGTGTGGGTACAGTTTCCTCCCTCCTGTCTCAGTCCATCCTAAGATACTTCTAATAATAACAGTCACTAGTCGATGAGAACCAGGAGGAAACCACTGTTCATGTTTTGATTTATTTCATTCCTTTCTTTTGTTCTAATATGGCACATACAAATTTTATGAAATTGGGGTCATACTGCATATAAAGTTTTAAATTCTGTATTTTTCTCTCATTATATTGAAGACACTTTCCCATGTCATTGGCCATATACGCCATCTGTCATTTTAACACCTAAGTCATATGATATACAACAATTTATTATATCCACTATTGTTGGATATGTATCCTTTTGCTATAATTAATAACATTACGATGAACACTCTGAACAAAAATCTTTATTCACATATCTAATTACTTAGGATAGTAAGATATTAGAAATTGCATGACTGAGTCAAAAAGAATGTGATTCCCAAGGTTTGTGATACTTGCTTCCAAATCACCCCTGAGAAAGTTGATGCCAATTTCTATTCCCGGAAATCACGTGTGAGGGTGCCCCCTGCAAGGCGTTTTCAGCAGCACCATAAGATCTCTATTACTTGAGGGGCAACAATAACATCTAGTTTTAATTTTTCATTTCTTTGATAAATAGATGATCACTAAAAGTTTTTTTTTTTTTCCTTTTTTAAAGAAGGATTTTTCTTTGACTCAAAAATCATGTCTTGGGCCAAATCGTGTCTCCTCAAAAAATTCATGTCTACTTAGAACCCCAGAACGTAACCTTATTTAGAAACAAAGTCTTTACAGTCGCAGTTAAACTAAGGATCAATATGAGGTCATCTAGATTAGGGTGAGTCCTAAATCCGGTGAGATTCTCCTTCTAATAGAAAAGGACACAGAGAGATACAGCTGCATGAAGGCTCAGGCAGAGTTCAGAGTTATTCTGCCCCAAGCCCAGGAATGCTGGGAGCCACCAGCAGCGGGAAGACACAAGGCAGGATTCTCCCCTAGAGATTTTGGAGGAGCATGGCCCCGTTTCACCTTGAATGGGACTTCTGCCCTTCACAACTGTGAGAACAAATTTTTGGTGTTTTAAGCCAGCCAATTTGTGCTAATCTGTTATGGCAGCTCTAGGAAACTAATACGATGAAGTCCCTTTGTGGGCAAAATCCACCCCTTTATATAGAAATTACATTCTTTTGTTGTATATGAATACAACACCAAGGTTACTCATTGGCTCAGGCATACGCGGTTGGAGGGAACGTGCAGCTGTGAGTGTGCCCCGGCTCTGTGCACCGTGGCCTGGCACTGCCTGGGAACAGAGCCAGGAACACGGAGGGCTTCTGAGGAGGGACGCTGAGTGGGCTTCACTGCCCCCTCTGATGCTGGATCATCAGAAACAAACTCCTACAAACCCCACACAGCTCAGGGGCTGAGCTGCATGCCCACAGGGAGGGAGTGGATGTTCACGTGGGGCAAGATGCGCAACACCCACGACCCCCCATCCGTCCTCTCCCTGACTACTGGCTCCGGCTCAGGCCCCAGGGACGCGGGCTCTGGTGCGGAAGGCAGGACCACCTCTCCCAAAAGCTCAGCAGCCAGTTGCTTATCTGCCATGACCCGAGGAGGCTACTCTGAGAAAGTTGTATCCCCCTCAGAAAAAAGACGGTCATCATCTAGGTGCCCGGACTGGAATTTGTTACTTTCTGTTAAATGGCAAGCTCTGTGGATTCCTTTGGATATAATTACTCATCAGTTAAATCCTGATCCTGCAAAATAGGGTTTTACCCTATTGTGGTTTTCCTGTGAGATAAGAAATGGTGGGGGGGGGGGGGTGCTGACAACAGGGTGCAGGGCCTGTGGGCCTGTCCAGGCTTCCAACCACTACCTGGTGAGCCCTTCCCGGGTCACAATCTTGGAGGCTGCCAGGCCAGGAAGGGGCCTTAGCATGTCCGCCTCCCAGGAAAGTATCCCATCTGCCACTATGGTGCTTCCCAGTCCTGTGGGTTTCACACACCAATCACATCTCCAGAGAATTGCTGGGGACTGACTTAGAGTTGCCTAATTTCATTTTGACCAGGGCATTTATAATTTGATGAAGATTTGAACAATTTAAAATGTTTGCCATCTACCATCATGATCATTTCATAGAAGAACACTTGACTTGAAAAATTGTAGGAAGGGCATGCCCGCAAAGAAAGCATGGCCCTTTAATGGGGAAAAGCTTTCTGTAGACCAGAACGTCATCATCTCAGATGGGTGCCATCCCTGGGATGGTGCTCATCTCTCCTCTTGTTCTCCCTTTACTCTATTGGACACTTTCCTGGTGTGGCCCATGAAAGTCCCTAAGGTTCCCTAGCAGAAGCCTGTAACTCAGAGACCACCTGTGTGCTGAGGTAAGGACACAGAGTGCTCTGACGGAAGTGGCTTTTGATCTGTAGCTGTTCACCATGTGCTTTAGGTGGCATGTCCCCCCACTTTCAGTGACATCTGCACACAGTCATTTATCAACAATGGAAGACTTCTCACCCTGTTTTCCATGGTTAGACGAGACGCTTCCTGCCGGAAGGTACTCCTGACTTCACTCTCAGTTTCAAATTGTTTCTTCAAGTGCTCGCTGGCCTCCTGCATTTCTTGAATCTTACTGATCAGCTTCTCTTTCTCTTTGGTGTGTATTTCATTTTGGGCCTCTAGGGTCCTGGGAAAAAGATAAAGGAAATTTTCGCATCAGTTTGACCGTCATGGAGAAGTCACTCATTGTCATAGCAAACACTGATTATTTCCAAAGACAGAAAAATACGTGGGCCAATTGATGTGTAAAATGAATAGTACCTGAATAGGAAAGTCTTTGAGGTGGGGGTAGGGGATGGGGTGGGGGTGAAGATCAGGGCTGGCTGGGTATGGAGCTGCCCACGGTTGCCCCAGTCTCCTTAACTTGATAAGAGATTCTTGCCTCCACTCTGCCAAAGGATGCTGATGGCTGCCCCAGGACACCCACATCCACTCACACCCTTATGACCAAAACTCCAGTGATTAGGTCCTATGTGAATGGCCTGGAGGCCAGACTCTCAAAAACCCAGGGAGAAGAGAAGTAGAGATTCAAGACTGTGTCTCACCATTTTCCTACTATTTGGGACCCTCATTTCACCACCATCCTACCAATAAAGTCACATGACTAAAATGCTCCTTAGGACATAGGGCATCCATGTACGGCTCTGAAAGGTAAGTGTGTCAGCCTGCTGGCGGCAAAACATTTTCCCCGCAAGGCTCTGCCTCAGCACCAGGCCCTCTGCAGGTCAATTTGCACATCTGGGGGGATCCTCCGCAAAGACTCTCTGTCACATGGATTTCAAGCCTGACCCTACTCTGAGAAAATCTGTTCTCTCCCGCACAATCTTATTTCAGCAGTTTTTTGAACAGATAATCTATGTTCTAATGGCATAAAAGGTGAAAATTATGTCCCCACCACTGGGCACCAGCCATCCAGTTACCCTCCCTGGAACAAGCAATGTCTTGATTCCTGTATATTCCCCCAGGTGTGTGTATGTGTGTATGTGTGTGTGTGTGTGTGTGTGTGTGTGGTGTATACATATGTGTTTCTTTCCTTCACATCTGAATGGTAATAGATCATCTACCTTAATAAGCACCTTGCTTTTTTGGCTTTATAACATATCTTGGTTTCTCCCACAATTTCAGAAAAGAAAGCATTGCATGAGCATGAGCTCGAAGAGCATACACATTAACACTTACTTTCTTTGTGTTCCTTCCTCTTCACGATTGCGGTTCAACTGATTAGACAATTCTTCCAGTTTGCCTGTAGTGGGAAGAACTGTCTTTACTTTGGGGTCCACATCATGGTTTGATTTACATCGGGTCTTGCTTTGAAACAGTCCTAAGATGTTTCCTGCTTGAGATTAGGTTTTGTTTGGTCTGAACAATGTTTAAAATTTTTCAAAGCCATTATTCCAAAATTGTGATATTTCACATAAAAATCTGGCTTTCTGGCTTTTCTTTAAAAATAGGGGAATCGGGGCGCCTGGGTGGCTCAGTGGGTTAAAGCCTCTGCCTTCAGCTCAGGTCATGATCCCAGGGTCCTGGGATCGAGCCCCACATCGGGCTCTCTGCTCAGCGGGGAGCCTGCTTCCTCCTCCTCCTCTCTCTCTCTCTCTCTGCCTGCCTCTCTGCCTACTTGTGATCTCTGTCTGTCAAATAAACAAATAATTTAAAAAAATAGGGATATCAAGCAACACTGGGGCCAGTATTCCCACTTGGCAACAATCAATGGAGCTTGGAGGCCACTGCACCTCTAAATGACTTGCCCCTTCCAGTCGCCTCCACTCAGCCCACTTCTCACATTTATGTCACCTGGTTGGGCCCCTGGAGAACCAGAGTTTGAGATGCTGGGGTACAATGACTTCTCTGTCATTTCCTGGACACAGGAATCCATTTTCTAGAAGCAGTTTCATGACAGTTTCAGTTACCTTTCATGCTTTCCGTTTGTTCATTCAGGCGGATTTCCAGATCTTGCTTTAGTTTCTCCAGTTCTGAAATCTGCTGTTTAAAGTCTGGGATCATCTTTAGAGAAGAATTAGAAATATTTGAATATGAAACGCTTTTGTCTGTGAGCTTCAAAATCTCAGAGCTTCTCGGAAGCAAACTAGACCATGTAGGTGTCTAACCCCAGGGAGCATATGTCGGGTTCGGCTGTGTAGGAGGGCCAGCCAAGGCATTAGCCTGGTTTGGCATTACGATTTTTTACCTCAAGATCTAGAGAGTCACAAGCAACACCAGCGTGTCTGGAGGGAGTGGCTCTCACATAGCTACACCGTGATATCACCGGGCTCTCCCAGGGGAGAAGGAAGTACACTGTCTAGGAGGCCGTGTGGGGGCTCTGCTGTGGTGAGCCAGCCTCTTTGGCCCAGGCCCAGAAAGGTCATATCCTCATCTAGGAACATGAAAATCATCTCAAAGAGGTCCCCCTGTGCCCTGTGAATGCTAGGTGGGATACTGCTCTGTTAGTGGAGGTCTGGGATGATCCAGTATGTTTCATGATCCTCTGTCCTTGTCTGTCTGTGGATTTCTATAAATGTCACTCACATCCACTCTTAGTCAGGTAAATAACTTTTCTGTCATCCAAGTGTATGAAAACACGTGTGCCTCTGAAGTACATGTGAAGAATACTGGTTTGTGCATTTGGATGCCTGTTCTGCATTGTTCCTCAGTAAAGCTTCATCCAAAGAATAAACAAAGACATGAAGGCCCTTAAGCACTGCTGCACACATCTGCTGTGCCCAGAGCCACAGCTCACTGGTGACACAGCCCGGAGATGTCCTAATACTCTCAGGTTAGGCAGAGGAGAAGGAAATGGTAAGAAAGCTGAGACAGGGGAGCCTGTGAGGTGGGTTCTTAGGAAAGCGTGGTATCCTGGAAGGCAGCAGAACAAACAGCAGCGAGGAAGACGGAGTGATTAACGTCACCTAATGTTGCTGAGAGATAAGATGGGGGTAAAAAGGAACACTTTGGGCTCAGCTGTGTGCTGTGGTCAGTGGTCAGGGCTTAGGACAGAACGGCGTGGCTGTGGGGGAGTTGGGAGGTGAGGGCAGAAATCTGTTAGGTGGCCACTGAGAAGCCTGGCCAGCTCCCCCCAGAGAAATGGGGTGGTGGCTACAGACGATGTGGGGTTAAGAAAGGGATATTCTTTGAGTCAGGAGATTCCTCCAGGATTTCTCCAGGGCTGAGGCATGGATGAGACAAACACTGGGGCGGGGGATAGCAGGGAACAGGTGTCACGGAAGAGAGAAGTCCTTGAGAAAATGAGATGAGAAGCACAAGCAAAGGGACAGACCTGAACACATGCCCCACTCCAGAGTCATCCCTCTACCTTAGTGTTTTTTGTCACTTTCCAAGAGGTTAGGGCTAGACTTAAAATACACAGATTTAAAAATACAGGCGCACATCACAGAATTGGGACCCATCCCCTGGTAAATAAACCCACTCTCAAATCAAAGTGCTCTCTAGCCCAGGGTAACTTGATAGTTGTATCTTTGGACCCAACTATTTCACTTCTAGAAAACATAATTCTGATCCATTGTTTATTGCCAAGAAACTGAATTTTATCCCACTGTTAAATGACATCTCTAGAGTAATGGCCACCCCCGGGGCCCACGGCTAAGCCCGTACCATGTTCTCCGAAGTTAGCCTGGTGACTTCATGACGGATACTTTCATTGATGTCAGTTTCTTCTCTAAATAATTTCTGCAGGTGGTTGATCTCTTGACTTAGGTGCACCACTTTGAAGTTCAAAGCTTCGATCTCCTTTTCATAGGAGTCCTTCTGGGACTGGAAATGGCTCTCCAACACGCTGTCGGAGGATGGGGGCCGAGAAGTGAACCACATGGTCTTTGTTCTCCTGGGCTGCTGACCGTGAGCATGCATGTGCGCAGCAGTTAGGAAAATTCACGGTGAGCGCCACGCTAAGGACACAAAGTTTATGTGTACGCACACAGTGACAGGCTACGGAATTTGGTACGGAGAATTATAAAATCCTTCTAGCCAGTTAGGAAGCATTATGTGGCATTAATATTTAGTTAACGGTAAAAAAATTTTAGACATTATCAAAATTATATGTTTTTCGTTTAAGAATATGTTTGGTATGCAACAATAGTAAATATTCATTAAGTATGCATGTGTCAGACTCAGAATGTACAGCAACAACAGTGAACCCCAACGTAAACTACTGACTCAGGGTGATAATGATGGATCAATGTAAGTTCATCAAGTTTAACAAACATACCACTCTGGTGGGGGTTACCAACACTGGTGTTGTGGGGGAGGGGAGAGAAATCTCTATACTTACTGCTAAATTTTGCCATGGACCTGAAATTGCTTTAAAAGATAAAGTTTGGGGGCACCTGGGTGGCTCAGTGGGTTAAGCCTCTGCCTTTGGCTCAGGTCATGATCTCAGGGTTCTGGGATCGAGCCCCGCATCGGGCTCTCTGCTCAGCGGGGAGCCTGCTTCCTCCTCTCTCTCTCTCTGCCTGCCTCTCTGCCTACTTGTGATCTCTGTCTGTCAAATAAATAAATAAAATCTTAAAAAAAATTTTTAAAAATTAAAAAAAAAAGATAAAGTTTGCAGGGCACCTGGGTGGTTCAGTGAGTTAAAGCCTCTGCCTTCAGCTCAAGTCATAATCTCAGGGTCCTGGGATTGAACCCCACATTGGGCTCCCTGCTCAGCAGGGAGCATGCTCCCCACCCCCCACTGCTTGCCTCTCTGTCTACTTGTGATCTTTGTCTATCAAATAAATAAAATAAAAATAAATAAATAAAAGATAAAGTTTGCAAATAAAAAATTACAGCAAACTTCTTAAATTTAAACATACTTATATCTCTATAGCAACACTGGCTACCTTATTTGATATCATCCGTTTTCCCTGTACAGATTACAGGTTTTATGACTCAGGAGTTTATCCTATAAAAAGATTGTTTTTCATTATTAAGCTCATTACTTAATTCTTGAAATATTTCCAGTGATTATTAGATCATCCCACTGCAAGGAATTTCCTTTGTGTCAAATCTGTGGAAGGTAAACTTTTGACTTTCTAATATTTATTATCTCTGAAAATCAAAAAGAACTCCGGGGGAGTTTCTTACTGTGTTGCTTTCTTTAGTCCTTCATAAGCAAACCAAAGTTCTCCATCCTCATTTAAATGTTCCAAATCTTCCAACGAGAGCCTGGAAAATAAAGGGAGTAAGAAAATCAATCATCTCACTCATGAGCAAAATGATTCTAAAGGTTTGGTAACACAAAAATGAATACCTGCTTCTAACATCTTCAATGTCGTAACTTTCAAGAAGTTGTTTGGTGATCTCGGACATCTTTTCTGAGAGGAAAAGGCAGAGCTGGTATAAATGACATTTCTGCATGATTTCTCTTCTCCCATTCCCTTTTTTGGTCCCACTTTACTAGATTTCACACAACTAACCATACCATCAGCTAACTTAGCAGCTGTTCAACCAATCAACTAACCAACCTACCAGCTATGACGTCAACCAGCTATTCAACCTGCCACTTGTCCAACCAACCAGCAAACCAACCAGGCTTATACCAAAGGATACATTTCCTTAGCGGTGACGCCCGTGGTAAACTGGGTCTGCACCCGTAGGCTCAGTGACTCTTATTTTTCTTACCTCTCATTTCCCGTTTCTGTGACTGCACGTGTTTCTCCACATCTATCTTCTGTGTCTGAAGTAGCTCTATCTCCTTTTCAAACTCAGAGATTGTCTGTATCACGGCAGTGACCGTACCGGGTAAAGAAGAAGTAGATATTATGGTTTATGCCAGACAAAGAGAATACGAATACGGTATTGTGCATCTACCCAAGACAGCCTCACCCAGCTAGCATCTTGTTAAATCATCACTGCCCACACATTGTGGCCTTGAAGTATGTTTCACTGCTCAAAATGTGGCTACTTATTCCCAGATGTAGTCGGTTGTAGCAATAGAATTGGTTTTCTTACTACATAAAGGGAAAAATAGCTTCTTACTTCAAGGTTGGGCTGGGCTGGCCTGGGGAGGAAGGGGGCCCAAGAGGAGTAAAACCTAAGGGGCTAAATTCTCTTTCACTGGTACGATGAACTCTTGGGGCAGAGCCAAGGGTACCCGGGAGGCTGGGAGTTGGCCAAGGAGGAGCACAGGTTGTGGGGAAGAGGCTGTGTTCTGTCTTTGTTATGTTGTGAGGCCAGCCTGAGTAAGGATCACAGGTATGAGGGATTATAGCTCCGGGAGATATGCAGCCGGAAATAACCCTGCCTTGATATTTTCTCAGTTTGTCTAAGTGTTTAAGGGCCATAGCTCCAGTTTCCTCAGAGGGTGAGGAGGGAGATCCAACTGACATTTACCAGTCACTTCACATACATGACCTCTCCCTTATAATAGGCCCCTCGGTGATGGAGTAATAATTTATAGATGAGAAAACTGGAGTGACAGAGGGGAAATGGCATGCTCAGGGCCACATAGGGAAGCTGATGGGGCCCCAGAACCATCCAATCCAAAAGCTCTGCTCTTGGTAACGTTTCAGCAAATGTTCCAAGTCATAGGTGTGCTTACTTCCAGACTGATGATGTTTATTTTCTGTGAAAATCAGATGAATCTTAATATACCATATCAGAGGGTTTGGGCCATGTTTCCTACCAAAGAGGAAGTGAGTGACAAATAGTGGGATCTCACTCAAGGGCAGCCCTATGATGTCCCAAGATGCAGACTAGGCAGAGGACACGACTCCCAGGGGTTGATGCGAGCCTCGTGTGGCTCCTAAGAGTGAAGCAGTCAGAGCAATACGTGGTCTTCCCTGATCCCACGGTCCAAACTCTTCCTTCTCAACGACAGGAAACTGGGGTCCAGAGGATGTGGACAGCTCTCTTGTTAAGAGGTGACCTAGATGGGATTCCTACAGTTCTTCTAAGCCATGCATGGCTATTCCACGACCATTACAGCAAACATTTGCATAATCTTAACAACATTCTACCAACACATGTTTCACTTATTTACTGGAAGCTTAAAAGCTTTCCAAACTCACACTGAAATATTTTGCACTGAAGAACACAGGGACACTTGGGTATGTGTTTTCTGGTAGGGAAGGAATTCAGTTAAGCCTCAACTGTCCAAGCACTGCTTTTGTGGATCTTCTGATAACAATTTAAAAGATTCTGATAATAAGGTAATTTAATTTTAAGACAGGTGTTTATAGAACTATAACAACATGATGGAATGTGTAAGAAGGGTTCACATCAATTTATCTTTTAATCTGGAAGTGTTCTCTAGGTCAGCATATTTGAATAACTTCACTTAATTTCAAAAGAGTTAGAAGGCTGACTTTTAAAATATGAAAACCAATGACTGGTGAGTCAAAGGAAACTTGGGGGTTCCTCCTTAGAAGAACTGAAGGGATCAGAGTCCTTTTGATTTTGGCCTTTATTCAGATGCTCTTAGCTATCTGACCCCACGGGACTGTGGAAGTGCCCCCTCCATGCAGCTCACACGGCACAGCCAGGGAGCTCATCTGCAGGCGGGAAGCCCCTTCTACCTTTGCCTGCTTTCTCAGTTGGGCCACCTCCCCCTTTAAGCCATTGGAGGTGACCCGTTCTTCCTCTAGCTGGTGCTGCAGGTGCGTTTTCTCCGCTCTGAGAGCTTGAATGTCTTCTTTCAAAGACCAGATCTGCTTCTCATAGTCTTGTGTTTTCAGTTCAAAACTTTTTTCAAGAAGTCTAGATGCCAAAGAAAAGAAATGAGTAATTCAGAATATCTCTAAAGTCTTTACCATGAATTAGAACAAGACATCATTTTGAAAGTAATGAGAAGAGACTCAGAAAGGAAACAAGTTAATTAGGATCCACTGTGACAGTTCCAACAGACAATGACCTTACTTTTAGCTGCCAGTTTCCTGTCCCCTTATGTTAGGGAAGCTTCTTACACCTTCCGATCTGAGAAATGTAGCTCTACTCTGATCACACAGAGGAGACATAGGATAGGGAGGCTGAACTCCAAGACTCAGCAGTGGTGGGATACTCCATTCCTGAAGCCACCCTAGTTCCATGGGGTTCCCTGTGGTCTCTTGGAGGGGCCCTTCCCTTCTCAAAGACCTTGGCACAGTCTGCCATGCCCTGGCCCCTGCTGCATTCCAAGGATCCTGGCTAGGTCCTAAATAAGTTAATACAGCCATTTAACATGTCAGAGGGCCAGCCCTTCAATGTTCTACAATAACCTGCAACAAATCCAGGTGCCTAAAAGTCCATGGAAACCCAATTCCTGGGACGCCTGGGTGGCTCAGTGGGTTAAGTGTCCACCTTTGGCTCAGGTCACCATCTCAGGGTCTTGGGATTGAGTCCCACATTGGGCTTCTTGTTCAGTGGGGAGCCTGCTTCCCCCTCTGCCCCACCCCCTGCTTTTTTCTCTCTCTTTCTCTCTGACAAATAAAATCTTAAAAAAAAAAAAAAAGAAAGAAACCCAATTCCTTGTGAGATGATTGCTCTATTAAATATGGGGTGACTGACCAAGAAAATAACCAAAGAGAGAAATGACCTAGACCAGCCCAATGTAGCCCAGAGGGTCCAGTCAGAACAGAAGTAGTCCCAAGGGCTCCACTAGTTTATGAAATCATTGCTCTACTGGCCAAGCTCTCATCTCTACTTGTTTTATGACTGGCTTCCATAGCACAAAGGGAGAACCCCCAGGAGGAGAGTCACATTCCCAGTAGGTTTGTGTTTCATTTCCTTTCACAGATATTAACAAACTTCTTAACTTTGTTCTCAGGTGTTTCAAAAAACCACAGTGCTCCTACAAGGACAGTAGAGCACTTGAAAAGGAGCAAACTGCAGCCAGACGTCCATGCTGAAAGGATCACAGACTTGTACCTATGCGGGCTGGGAGCCACCCACAGGCTGCGGACATCTGGGCGCCCCCCAAGGGTTGTGACAGGGGCTAAAATGTCCCCAGTCAGCTGAAAGGACCAGACCATGCCACACGTGGGAGCTGATGAGGATGGTGAAGAACTTGAAGTGACCTGGCCTCAGCCTGCCTCGCCAAACCCCTTCTCCAAATGATTGCTCCCAAGTAGCCCTTGTGCACAGTGGAGGCCAAAAACTGAGCTCCTTTCCTGGAGTTGAGTGTTCACCGACAAATAAAATTTTCAAGGTGAAGAACCCAATCTCCCTGTTCTAAAACTCACATAGGATTGTGAAACACATATCTGGTAACTCTTGGAGCTCTTGGGTACATTCCCGCCACTAATGATTTGGCATCCTGCTCCTTACTAAGACTCAGGCTCCTCTGCCAACCAGGCGGGGAAGGCATATGTCCTTCCACCCAGCTCCGAGCCTTCCAGCCCCCAAATGAAACATGCCAAGGATATTTTGTCTCTCCCCAACACCCTGCCACATATCCCTACTTTAAGATCTAAGAGCTCTGAGTTGACTCTCTAAGAAAGGGGAGTGTAGACTGCAGCCTTTACAGATTAGCAGGGTGTTTGGTACTGAGCTAGGGCAGGTGGGACTGGCAGAGTACAAGGTCATGGGGACCTGCCTTAACTATTGTGAGGTGGGTTCCATCCCTTATTGTCTGGGGCAAGAGTCAAGTTAACAGACACAACAGACAGGGGAGGGAGGCAGGCTTATTTCCTAGGCAATAATTTTTCTTCTTGGACTTGATGGAAGCTGAAAGGGATGGCCGTGTCTGAACTTCTGTCTTAGCCATGAAGGGAAAGCTAGAAATTCCCGGGGGTCCACTGCCCACCGCTGAAGGACAGGAGATGGGCCTGAAAGGTGCACCCTGGGGGCCTCGGCTCTCACACATCGGAGTCCCTTGCCTCCTACAAATACTCACCTCCCCACTTTCCTGTATCTGTGACCTGCTATCAGCAAGCTGAAAAGCAAAATATAAAACAGGAGAGAGAGAGGGAAGCAGTAACTTGAAGGCAAATCAGATTACATACATTCTCTGTTCTTGCTCTTTTTGCACATCATCAAAGAGCTGCTTGGTGAGGCCGTCCATCTTTTCTGTGAAGAGAGAACGCCCTTGGAAATATGTCTGCACCCAGTACCTCGAAGGTGTCATGTCACACGTAAGAAAGCGCGGCTGTGAGAACAATCATGGGCTACTTGGGGTGAGTAGGACTAAAGATGGGAGGGTAACAGTCACTTTTTATAATTTAGAAATTAGAAATACAGGCAAGAAGGGGAAATAATAATTCTCACAAACTGGTCATGCTGGAAATGTGTGAATAGTTTCATTTATAGTACTTTTTTGGTCTGGGTATTACTTGTTTAAAAAGGCATATTGGCTTTGAGACGATATATATGACTATTAAAAGCACACAGACACCCTCTGGGAAGGACAATGGTCAGTTTATGATAGGGTTTCAGTCTTGATACTGTCAACGCTTCAGATTGGAGAATACCTTGTTGTGGAGAGGGGGCTGTCCTGTGCAGTGACCACCCAAACCATCTCTGACGAGGCCATATGTTCCCGACAGGGAGATGGGAGCCAAAGTGGTTCTCTTGGTTCACCATGGTCATCATTCACCATAACCAAGAAAACGATTGTCTGTCTTCATCTGGGGAAGAGGAATTCTGACAAAGCTGCTGTTGCCTTTCAGCACAAGGGTCTCCAACAACAAACGGTAGGTTGAGGCAACACTGGGCAGCCAGAAGCCACGGACATTCTGAAGCCGTGACAGTCCCAGGTTCCTAACACCCCACACACAACAGGCGCCTTGAAAACGGGGTAACCCATCAAAGCCTGACATCTCTATCTGTACTTCGTTGACATCCCATCCTTGACTTCTACCTCACTTCTGAATCCTGCCCCAGAGGGGAGCCCCGGGAGGAGGTGATGAAAGCTACCCTGAATTACTTGACTAAAAAAAAAAAAAAAAAGAAATAAAACAAAAAACCAACAGTATTCAAATGAGGTATCAAATGTCCCTGAATCAAAAGGACTGCCTCAGAATGTCATGATTCAGCCAGAAGATACTAGAAAAATGTTTAAGCTCTAATTTAGAAGCCAGCATATTTGATATAATTTCAATTTTTACTTCACTCACAGAATCAGCTTTTGTTCTGGTGCTTACTAAGTCTTAGGCCATTTGCCAAGGGGTGAAAAAGCTGCCCGAACGTGACTTTCTTCCTGGGAGCCATGGATGGTGTCCATGTTGGAATCTCAAAAAGGGGAAATGTGTGGTAACATCCCTTAGTCACAGGTCCCTGGGTAAGCGAAGGCTGGTGCTTTTCATACAACACTGTTCGCCACGTGTAGAGAGACCCATAGGATAAGCACTTTATGAACAATAGGTTTGAAAGTTTTCAGGCACTTTTTAGAAGGAAATATAAAATTATGGACCCAAACATGTCAGTGCTGTCAAATATGTACTTCTCAGGACACATTTGTAGGAATTTAAATTTCTTATGGGAAAAATCACTTAGAGTTAGAAGAAAGAGCAAAATATACCCAGGAGCTGTATAACGTAATAAAAATAACAGAGGTGGGCAAGCCCTTCCCTCATTCAGGTCTGAGGTTTCCTCAGGTTTGCTCTGACAGCATGTGCCCATCAACACCCACATCATCGGTCCTCAGAGACCTGGTGGACACCACACGTCATCTGGAACAGGAGGTCACTCCCGGGCTTGGCATCCCCTGAACAGCCTTTCCTGCTCAGCTGGTCAGGACTCGGGGTGTTTATTTCCTCCTCCTGACATGTGTTTCTCCACACCCTGACCTGCACCCCCGGGCTCCTCTGGACCCTGGTGTATCCGCTGCCTGCTAGGCTTCTGGTGTGTGCCAGATCCCCAGGCCTGAGCTACCAAGGCCCTGCTGCCCTGTCAGGGCTCACAGAGAAGAGCTCTGGACGGTATAGAGAAGCAGGTGTGGTCATTTCTACCATCTGGACGGGAACCATCAGGTTCCCATTCTCACTGGGATTGAGCAAGTGCCTACAGTTAGCCTCTGAGTGAGACAGAGCTAGGCTCAGGGTGCCTGTTTCACGCCCCTGAATGAAAGGAATACCACTGGTTCCAAGGGGCTGCGTCAGAAAGCTCAGGGGGGCTACAGCTCAAGGGCTCAGCAGGGCCTGCCCTCACAGCCAGGGCAGGAGCCGGGGGAAGTGACCGCTTTCACCAAGTCATTCGGACAGATCTGAAATCTGACTACAGACCCTCGGCCAGCAGCAGCATTACTGCAGCATTACTGCAGCATTACCCTGCCTGTGCATCAGATCGCCACAAAGGTGTCAAAAAGACCCACGTCTGAACCCTCCCGGCCACACCACGCACAGACACCACCTCCTGATGGAAGGGTTCCAGGCTGACAGCCCAGCCATCTACATTTTGCAAATGGCCCAGGCGGTTCTGAGACAGGGACTGCTGTGCCATCAGACAAAAGATGGGAATGCAACGGAAGAATCTGTAGGGTAACGTTACCACAACTTAAATATAGTTGCTCCTTGCCAAGCAAAAAGCATTCTCATTTCACTGGGAATGCATCACAGATTCCTAATTCTACCTAAAACTCAGTTCATGCCAACAGATATTTCCCGAACGCCTGGACAAGTGAGCACGTGAGAGCACGACTCGGGCTGCCGTGGGCTCTACCTTTCAGCTCTTCAGTCTTCTCTTGGAGCTGCAGCTCTATTTGCTCCTTTTGTATTTCCAGTTCTGAGTTACGCTTCTGAAGCTTTGCCAGTTTCTAGGGAAGGGAAGAACAAAAGCTTTTTTAAAAACCTCACTTTAAGTTTTGTCACCACAGGCTTTCTTGGTGAAAGGCTGCATTTTTGCCCATCCATCCGTCTGTCCATTCATCCGTCTGTCCGTCTCAACTCCTATCCGTGGCTGACAGCCAGCGCCAGCCCGCTGCAAGATGCTGTGCTCCATCTCACACAGGGGATCCGTGTGACTTCAAGCAGACGCGGTTCTCAACCCGGCCAGGCAATGGCTGAAGTCAAGGAGCAACCACCAATCCAAGGTCTCCTCAAAGTAAGAAAATGCCTCTGTCCTTTTCTGGAAGCCTCTCAATAGCCAAGGTATGCATATATTTAATAGGCTAAAAATAATTTATGATACAAAGTGGAACCACACTTTGAGAGTATTATTACTCGGGAAGAATGTGTGATCAGGACAGAAGGCCTATTATCTTAGCTTCTCCTAGTAAAGTATCTGTTGAACCAGCAGCTGGGGCCACTTGGTGCTGATGGCCGCTAACGGGCAGTGCATGCCATGGGAGGGGGCCCTGGGGCTCCAGGCTGCCCCAGACCTGGGTGCCGTAGGACTTTGGAAAGTATAGGAGAGTGGAGGGTAATAAACACCACTGCTTCAGAGAACGGCAGCTCACACTTGTGCCGGTCTCCACAGTAGGCACGTGGCTAAATGATTTCATCTCACAACTTTATCCTCACAAGGACTCTGTCAGTCCCTTTTTGTTACTCCCATCTTACATCAGAGAGGGTAGGGGACTTGCCCAAGGTTGCCCAACCCGATGGCAGCAAAGACGAGATCTGAGCCGGAGACATCTGATCTCTGTCTACTGCTCATTTTACTTGACTACAGAGATGAAAACCTGCCCCAAACTTTGCACTGCTGTTCTGGGGAAGATGCCTCAGGGCACGCTCCAGAAGGACAAGGGACAGGGGACCAAGATCCTCATGGAAGAGAGGTAAGCATCTAGCCAGAGTTCCTTCGCTTTAAAAGGGCTTTCAACACTTCACGATAGTTGAAAAAAAGGAAACCTTATGTTGTATGTCTAGAAGCATGAGCCTCCTCCCCTTCCCCCAGATTCTAGGCCTTTGATCTCCTCCCCTGAAAGGTAGACCTCCCTTTGTTGATGGAAGCCAATAGCAAAATCTGATCTGTTCTGCAGAAATCTGCTTTGTGGGAAAATGCTGTCCTATGACCTCTTTCCCAGGAAGACTCGCATGGATTTCCATAATCACCACCAGCACAGACCTCTTCCATGGCGGCCTTGTATTTCTTCCCCTTCTCCTCATAACTGTGCCTGTGGGCAGCTGCTTTGTCCAGCTCGGATTCCAGTTTCTGCATCTTCTCCGTGTCACCGGCCCGAAGAGCGGCGAGGCTGGTCAGCTTCTCCACCAGCCCATGGTTCTCTTTGTTCTAGAGGAAAAAACAGCAGATATTTGGGGGTTTATCCAAAATAAAGAAGCAATTCCATTTGCCTCTCACAACATTTGACATGGCATCTAAATCTATCAGGGCTTTATCTACACTGATCACAGTTTTAATTACAACGGCACGTATGAGCGTCTTCATCCCACAGCAAATAGCAAGGCAGACGTGGTCAGGCAAACTTCCTGAGCTGATGGCACTCTGAGCGCAGGACCAGCCCAATCCTGGACCTCTAAGACAACCCTAATGCTATGGGATACACAGTGTCCCCTGCTGCCCCGAAAGTCACATGTTACAGTCCTAATACCCAACACCTCAGAATATGACTATATTTAGAAATAGGATCTTTAAAGACAAAATTAAGGTAAAATGAGGTCATATTGGCAGGCCCTAATCCAGTATGATTGGTGTCCCTATAAGAAGAGATTAGGACACAGATACTGCAAGTCAAGAAGGGACAACTCAGTAGAGACCAACTCTGCCAACACTTTGATCTTGGCCTTCTAGCCTCCAGAACTTTGACAAAAGAAATGTCTGTTGTGTAGGCCACACAGGCTGTGGGCATTTGTTATGGCAGCCCCAGCAAACAAACATGCCCAGGGTGGAGCCCTGGCAGCGTCAGGACCCCCATGGGCCCTCCTCCCAGCTGTCGCTGCAGCGTTTTGGTACTGGTCTGCGCAAGACCCGGAAGGGGCAGGCCTGTTGCTCAAGAGCACAATAAGGAGAAACTGCATCCAAACCTCAAGGGTTTTTTTGCACATTTATCCATTCGCTAAGGACTCCTAAGACTCTGTTCATGGCTAAGTTTTAAGTTTCCCCTAGGAGAATCTCAGTATTGTTTGGGACAGGCCCAGAAGTGAGTTTTACAGATATGGATGCTGCATATGACACAGCCCTTCCCCACTAAGAGCATGTGGACTTTTGTTTCCCACCAGTGGAGATGGTATGAGAGGTCTCCCCAAAATAGGCAGGGCTGCAGTTAGACCATATAGACCTTTGGGCAAATTAGAAAGGAGCAACTTCTCTGAGCCAACACAGTCCTAAGGGAGCATGGCTTGGCATGTGGACATCTTTGTGCAGGTGAGAAAAAGGCACTCCTGTCTCAAGGCAGCTTTGTACCAGGACACGTGTTGGCAAAAGCAAAGTTAGCCTGGATTTCAGCCCCACTTACACTCTTCAGCAGCTGACCTTGTGCAGTGTACAACCTATACAACTGCATGGAGCAGCCTTTTACAGTGTACTTCTGTTTTCTGAATAAGGTGGTCCACATAATCTATCTGAACTTCCTAACATGGGCATAAATCTTAACAGCATTAGCTAAGGAATTGGCCCAGGACAAAATAAATCAGTTGGAAAAATACATATGAAAGATACATTATGAACACCTACCTGATCTTCTAGCTTTTTCTGCAAATGCTGGACCCTGTAAGTGAGCTGAATGTTGAGCACAAATCGTCGGATACTCTGGAATCTGCGTCGGGCCAGCCACGCCCGTGCATATTTCTGTAGGATCACAGCCTTGTGTTCCTCCAGCATCTTTAAAACACGATTTTTTGAAATGCGGATTGGTTCCCCACTGTTTCTGTCATCAACTCCTCCAATGTTGAGAGACGCAACTATTAGAATATTCTCACAGCGTAAAATACAAATTTCTTGTAATTAACCCACAGAGTCCTATTACACCTAGACTTCTGAAACAAGGACCAAGCCGACCTATAGTGGACAGACACTCAGATACCAGCACTCCACACTCTCTGCGAAGGTCTTCCTGCAGAAAAAGACCATCTCACTATGACTAAGAAAGTGCAGGGTCTCAGCCGTACCTTTCGGTACCTCCTCCTTGCCAGGAGTCCTCGGGTATAGGCCTGGATGGTAATGGCAGCCACGCGGATCAGCTGGTACAAACTGCGGACAAGATACCCACGACAGTACTTCTGAATGATGATGGCGGCCCATGCTTCTTTCAAGGCTGTTGCCGTAACAGCTTTCCTTGGTTAAAAACAATGCAGAGTGAACCTGTTATCCACAGAGCCCTGGTTTCCCTGGCACAGTGATGAGCTAGGAATCCTGGCATTTTATCCCCCCACTGAGGAACATTCAAATATTTTGTAAATCTACCATTAAACTCTAGAACTCATTGAGTCTAAGGCCCGCTGGAAGTCGGTCTCCTCAGCTTCCGTTCACCCTGATCTGAATGTGGGCCTGCTCCAGGCCAGGGGAACGACGTGGCAACTTGCACGCTCCCCACATTCAGGCTGGTCAATTCACGGTTGCTCACATATGTGAGAAGAAAATGGGGCTTTGGCAGTGCACCTGCTCATTCAGCCCGGTGGGGAATCATGGAGCGGCTCTAGATCAGGGCTTGGCAAACTACAGTCTGGGGACCAATTCTGCAGCCTGCCACCTGTTATTGTGCAGTGTTATGGGGATGCCGCCACGCCTGTCATCTGTATTTTATCCGTGCCTAGCCACAGCAAATTTGGAGAGTTGTGAGAAACTGGCCCCCAAAGTCCAAATATTAGGCTCTTCCAGAAAAAGCCTGTCAACTCCTGTCTAAAGGATCAGAAGTGAAGACAAAGTTCTTCCCTTCAGAGCTGACAACCTCATGTTGCAGACTTATGAATGGCCAGGTGGGATAAGAGGAAAAATAAAGTAACGACTAAAAGATCTGTAAGAGAGATCTTACAGAACTATCATTCTGCTTGTGAGCCAACCATTGATGGAGAAGTGGGATTTCTGGAGACAGTGAAGGCTGGAAAAAGCATTTCAAGCTAAGGACCAGTGAACATACGGAGGCCTAAGCAATGCCGGAAATATTCAGAAAAAGAGAATTTGTCTGGAACTGTCAGAATATAAGATACATGTAAAACTTAGTGAGGTTAGAAAAATAGAGACCATGTGTTATTGAAAAATGTAGTTATTGTATACCCATAGCAGTGTATGAAAGCAGGGTCCCGGCTCTCCCAGAGCTTCCATTCTCATGAACGCATCTAGGCCATGGGGGGCCTTGAATGCCACACCAAAGACTGAGTGTAGGAAATAGGGGTCACTGGAGGCATTAAGGACAAGAGGAGGGCAGTGGCTCCCACAGACTCTGCTTCCAGAAGACAGACAGCGGGGGGAGGCTGTGCTGTGGGACCAGGAGGCAAGGGGTGGTGGAGGCCTCATGCAGGACAGAGGCATAGGAACAGAATGAAGGGACAGGCACGAGAAGTAAGCAGGGGTAGAACTATCAGGCCATTGTGATTCCCAAACAGAAAGGGGGCCTGACCTGGGGAAGAAGATAACCCTGGCTTTTCCTGCCCTAAAGACAGCTGCTGTTGCCTGACTCAGAGGCACAGGAGGGTAAGCCTGACTATGTATATGTGTAAGATGGTCACCTGGTGTGGCGTGGCAAAACCAGCTCAGGTAGAGGTCAGGTACCGTCACACAGCCTGACCTTTAAACAGCTCCCTTTTCCGCTCTCCTCACGGCATGCTGAGGACAGAGGCAGCGCCCATGGACACTAGCACATGCTGCTGTCGGGAAGGACACCCTCTCACTGGCCAGGCCAGCATGGCCTCTGGGAAGCACTCAGTGAGGGGCAGGATTGGTGGAACTGCCCCCCAACTCAGCCATCCCCTTGGTAGGTGCTTTATGTTTGCTGGCAGAGCCTTGCCATGGATCCCCTCGGGTACTGTTGGCACCCCCACTCTCTGCAGGTAGGTTGGTCAGTGGCAACTCACGGCATTTATGTAGGGACCCTGACTGCCTTTGGCATTTTCACTTCCCATGGAAAAGGGGCCCAGTCCCTATACCTGGTTTCACTTCAAAACCCTGATCAGAGCTTCAGGGTCCTAGAGGTCACCTCTGTTGTGAGAACAGTAGGCAGTTAGCACTCCCTGCCCCAAAGACATGACCTTCTCATCTCTAGGCTCATAGACTATGAGAGCCACACGATGAGCGCCCCCCTCCCCCCGCCTCAGCCCCTGGCTTCCTCAGCTCTGGTGTACCTCACGGTCTGCTGACCCCGGAAGTACTGCTGGATGGTCAGAGCAGCTTGTCTTTCTCGGAGAAACTTTTTTCTCTGGAGCCAGCCACGGATGTGCTTTTGTATCACAACACAACTCTGCCTGAGCTTATCAAGTCGGAGTTTCTCTAAATAGGCCACTTGTCCTGCTCTGAAGAAAATTTTGGTTTTACCAAACTGGTACTGATTAGAATCCTGGAAGAGAAAAATGATAGAATCAGAAATAAAAATCTTTCAGAGTTTCTAGAGTGCTTGGAAAAGATGTTTAGAGATTCAAAGATGCCAAAACATTGTTATTTTGACGCATCTGCTCCTGGACAGAAAGCAGAAAAATTCTGATCAGGACCTCAAAATTTATTTTTTGAGATGTCTGTTTAAAGCCACTGGGGGAAGAAATGGACTTGAGGTTCAGGGGTCCGTCTGTGGGGTGAGAGGGGTGAGTGAATGTTCAGTGATTCTCAGTTGGGCTGTTGGGAAGCTTCAGCTTCTCTCGATAAGAGAGCAGAGCCTGGAAAGGTCTGATTTCTGTCTTCATTTTGGTTTGTCTTCACCGCACCCTTTCCTGGCCATGGTACTTCTGTCTTCACTGCCTTCCCTCAACTCACTGCTGCAGCAATGATCCAAATCCACACGGAGTGCCCTGTCTGGGACCCTCCTGGGTCAGAGACTTCTCAGTTGACTGTGTGATACAAGCCAGGCCCATCGGAGCTCCATAGATGGTGGAAAGACAATGTAGGATAGGAGGACTCTGAGGGAGGCTGGGGCTCGAGTCTGGGTCCCTAATGGTGACTCCTACTCTCAAGAGATGATGCCCCCATGAGTGTGTCTGCTCTGACCTCAGCACCCAAATGCTCGGGGCATATTTTCTTCCTTGGCATTCATGACAATACAGTTCTGAGACAGGCGGGTATGGAAACACACCCGGGAGATAGGCAGCTTGGTATGAACTTGTCATTCCCGGAGTTGAGTGAGACTGACCTGGATGAGCCTGTGTAAAACCACTTTGCACACCTCCTTTTTATCACTGAATGAAAGCTCCTGTTTGGTCATGAGCACACCGTAGCGACTATAGAATTCGATGTACGTCCACCTGCAAAGTCAAAGGGGATCTAAGGAAGCGTGGCTGCGAGGAGGCATGGCCTGTCTGCAGTTTCCACTGCTGATGGGTGGTGGAGTCAGTCCTGGGATGACAGCACTAACCTTTGACCTCATCCTGTGTGCCCCCCATACCGTATTTCTGCTAACACTCTGCCCCAACAATTGTGCTCTCTCCTCCCCCAGGAGCAGTGCAGGGGCAGCAGGTGGTGTTCACCAGCCATGGAAACAGGTGATGGGGTGGCAGTGGCCCCTGTCCCATGCACCGCCTGTCAGTGGCCCTCTTCTGGCCTTCCTAAAGCCCAGTAGGAAAAATCTTGGGGGCATCTTCTGCAGGTATCTGACAAAAACGCCTGGCAGGCCCTCCCTTGGTTCTCAGCAGATCTGAAGTTGGGCCTTCTTCCCCACCAACACATGGCGTGACCACGAACCTGGATGGGTAGCTCTGCGCACTGATGCGAATCGTCTCTAAGACGCCGCAGGCTCGCAGCTGCTGAGCAATCCTTCTGGAGTCGAACCTGAAAGAAGACATGAGTCAGGAGATGGGTTAAGCCGTGGTGATGGACAAATGTGCTCGAGCAGTGCAGCAGAGCCACCCGGGCAGGCCTCTGCGCTCCCCACGCCGGCCCCCAACAGCCACTCCACGGAACCCCAGAAAACAGCAGCTCTGCCGGCCTTCCGGAAGCTGACTGAGGGCTCGGAGAAATGAGCAATGGAGTCTGATGGTGGAAACAGGGAGGCGGCTTTGTGGGGAGAGGGCCTTTGGTTCAGCTTTGCAGGACAACCAGAGTGGAGGAAACATTCCCGCCCGCCCCCTCCGAGTGTCCATTTGACACTAGATTTCCCTTGAAGGGACAGGGACACTGGCCAGCTGAGGTCTGAGCATCTGGTGGTCCCCCCAGACACTGGCCACCTCCAGGATGGACCACATCCCTCAGACACCTCTCAGCTCTAGTCAGCTCAAAGAGACTCTGCAACGTCCACTCCTGAGCCTGGGGATTTCCCAGGGGCTCCAGACAGCAAGTTGCACGTCTCATGCCATGTTGGAGAGTGAAACCTCTGTTCCTCTACCACCTTTCTTTCAAAAATCAAATTTTCTTTTTTACTGATGTCTAAGTGACAGGCAGCATCACAGTCATAGCTATGAGGTGTGCAACATAGTGACCTGGTATTTGTACACACTGTGAAACGGTCCCACTCACCTCCCCCAGAGTTATAACAGTTTCTTTCCTGTGAGGATGGCTTTTAAGACCTACACTGTTAGCAACTTTCCAACACACAATATAGTATTATTAACTATAATACTATTATAGTTAATAGTTAAAATATAACATTTAGTGACCATGATGTACACAAATCCTTCTTATAAGCAAGGAGCTGCTCTGGCTTTCCCAGCTGCATGAACTTCAGTTGTGGGCTATTCTTGGAAAGCTGGCCCCTTTGCTTTGGCCTGGAGACAAGCCTCCTGAGAGGGGCTGTGCTGGCTTACAGTGTATGTGAAGGACGGAGCTGTTCTAAATTGTTAAAAAGCTAGAAACAGTAAACTTCAAGAGAATTATAAGCAAATTTTCCAACATTGTGACAGAAATGGTCTCCTCAGTGTTTTCACTCTGCTGCATAGAAACACTTACTCGAAGGGTAATTTCTCATCGTTTGGCTTGATGCATCGCACATAGTGGGGTGTGGTTGCATTGAGGGTTTCCATGAGCAAATACAGAGAGCTGCGGAACTAGGAGACAAGGTCAGAGATAAAAATGTCATGCTTAAGTCAAGGCAAAAAAAAAAAAAAAAAAAAAAAAAAAGGCCTAATCTTTGTAAATAAAGAAGGAGAAATGTTAACTTCATGCATTAACAACTATTATGAAAGCTTTCAAACCATGACTGTGATGATTACTAGCAGGTCCTATACTCTGGACAGAATGCTGCTCTATCCAATTTTCCCAAACAGCAGGGAACTCAGTAAATCATGTCACTGTGTGAACACGTGGTTTGCTCAGGCGTGTACAGCCTTGGAGGCTGAGGTGTGATGATGATGACCTTTGGCCTTTCTTTGCACTTACATACATAGTAGATGTGAAGCAGCTCAGTGCCCATATCCAGGCCTGGAATGCCGGCCCTGCCACTGCCTGGCTCCCCATGGGGCCTGGCCCCCTCGCCCTCAGTTACTTTCGGGGTACCTTGTTCCCCACTGTGGTCCGGAACTGCTTGTTGCTTGGCTTGATGGCTGGCTTTGCAGATTTAACTGTGATCGCTGACCTGAAAGGGGAAGGAGGAACCGGACTTTCTTGAAAAAAGCTGGCGCAGAGTTGGAACTGGAAGAAACAGAGAGGATTTCATTGTCCAAAGGTGTTCACTCTCAGTTGTCAGCTGATACGAACCACAAAAACAGTCACAGCAGGCCCATGTAAAGTGAGGTTAGCAGTCTCTAACGTCTACAGTCAGATCTGAATCCCACAAGAGGACTCTCCTCCCTCAGGGTGACACAGGGCTTCTTTCCAGGAACGTGAGCAGAGAGAAATCCGTGCCGAAGTCTACGTGGGTCCGTGGGTCTGTATGCTGTTTCTACACCTGGAATCTCCTCCCTCCTACCTCATGTTTTCATCCCTGTACAATTAAGTTCTACCCATTATTTGAGATTCTCTTAAAATATTTTCTGGCTCCACCCCCTTCATCTGTTTAGAAAAAAGGTTAAAAAAAAAAAAGATTTAAAAAATTTGTGTCCTAACTCAGATTAATTCCAATTTCTTCTAAATAAGGTAATCTTCTTCTAAGATACTCGTTACTTTCCATCAAACATCAATTACTTCTTTGTCTTACCATCTCAGAGTGAAACTCAATTTTTTCCCCTTTCAAATCAGACATTAACAGTCTCCTTTGGGGGAGAATCCCTGTATTCCACCCCCCTGCGAAACCAGTGGGTCTGAACGTGCCACACCTCTGAGAGGCTTTGTGCTGAGCCGGGACACCCATCTGTGCTTTCTCGTGACCCGCATCCATCTTCTAGAATGGACCCTGGGGAACGCTTGGTGGTGAGTAAGAAATTGGTGAATTAAATCAACTAATTTTGTACACGAGATGCAGGCCATTTCCACTCTGAATTCTCTAACATAAATCGGTTTTAATAACTGAAGTTGACATGCTGGGGACTTATTTATGATTGTTAGGGGAAGCCCGCATGCTCATTTGGGAACCTGTCAGAACACTTGACTAAGAACAGAGGACTGGGGATCTTTTAAAAGAGGAAAATAATAAATATGATCTAACCAAATATTCACACAATGAAGGTTCACGTATGGCTTATTCTTAGTCTCAAATGTTAATAAGGAAATGTTTGAAGAGGAAGAGAAAAATCCAGAAGTCATTCCTTTGACGACACTATTCCTCATACAGAACTGTGGATTTGAGGAGCTCGCACATCGGAGCCAGCACCTCTTTCCCTGGGTCACCCTCCTTCTGTCTTGCCCTGGTTTCCTTTGGATGCTTAGCACCACCTGCCATTGCTACTTATGTGGTTAGGGTCTGTCCCTCCACAAGGACGGGAGCCCTGACTGCCTTGTTCACCGCTGTGTCTGGAATCTAGGACCAGTGCTTGGCACATGGTAGTGCTATAGAGATATTTGTGAGTGAATGAATCAAATGTAAACTGTGGTCCCTTAACTGGTTATATGTTAGCTATTCTTCCTCTCTGGCTTCCCACACATTTTTATTTATTTATTTATTTTTAAAGAGACGGGGTCTCGCTCTGTTGCCCAGGCTGGAGTGCAGTGGCTATTCACAGACGCGATCCCACTACTGATCAGCTCAGGAGTTTTGACCTGCTCCGTTTCTGACCTGGGCCGGCTCACCCCTCCTTAGGCAACCCGGTGGTCCCCCGCTCCCGGGAGGTCACCATATTGATGCCAACCTTAGTGCGGACACCCGATCGGCATAGCGCGCTACAGCCCAGAACTCCTGGGCTCAAGCGATCCTCCTGCTTCAGCCTCCCGAGTAGCTGGGACTACAGGCACGCGCCACCGCACCCGGCTCGATCTCTGATTTTATATCTAGTGGATATTTATTTGGATGCTTTCAGAAGCCTGATACATATTTCAGTCCCCATTCCAAAAGAGTTATTTCTTCTAGGTCTGAGCTACAGTTTCCCACTGCAAGACAGTACACACCCCACATACTTCTTACTCTTTCCTGATGCACATCTAGGTCCATGTCAAGTTATATAGCAAATAACATTAATTACCCCCTTAGAAACTTACAAACCTTGCTCGCTCTCATGATTTCAACCAGCATGTCATAGACGGTATCTCTGTTCTTTTCAAGGAAACCTTCACATTTATATTCTACCTACGCAGAGAAAGGATTTAATTATTCCCAAAGAAACAAAAGCAGACAGCATCTAAGTACCATGGGGTTTTTCTTTTTCCTTTTAAACAATGATGAATGAAGGGGCTAAAAAGGCAAGCCTCTAAAAAGAGATTCAGTTTCGTTTATCACAGAAAACCATTTATATAAAACTTTGGGAGGGGGCGCCTGGGTGGCTCAGTGGGTTAAGCCTCTGCCTTCGGCTCAGGTCATGATCCCAGGGTCCTGGGATCGAGCCCTGCATTGGGCTCTCTGCTCAGCGGGGAGCCTGCTTCCCCCTCTCTCTCTGCCTGACTCTCTGCCTACTTGTGATCTCTGTCAAATAAATAAATAAAATATTAAAAAAAAATAAAACTTTGGGAGCTGGGAATACGTCATCTGTTGGAAAGAGCCAGGCTCTTGCACTGCCTGGATTTCTCACTAGTCACTGATCACGCTGTATACACCTGTTGGTTCCTTCTAGCCACAGGTGACCAGTCATTCCTGCAGTGGGTGCAGTTAATACACACAGTTCTACAAAGAACTGGCTTGGGGTTCACTTTGCCTTTGAAACCATCTGGAGGAGGAAACTATCTCAGTGTTGTCCTTTGGGTTCAAACAGAAATATTTTCCTAAAGCAGCATTAATATGGTAGAGAGGAAAGAAAAACTGACCATTTGACCACAAAGTTTTTGAGGGCCACCAAAACCCTTAGAGTTGGGTCAGGGGGGTAAATGTCTGCACTACTTCAGTCTGGTTTAGGGAAACTCCCCGTGGCCCTTTCAGAACCATAAGGCTTCTTGAATCCCTCGAACATATCCACGGTGGTTGCTTAAATATTCAAACCCAAATAGTTTATACCTCCGGGTTACATAGTTTATTATATGATACATATTTTTCATAAATTAGAAAATATGTTCAAAGTACAATTTTCATGACTGTGCAAAAACAGGCTTTTGGGGATGCTGGTATCTGGGGGAAGAGAGGGTGTTCACAGACCCCTGAGCAAGTACTCTGCTTTGTCCCCCCAAGGGAGGCAGCATCCTTGCTGGGAAGAGTTTGGATTAAGAACCAGGAACACTGGCTATGTTCAAACACTCCCTTGTGAATGAAGACCTTGGGTTGTTGCATAAATTCTTCCTCGCTGGTGGTGTGAGCCACTGGCTTAAACGGACAAAGGTTTAACAATGTAATAAGACCATCTGTGGGGACAGTGTCACAGCTGCCTCTGTCGGGAGCTCTGGGGACTGTGGGAAGATGCACTGACTTGCTACATCTAAGCGCAGCCGTCTCACTTTCAAAATGATTGTATTTCCCTGGCTAATTAAACAGGGAACCTAAGCTAACCTTACAGTGTATGTGGTTTCTTCCCACCAACCTGCAATCCACCCCAAATGCTGCTTTTAAGAGGGACTTCCTGGAAGTGCCAGGGGGAGGGACTTAAATGTGCAGAAACCAAGTACGGTGAAGAGGGTCTTGAAGTGAATCCCATATGTCTGATACCTTTTTGCTCCCCTTCCCCTTTCTCCCATGGGATCCCAGCTGTGGAATTGCAGAAGACAACCACTAGAAACCTGAGATATTATCATTCATTTCATATGCATCCCTTCAGGAATCAAAAACGCTAGCAGGTTTTTACAGTGCTCCTCTAGCCCGCAAAATCATTACGACTTTCCAGCTTGTTGCCCCCTGCCCTGCCCTCGCAGTCACCATAAGCACACTCTGACCCCAGCACTAGCATTGGTCCCATGATCCCCAGGCACTGGCCAGGCCCCAGGAGTGACACCCAACCAGCAAATGCTCTGAGGGCGGGAGTTTCCTTAGGGAACGAAAACAAGAGGAGAACATATGTTTATGGCAAGTGGTTATGGTGATTTTTCTTTTTTTTTCCCTATTTCCTAAGCTTTCTGTAATGTGATTTTTTTTTTTTAATTTGACAGAGAGAGAGATCACAAGTAGGCAGAGAAGCAGGCAGAGAGAGAAGAAGAAGCAGGCTCCCCGCTGAGCAGAGAGCCCGATGTGGGGCCCTAGGACCCTGGGATTAGGACCTGAGCCGAAGGCAGAGGCTTTAGCCCACTGAGCCACCCAGGCGCCCCTGTAATGTGATTTTTAAATAACCTTTTCTTTTTATTAAAGTAATGTCTCATTAAAAAAATAGATCAAGGGGCGCCTGGGTGGCTCAGTGGGTTAAAGCCTCTGCCTTCGGCTCAGGTCATGATCCCGGGTTCCTGGGATCAAGCCCCGCATTGGGCTCTCTGCTCAGCAGGGAGCCTGCTTCCCCCCCACTCTCTCTGCCTGCCTCTCTGCCTACTTGTGATCTCTGTCTGTCAAATAAATAAATAAAGTATTAAAAAAATAGATCAATGAAGAAAATAAAGATCGTCTAGAAAATACATCTTGAGCCAGCCTATGTTATCAGTGTAATAAACATATTACAATTTAATGAAAAAGGAAAGCCTCAAAAAGGTCCAGCTTTCATTATTGAAAACAATTATGCCGTCTTGATTATAACCGTTTCATAGAGGAAATAAACGGATAAGAGATTCATGAATTCCCAAGAAATCTAAAATCAGAAATGAGGCCCACTAGCCACACATTTATCTTTAAAGCACTGCAGTTGAAACTCGTATTTTGCGACAAAAACAAGTTAAAAATTGTTAAACACATGTGCATGTCTCCTTCGTCACGGCAAGGCACCAAGACCGAGTGTGACTTGAGTCTGGCCAGAGAAGCCCCTGCCTGTCCACAGCATCTAGGAAACCTCTCCAGCGTCAACGCAGACGGCATCGCCCCAGACTCTCCCTGTACCTTGTCAGCAAAGTGCTGGATGATGAAGGATGCATTTGACATCCTGGGTTTCTCAAAGAAAGAGTTCTTGTTGACAAAATTATTATACAGCTTTTGAAGCCAGTTTTCATCAGTTCCATGTGGTAACTGCAAGAGAAAAGGAAACCAGAGAGTGAGAAAACTAGAGCTGAAAGATTAATAGGGGCACAAAAAAATACTAATTCTGACAAACCAAGGTGAGCCGACCACTCAGAGTGAGCTGCATACATCTGCGGCTCGTTTTTATAAAGCATCTAGGCGCACATCTGTCCTTGATCCTAACAGCCTTGGCAGTGCCACTTATACAGACCTATCAATGCCCTTGTAGAAAAACAAAATGTTATGAACTAGAAGGAAATGGACATAGAATGAAACTCAAGAATTGAAGAAATTTATTTTTGCAAAATTGGCAGTATTCCTATTATTTCTTCCCAAAGAAGTCTAAAGTTTCGGGGCAAAAAGAGCATAGATTTCATTACGTGAGTGAAATCTTGCTTGATTTCTTGCTTGGTTCTTCTTGCTTGAACGGGGAAAGACTGGCCCCTAAATGTAACCCTCCCCGCTTCACCCCTACCTCGGGAAAAGAGCTTTTCTTTCATTATATAGCCTAGTTAGTAACTACTTCCTCAAACAAAACTAGTTGCAAAACTTGTTCTTGATACTGGTGATATGGAAGTAATCAGTGATATTTGACCCAAACTCAGCGAATTTAATCCCCCATTGTGTCCAAAAGACTCCTGAAGGCTTCTTTGTGACACCGGTTGCCTAGCCAACGTCTGTGTAGAACAGGTACAAATACCTCCTAGAGGCTGCCTTGGCCTGGGCACCCTGCTCTCACTAGATGGATCCAGAATGCTTAGCCCTGCCGCCAGCCCTTTAATCTTGGATTACTGGTTGCTACCCAGGTGGGACCAGAGAGAAGAATCTGTGAGAAAAAGCATGGAATTGAGAATTCCAGGGAGAAAAGGCCAGTTAATCTTCAACATTATGATGTATTTTTTAAAATCAATTTATGTTTAAAAATTGTGACACAATTAATTACTTTTATTTTAAGCCACTAAATTTTGAAAAAAAATTATTTATTTTTTTAATTTAAGTTTTCGTTAGTGAACATTCAGTGCAATGTTGATTTTTGGAGTAGAATTCAGTGATTCATCACTTACATACCACACCCCACAATACAATCTTTAAGCCAAAAAATGAGTACTGTCCTGGGGATTATTTGTCCCTGTGGTCCCACAAGAGCCTCTGCTAGTCTGGCCCACTGTAAATGTGCTCTTTCTACAGGGAAATAACAACAGGAGAACTAGAGGCCTCTTCTCTTGAATTGTATGATGTTGATTTTTCAGCTACCCCTCCCAATGGATGACTCACAGGAATGAGGAAATAAAAGAAAATTCAGTTCTTATTAGTCATTAACAACTGGTGTGAGGTCACCTGCTATTTTCACATCCATTCTAAATACGCCTTGGACAGCCTCAAAGAGCTCCTCCTTGGTGGACATGACCTGAGAGGTTATGCATGGTACCCAACAGTGGGCTATACATGGTGAGGGTAGAAGGCTCAGCTGGCCCTCTGGGGTTCCTGCTATGGACTGCCGTTCCAGCATTAATGTCCAACCAGTTGGGTAACACATCAGGAATTTACATGTACACCAAAAAAAAAAAAAATACAGTTTGTAATATTCTCATTTGTCACTACACAGAAGTTGAACAAAAAAATTTTTTTAAGTTACCAAGCATTCTTCATCCAGTAACTCCAAAATACCCATTTTGGCTTCGATCAGGTCAATAACTGGTTGGTTGTCATAAAAATCTATCAGAGTCCAAGGGATATCTTCCTTCATGTATTCTTCTTGTTCAAGTTTAAAGACATGCTAGAAATCCAGAAGTTAATAGAGAAAACAAAACAGAACATTAAAGTGTGCTTTCAACGTCCAGGTTATAAGCACTTGGGAAATACAGAGACCTGACTGGTTCACAATGTTTAGGGAAGACCCTGAGGTGCAGGCCACCGTCCTTACCCATGACCGATGCTGCAGAGTTCCTAATGTGACCATCCCACCTGGTCTGAGTGGGATCCCAGGTCCTGGGGACCACCCAAAGTGGTCCTGCAACTCCTCTTTGCTCACAGCATTGCCGCTAGCCAAGACAGGTGCAGCCTCTCTGGCTGGGTGGGAGCCAGCCTGCCTGAGAATGCTGGCTGTGGGGCCGGTGTGAGATGCCAACAACATGGAGAGCTCTGTTCACTACTTGTTCAGGCCATAAGAGTATCAGGGAGGCTTCCCGGAGGACTGGCCCAGACTCATCCCGGCTGCAGGTGGCAGGAGGGGACGGGCAGTGAGGAGAAAGCCTCCCACAGAAGAATCCCCGTGCCAGCTGGGAAGCCCAATGGGAGGTTGAGAAACCTGGCTCTCTTAGAGGCCAGAGAGCACAGTAGAGATGGGGCCGAGGGGAATGCAAAGGATGATGGGGTGACTTCAAGGGCGTGATGAAGCCTATCTACTGGGAATAAACTTTACTCGTAGTTATTAAACGCTAAACTTCCAGGGAATCCTTGAGATTACGTACATAACATACATTTGCAATGGGATGAAATTTAATGTTATACGTGGATTAATTCCAAAGTGAGGAAAAGGAAAGAAAAGAAACATTTACTGGGTGTGACTCAGTGTTAGGTCCAGTCCTCACAACAGTATCAGACGGGCAGATACCAGTGACCATTTTTCCCAAAGAGGAAACAGGCTCTGAGCGTAAGGTCCCAGAGGAAGATAGGGAGAGCGGAGATTCAAACCCAGTTCCCTTTGAATAAAAGTCCATGGTCTCCATGATGTCACACTATTTTTTTTTTCTTCAGGAATGTTTTAGGAGAAGCTAAATTTCAAAAGACAAGCAAGAATTTGCCAGGTGAAGAAGAAGGGATGGGGAAGTGACAGGAGTCGGTGGGTTATGGCACAGAGGCTTGCAAGGCCGTGGGGCCTTCAGGAGACTCAATCATTTGGTCTGGCTGCACAGAGGGTCTGTGAACTAGCTGGGCTAGTGATGGACTGTGGCCAAGCAGCTGGCCAGGGGGCTAGAATACGAGGAATAGACTGGGAAGGTGTAATTTCAGAATGTGGCCACATGGTGGTGCTGTGAGCTGGCATGGGGCTCCTGCACTGTGCAGGGGGATCTGAGAACCGGTGGATAGGAAGGGCTGAGAGACCTAGTTTCAAGAAGGCAGAAAAGTCACTTACCAGGTTAAACTGCTGTTGCAGCTTCTCATTAGCGTAATTGATGCAAAACTGTTCAAAGCTGTTCACATCAAAGGTTTCAAAACTGAAATATGGTTTAAACAAGTTAAAACATACTTGCAGGGCATTTGCATCTGTTTTTAGGTAAGTACTTTTTTGACAAACTTCACAGTTTAAAAGTTTGCTGCTTTCGGCCAGTTTTAAATATGCCCCCAAAGCTTCTGGTTTTACTATCCTGGCAGTTGATAAATCATTTCCAGGCTGCGGGGGAAGGGATCTGGTATGTACAAAACACCTGCCCTGAGGCAGGCTGGTCCCGATAGGTTGTATGATTTGCATCACACAACAGCACCCAGACTCCATTACCCTCTTTGTTGGTGAGGGAATAAGGCTCTGAGAGGTTAGGAAGCGTGCCTGAGGTCACACAGCTTTTATCAGACTCAGCCGTGAGCCTGCCTATGACAGCTGTGCTTTCAGGGAAAGGCAAGGCTGTTTTCCTGTCCTCCCATTCTGTTGAAGGCACAGTTCTGCCTCCCCAATGCCTGGTTTCAGAATTCTTGGAGGACAAAGGCAAGGTCGTCTAAGAGCCCACAGCTCAGCACACCTCATCAGGTCTGTTCTCAGACTTGAAACACTTGTGTCCAGAGTTGCAAAGTCAAGACCCTGGGAGGAGGGACAGAAACGGGAAGTGGACTGGAGACCACACCACAGGGAGCTTACACCGCAGGGAGCCATTCAGCCCCCACCTCAGCAGCGGACAGTGATCAGCACACAGGTCCGAATGGGAGAATGTTTGATTTCCAAGAGGAGCTGGAAATCTGGACTCGTATGTGAATTCTCCTCTCGCTCTGGAAGACATGGTGTTGGCTGAACAGAACACAGCACAGCCTTCTGACCCCAGCCACGAGACTGCTCCTGCCAGGAGGAAGCTGAGTGCCCCAGGGTCTTGGGGTGGATGCTCACGACCTCACTTGACCCTAACACGGCCCTAGGTCAGAAACAGCAGGACCCCCTCCCCCACCATCACACTTGAGGGCCAGAGGCCAACAGCACCAAGGGGTGCCAGATGCATCATTTGACCCCAGGCCTCAGTTAATCCTCTAATTCTGAGCGGTTCCTGCCAGCTCCAGCCACAGGTTCCCTGAGAGTGGCACTTGACTGAGCCAGGCTGTCTCAGGTTAGAATTCCAAGGCAGGGCAAGGGCCTGGACTGGGCTCTAGACAGCTCTAGGGTGACTCAAAGCAGGAGCAGAGCCCACACAGTTTGGGCCAGGGTAGAGTCCAAAGGGCCTCGTGGTGCCCCACAGCTCACAGGGCCAAAGGCGAGGCTTTCTAGAGCGGGAGTGGAATATCAAATACCAGTGATTATCACCTTGTCCTTTTACACATTCCCTCTCCCAAAAATGGGCCCTCAGATCTGAAGTTCAAAACCCATGGAAAGACCTGAATCTGTGACCTGAAATGCCAGAAGCACACAGGCTAGGAGACCACTTCACGTGAGTGATACTCATGGTTCTAAAGATGCCATTTGATCCTCCTAATGACCCCGTGAGGGAGGCCCCAGCTTAAGGAGGCAGAAACTGAGGCTTGGAGGGGTCTTGCCACTTCCTCAGAGCCACACATCCGGAGCTGCCGTGCTCCCTCCCAGGGTCCTGAGCCCCAGCCTCTGGCCTTGCCCACTCTGTGTCCAGAGCACATAGACCCTGACGGGCTGGGGAGCCTCAACTCTGAGTGCTGCTCTGAGCAGAAACCTCAAGGCTCCCAGCTTCGGCAGTCATTGCTTTCAGTGCTGGCCACTTTTCCTTTGAAGCTGCTGTATTTCCAGATCAGACTGAGCTCAGTTCTCTCAAACACTGCCTGGCGTGCCTGAGCAAGGGCCGAGCATCAGGGGCTCGGCACACGGGGAAAGGCGGGACAGGGTTCACACCTGCAGCAGCACTGCCCCTCAGAGGGGAGCTTATGTTTTTAGAGTGGACCCTTAATTCACAGGTGGCAGCAAGCATGCTACTTGTATTATCTCTGAAGTGGATTTTAATGTAAAAATTTAGGCTAAGACCTACTTTAACAAGTCCTTATAAATTTAGTTACTGTCTCAGGTTTGTTCACATAACCAAAACCTCAGATTCCTTATCGCAGGGGTCTGCAGGCTTCGTTCATCTGCCTCCTGCCTGCCATGGCCCTCACTCCCTGCTGCTTGTCCTCAGCTGCCCTCCTCTCTCCCCCAGCCCCTGCTGACCTCCGGCCTACCCACCGGCTTAGTTGCTCATTCCCATCCCAAGAAGCTTCCCAATCTCTAATTACCTGCCTGCCTTCTCCACTAAAATTTAAGTTCCAAGAGGGCAGGGGCCATGTGCCTATTCTGCTCCCCAATCACACCCCTCACATGCCTGGCACTTAAACATGTGTGGGATGAATGGAATCAACTACCCTTAAAGGACTATTTATTTTTAAGACATTTAAAAGCACAGAAAAGAAGAGAATGCTATAGCAATCCCCTAATTCTCCCACAATAAAAGAGAGCATTGTTAAATAAGACTGTTTCTTTTTAAGTCTACTGAGAGTCTACTGGCCATTCAAATTCTCTTTTTAGCACAAGACAAGGTAAATCATTTACTATACTATCCCCCTAATGGATCAGTGTATTAGAACTGTTGACACACGCTATTAATTGGGAGTCACATGCACTAACTCAGACTCTAAATCAAACAAAGCACCTCCCCTGAGGCACTGTCTCGCATTGCACAGCTATGGGAAAGCCCACTCTCTGCACTGGGGTAAAAGTTCCACAGCTTCGTCACAGCCCGTGTGCTCCCTCCATCCCTCAGCAGGACGTGGTGGGGGCTAGCCGGCTCTCTTCTCTGTATGGGTAAGAGAGGTTGGGCTGCTGCTCAGAGGGTAAGGGGGAACACTCCCCAAGCCGGGTGGGGTGGGGGGTGGCCCTCTGCGGTGCCCTGAATGGAATGACTGGCCCTCTCCCTCACTGAGAAACCAGGACCCGCCCTGGGAGGGGTGAGGGAGGGGTTGGGGGTTTGAGGCCAGTTGCCACAAACAAAAAGCCTGAGCGTCAATGACCCTCAGAGCTCGCCTCCTCGCTGGCCTGTCCTCACTCACGCTCTAAGGATTCTACAGGCCTCTTGGGCATGCGTCTGGCCTTGGATTTAGAAAAGGAGGACCGGGCAAAGAGGAGGAAGAGCAACCCCAGTGTGGTGGGAACTTGGCCCCCAACGGTCTGAGAACAGCTAGAGCAGGGCCAGTCCGAGAATGGAAGGGAGCTCCGCGGTGTACGAGGCTGGTGGCTCAGATGCCCGGCTTTGAGTCTGCCTCGGACCCTGGCAGCCTGGGCAAGATGCGGGACCTCTGGGACGGTCCCTGCGCCCTTTGCTACCGGAAAGGTGTGTCAGGGCTCCACCCTCCTCCGGACCTCCGCAGGGAAACTGACAGGGGCTCTCCCACCAGCAGAGCCACCCAGGACCCCTTTCGGCCTGCAAGCCTGGGTTGTTTCCCCTCTGTCTGAGAAGTCGGGGAGAAAGTGCAGGCGATCAGCCAGCACCGTGGCCAGCAGGCCGTGAGCTCTGGCTGCTGGCTGCTGGTAATTCGGCATTTAGGTCATATGCTCTAAGTGAAACACACCGCAGCCCAGGGGGCTGTACTTAATTAACATCCACGCGTGCAAACGTAGAGAACACCACCCTTTTGATCACGTGAAACACAAAAAAGAAACCAGAACAAAACGATCTAAAAATAATGGCCATTTGACATTTAAATGAGGAAAGACAGGCTCACAGAAGAGAATCTTACCCATAAATGTCCAAAACACCAATAAAAGTGTGCTGCTTGCCTGAAAACTGCAACGCTTGGTTAATTCTCTCCACAATGAAGTCGAACAGGTGAGCGTAGATCTTCTTGGCCAGTGCGTCCCTAGCGGTGACTGCCTGGGGCCTGGTCATGGGCTTCACCACTGTCTCGGAGGTTGTGATGAGTCTGCGACTGCAGAGCCACTGGGCAACTTTGGCCCTCTCCAGGCCCAGGAGCTCACAGAACACTTTCAGGTGCCTGTCGTCCTCCTTCAAACACAAGCACAAGCCCCATCAGGGCCGTCTGGCCATCGAACCCAGCACCAGCCCACCCGGCCAGGGCTCCGGGGCCTCCACCTGGGCCTGTGCCAGGGACAAGGACGAGCTGGCATGAGAATGACCAGGCTCAACCAGACAGGCAGGCCTGGGAGGACAGCAGGAGGGCTACAGCGGCACAGAGCTTGCATCAAGGTATGGTTGGGATGATGCCAGGCAGTCTGGGGCCGCGTCCCACCTGGGTTGTCATTCTGGCTAAAGAACGTCCACAGTGAGTCAGGCCACGGAAGCAATCCTCCCCTTCCTGGACACGCGGACACAGCCTCAAGGCCCCTCTCTTCCCTTGGCAACATGCCCAGACTACCTGTCCCTACCTGTGTGGTCAGGGTTTGCGTGGGGGGTCTAGCCCCAAGGTACCTAGATGTCATCATCAGAGAACCTGACAACAGGGCTCCCTTAACCGAGCTGGCTTCCCAGTGGACAGGAGGAATGTGTGCAAGGTTTTTCCTGGACACACAAAGTGAATCTTGCTTTTGTCCCAGCTGCCCTGCTGGTCAGAGACAAGGAAAGGTCTGTTCCTGTCTGTCCTCAGCCAGCATGGACAAGGAGTCCTTGTTACCTGGCAAGGAGATGTGACCCTTGTGAGTGAGCACTACCATTCCCCTTGGGCAAGGGAACTTCCTTGGCGCGCTAATCTTCAGAGGTCATCACGGCCAATGGGAAAACTACGTGGCTGCACTTGAAAAGCATCAGGTTACAGAGGAGCAATAAATCTAGAAAGTTCTGCTGCCTCCTTGCTATCCACCCACACCCCTTCCTACCAACACCGCAGTAACACAAAGCTTGTATTCACCTGCCTGACCACTGGGGAGCAGAATGGTAGAACCATGGCTTTCTTCCTTCTAAGAAGGAACTAAACCATCGGAATCAGAAACATTGAGGTACAGGTGCTGCTGCAGGCAGAAAGGAGAGGGACAGGAATTCTTAAAAAGATGGCTTCCTCCAGATTGGGTCTGCCCAACATTTCAAGTTTCTGATGCGAATGAATGGTATGAATGTTCCAAAGATAGGATCACTAGTTATAGAACTGGTGATTTGCTATGAAGATTCTACATCTTTTTCAGAGACTTTGTCTCCTCAGGGTGATAGACAAAGGATTTTTATTCTATGAGTTTTAACTCCTTCTCCAAAATACTACCTTCATAGCAAACTTCATGGGACAGAGATCAGTGCAAGGGAATTTGTTGGGAAGATATCAGATCTTTAGTCCATGGAGTTTGAGAAGAACAAGGGCAGAAGCCCATTTATCAGAGGTCGATGAGAAGGCACAGAGGGAGACCCACCGCTACCTGCACACCAGGCTCCTACCCACACCTACCATCCCCTCTCCCAGAACCTTCCAGTTCTGTGCCAACTGACTGGGTGAGGGCTGGACACGGGGGGCATGGGACGGGCGCTTAGTGTGAGAGCTTGAGGAGAGGGAGGAGAATTACTTCCTGGTCACAAGACAACAGGACTGAAGCCTGGAGCCCAAAACCACATGTTCCACCTACTGTTTGGCTCTCTCTCCTCTACGCAGCAGGTACCAGAGAGCTCAAAAACGACCTATGTGCCAAATTATGAGCTGTTCCCATGAGTGTTTTGAGGGGGAACAGGAAAATAGACATTGTTATATTATGAACTGAACACTTCCTCCCAAAATTTGTATGTTGAAGCCCTAGCCTCCAATGTGATGGTATTTGGAGTGGGGCCTTTCGGGGGTGATTAGCTTCAGATGAGGTCATCAGGGGTGGGGCCCTCACGATGGGATTAGTGCCCTTCTAAGAAGAGGAAGAGACCAGAACCCTCTGTGTCCCTCTCTCTGCCATGAGGACCCCGCAAGCAGGGGGCTGTCTGCCAGCCAGGAAGAGTGACCTCACCAAGAGCTCAACCATGCTGCACCCCGATCTTGGACTTCTAGCCTCCAGGACTGGGAGAGGAAAAACTTCTGTTGAGGAGGCCACCCAGCCTGCGGTCTTTTGTCACGGCCTCGGGAGTGACAAGATAGACATACATATACAAAGCTTAAAAGGTCAGGCGACCTTGCAGTTCATAGAAGCATTTTTTATTTTGTGTTATTTTCTCCTTTATACAGATTTTCATGAGAAGAACCAAAGACACACCCCTACTAAGGGTCACTTTTCATAATTTGTCAAAGCATAGACACTTACCCTGTGTTCGTTAAATCAAGAAATCACAGAACTGATATGGGAATATATTTCCAGAGGAAAGTCAGCACTCCTGGGGCTTGATGTGGGCAGGTGTCAGGAGGTGGGAGGTGTCCTTTCTGCTCCAAATATCCAGTGCTTTGAGGGCCCTATATGACCTCACCCTTTCCCCTGCCCCCCGCAACCTTTTCTGGCCTCAGAAACCACCCCTGCTTTTATTCATTCCTCTTTGGATATACTCCCCCCTACCCCCCTGATTTGTCAAGTAACAGCTCCTGCCTGAGGGCCTCTGCACTGCTGTCCCCTCTACCTTGAATGTTCTTTCCTCCAGTACAGGCACAGTTCACTTTCTCATCTTTAGGTCTCTGCCCCCATACCCATGAGGCTTTTACTGAGTGCTCTATACAAGAGGCACAGCCCCTCTGCAACCCTGGACTCTGCTTCCTTCTCCCTGCTCATGGCCACCACCAAGCCTGTAACTGGTGATCGTGTCTCTTCCCCTCCACTTCCTATCCCCAGACCGTAAGCCCCACGAAGAGCTTCTTGTTTGGTTTTGCTCACCGCTGTTTCTCCAAAGCCTGCAATAGGGCTTGGCATGTAGCAGGTACTTAGTAAATATTTACTGAATTAAAGAAAAACACAGAGAGAATACATCTTCTCCTCTACTGTTGAAGGGGAAGCTACCCACGGAACCCTTGCTTCCTTGCTCCTGACAACTGGTCTCTCCAGCGGGCCCAGTGTTCCTTGTGCTAAAATGCAGAAGCAGAGTAACCAAGAGACACTCTGCTGGTGACCCTCTGACCACAGCAAGTGGAAACAAAGCAGTACTTACACTGACAGAAGACCTCTCGTGGCCCACCGCTGTAATCTGCACGTTGCCCAGATGTAGGATGGCTGCTAGGATCTTAAAAATGTCCATCTGAAAATCCTCCTTGAAACCTGAAAAAACAAATGTCCAAATTAGGAATACTGCATCTCTTCCCTGACTTCATCACTAGTAGTATAAGCACCTGAATTCTTTCAAGACACTCTAGCACCATCACTGCTGAGAGCTGGCACGGGAACGTGCAGCGGCCCCCAGAGGGCCTCTGGTTCGCCATTCTTGCCAGTTTGACCAGCTACAACACAATATGTGAATTCAACAGCCCACTAGGTTTCCCCTTTTGCCATCGCTGCTGTAAGTGCAATGCAAAAATTCATACCCAAATCACCATTTCATGTTAGGTTCCTGGGCAAATCAGCTCTCATTTATTCTATGTGTTGCACTTCCTTTATTTTTATTGTGGTTTTTTTTCCCCTTTTTGGTTCACAAGTTCCTTGAACTATTTTTTTTTAATTTTTATTTTTATATTTTTATTTATATATTTTTGAAGATTCTAGTAATTTATTTGACAGAGAGAAAGAGAGAGCACAAGCAAGGGGAGCAACAGGCAGAGGGAGAAGAAGCAGGCTCCCCAAGGACCAGGAGGCCCGATGTGGGACTCGATCCCAGGAGCCTGGGATCATGACTTGAGCCCAAGGTAGATGCTCCTACTGAGCACGGAGCCTGACGCAGGCCTCAATGGGACCCTGAGACCATGACCTGAATGGAAATCGAGAGTCAGCTGCTCAACCGACTGAGCCACCCAGGTGCCACCCTAAACTGCTTTAGACATTATCTCCTAATCCTTACCACATCCCTAATAGCTATGGAGGGCCTCTTCAAAGATGGCCCCCAGGGCACCACCCTCCTAGAGTTCATGCCCTGTGCGGTTCCCTCACCATGGGTTATGTATGAGTCTGAGTTTTTGACCATTATCACATGGCAGTAGTGACGTGGCCTTACTTCTTAAGCTGGTTCATAAAAAATCTTACACATCCCACCTAAGCCTACTGTAACTCGCTCTGGGAGAAGGGAGCCACAACATGGTACACACCATTTACCCTGAGACCAGTGTGCTGTGAGGAAGTCTGTGTGGAGAGAGAGATGCCTGCCCAGTCCCTGGTGCTTCTAACCGTACCAGTCCATGTGAGAAAACAAGCCTTCAGAGAGGATGGGGTCCCTACTACTGTCAAAGAGTAGTCCCCACTGACAAGTATCCAGCTGAGCCCAGTCACCCCAGAATCACCCAAAATAATAATGATCCATCATTTTAGGCCATTAAGATTTGGGGAAACAGCAAAAGATGATTGGAACAACTGAGTATTTTCATTACTGTCCCAGTAATCAAATGGGGAAACTGATGCCCAGAGAAAACAACTGAGCTCTGGAAAGCCAGAGACTGATCTTAGGATAAACAAAAAAAATATTGGAGCAAATACATGAGATAGATAATTTAATACTAAATTGCCAAGACAGAGGCCATCAGAGGCGAGTTCACTGGGCTAGCATCTTGAGGTAACAGACTTCATAGAAAGTAAGCAGGGCAGATTCCTTCATATTCCTGGCATTCTGCCCACTAAGGGAAGGAGAAGGGAGCAGGCCCCAACCCCTTTCCACCCCCGCCACTTCACACACCACAGTGGGCAGCCAACACCACTAATAGCCACAAGAGGCAGTAGACTGTTTTACTCTACTTCCCCACAAAACTTTGGGGGGCTTTGTCAAAACTCTAGGCCAGGGGTGCAAGGCTGGGCCAGGGGAAACAAGCCAGGTGCCCGGGGCCAACCCTACATTTGTGCCACCCTGAGAGTGAATGCCTGAACTCCTCCTTCAAGTTCATGCCCTAGTCACCTCTTCTGCCTCATACCTAGTCCTGGCCTGGCTGCTGTGGACATCTGTGAAAATAATCTAATTTGTGTGAGATCATGAAAAAAATTGCTGCTGCTGCTCTCGCAGGATTAAGAAAGGTTTAACGGAGAAGGGGATGGTTTTGCTCAAAGGATGGCTAGGGCTTGAGCAATAGGGAATAGAGAGTGAGGGCAGGCCGTCATACTGAGCAAGCACCTGCTACGTGCCCAGTCTGGTACCAGGGGCTCTCACACACATTTCCTTACCAGTTATTATGGGAGCCCTGTGGGTAAGGAATATGGCCATTCTATAGATCAGGAAGCTGAGTCTCAGAAAGGGCAACCTCCTTAGAGTCCTGCCAATTAGGTTTTAAGTCATGTTTATTTGACCTCAAAGCCTACTCTATTTCTCTTGTATCATTTTTGTGTGAGGTGAAATATTATAGAGGCAGGAGGGAGTGTTGGAAGGGGAGAGATGGGAAGGAGGACAGGGCATGTGGACCAAGGTCCCACCAGGGCCCGCCAGAGCTAGGCTGCCTGCCAGAAGTAATACATGGTATTATTTCTCAGTAAAGCACATTATAGATACAGTAATGACTTCAAATACTTTAAGAAAATGGTAATCAGTACCAAAAGTGCTTATCTCATTATTATACACTATTTAAATTGCCCTTCTCCTTTAAGGGGTTTGGAAGGGCCGGGGGCATCTGGGTGGTTCAGTCAGTTAAGCATCTTATCCTTGATCTCGGCTCAGGTGTTGATCTCAGGGTCATGAGTTTAAGCCCTGCACTGGGCTTAAGACCCACCGTGGAACCTATTCAAAAAAAGAAAGGAAGAAAGAAAGAAAGCAAGCAAGCAAGCAAGCAAGCAAACAAACAAGAGAAAAGAAAGAAAGAAAAAAAAAAGCAATTTGGAAGGGGCAGAATCAGATGGTAATTCCGCTTAGGAAACCAACCAGTTTTCTTTCTCAACTACCTGAATGTTTCATTCTCAATTATCTTGAAGAGTAATGTTGCCTATTACTCTGATATATTTAACCTCAAATTCTTTGCCTTTTACATTTAAATATAGTCACCGAAACCACAGCAATGAAAATAACTTGGTGAAACAAATATTTTCTCTAAGAAGTAAAAATATTCTGTGGTCTCACACTGATCCAAAGCTTTGACTGACAGTTATGTATTAGTGTCTACACTAATACACTATAGAAAAGTAAATGATCATTTTCATCAACGCCATTAGGTAGACACTTCCCAAACGTGAGCTCCATGTGGGAAAAGCAAGGGGGAGAAAGACCAAGCAATGCAAGATTTTGTTTTCTGTATAAAAATGTGGTAAGAAGAGTGCCAGGGTGGCTCAGTTGGTTGAGCGTCTGACTCTTGATTTCGGCTCAGGTCATGATCTCAGGTCATGATTGGGGAGCCTGTGTCAGGTTCCACACTCAACAGGCAGTCTGCTTGGGATTCTCCTTCTCCCTCTGCTCCCCACCAACCCCCCAACCTCCTGTTTATGCTCTCTCAAACTCTCTCTCTCAAAAAAAAAGTGAGTCTCCTCCGTCCCCTTACTCTAAAATGGGGGAAATACTAGTGTCTACGTCATAAAGTGCTTGTAAATTGAGCAAGCTAGCACAGGTAATGAAGTGCTTGGGATGCCTGGTAAGTTCCATGTAAGTGTCTGCTATTTTATCGGGCCAGGTAGGGTCAACGTGACCCCACCCCAGTCCAAGCACCAGTCTCCTCTGAAGTCAGCCCCAAGGAGCTTAAGAGCACCCCCGGGGCAGACAGCCCCCACTGCTCACTGCAAACCAGCCCCACTGCAGGTGAAGGCATTAATATCTACATCTTTTAAGGGAAAAGCACCAGTCTTGTCCACTTGGGCATCAAATATATCCTGATCAACTCTTCCTAAGATTAGAATTTATTAGGAGTCTTCAGAACACACACCTGCTGGGCATCCCGGCCTTTCATTTTGTTTTTTGTTGTTGCTGTTGTTGTTTTAAAGAGAAAATGGCCACACGTTGGCTAGGGTATTTCCACTTACCCAGTAGCGTGAAGGTCTTCTGTGTCTCTACCATGTCTGCCCTGTCATTCACGCCCTCGATGACCGTGCTGCCTCCCATTCTTGTGTAGTTAAATTCTTCTGCACTCCCTGCAACCAAAAGATGGTTACATGTGTGACACAGAAATTTGTGACGCAGGTTTATCAGAAGCAAGACAGGAAGCTCACACATAATACACTAGAATAAGCACTTGACACACATCCCTCCATTAATTCTGTGGGAGTCTATGTGACAGACGCAGAAGCCAGGGCCCAGGGAAGTGAAGTGTGTTGCTGAAGGCGCCAGAGCCGAGGGAGGGCAAGAGTCTGAACACATGCCTGTCTGACCGCAAAGCTCCTGGGTCTTGCTCCCGTATCTCACTGTTCTGTACAGCTTTACTGAGGATTACCCACCACAGAATAAACTGTCCATGGTTAAGATGTAGACTTTGGTGAGTTTTGATATATGTACGCCCTAACAGAACCAGCACCACGGTCAAGAGATTAACCACATGAACAGCTAATACCTCAGCAGTAGGTGGGCCTACTGACAGCTCTTCCAAATTCACTATTCACATCCTGTTCTGCAGACAGGCATGGGTTTTACCTTCATACAAAATCTGAGGAACTTTAGCTTCTTCACAAGTGCAAGCAACTTCTCCAAGATCGGAGTGTGTGCGTTCAACTCCCACATACCGCACAATTCTATCCACCAACCCAGCACAAGCAACCAAGGGAAGAGAGCTGTGACAGCACAGGAATCGAGCTGTTTGCGAGACAGGACAAAGAGTTCTGCTGTCCCTGTGGTTTGATTAGTTGGAACGACAAACAATAAAGACCCTGAGTCATCAAGGAAGCTCAAATGATGACAGAGACCCTCTGTCTCAGAAGACAGGGAAATATGTCATGCATATTGGAAAATAACCATCCGAGGAAGTTCAGATAAAGAAAAGTTTAGGGATTTGACAGCACCAAGTCCCAGGGGTCAGGAGATCTTATTCAGGTGGCTCTAGTTAGATGACCATCATCACCCATGAGCTTTGGAAAAAAACCCTGGAGTTTAAAGGTCTCCTCTCCTGGACCCACCCTGCCCCTCAACTTATCATCTTAGTTAGATGCATCAACTCTACCCCTAAAACCCAAGGGCCTATTTTGGACAGAGTATTTTTAAGTGATATTACTATACGAAAAAAACAATCTTGGGGCACCTGGGTGGCTCAGTCGGTTAATCGTCTGCCTTTGGCTCAAGTCATGATCCCAGGGCCTTGGGATCAAGCCCTATATACGGCTCCTGCTCAGCGGGGAGTCTGCTTCTCCCTCTCCCTCTGCCTGCCACTCCCCCTACTTGTGCTCACTCTCTCTCTCTCTCCCTCTGCTCTCTCTTTCTCAAATAAAGAGAATCTTAAAAAAGAAAGAAAGAAAGAAAAAGAAATCAACCTGGAATTTAAGTCCCTACATAAAAGAGAGACATGTCCATGCATTATATAACACGTACCCAATTTAAGATGTTTAAATTCCGACTCCTGGGCAGATGCACAAAGCTGATAAAAAATGTGGTAATTTCGTTCATTTTCCGACTGTAAAATAAAGGAAAGTCCTGAAATTACACCAGCTCTTTACAAGTAAAAATATGAGGCTCTTAATGGAGGGGTCTTAGATGGCTAACCTGGATTGACAATTCTGCTCTTAGGGACACTGACAATTTACCTGTTTTTTTTTACTCTGGTCGATAACACTGTGACCCAGCCTGTTCCCCCTCTGTTGGCTCAAGACCACCTTCCAGATAAGGACCCCCCAAAAAATGTTATTAAGTGAAAACACCCTGTGAAATGAGAATAATGTAATTTGTACCAGTTGAAAATTTTTTTTAAATTTATTTACTTGACAGACAGAGATCACAAGTAGGCAGAGAGGCAGGCAGAGAGAGAGAGGAGGAAGCAGGCTCCCTGCCGAGCAGAGAGCCCCGTACGGGGCTCGATCCCAGAACCCTGGGATCATGACCCGAGCCAAAGGCAGAGGCTTTAACCCACTGAGCCACCCAGGTGCCCCTGTACCAGTTGAAATTTTTAAGCTACTCCTTGTAATAAATACAATGCTTACTGTTGCTCTCTTGGACCAAAATTATGGAATTTTCTCCATTTTACTGACAAAAGAGCCTTTCTCTTAAACACCCCCAACTAACTGTAAGCCCATTCCCTTCCTGGTCAGGAAAGCTGGTCTAAACAGCTTTGTCTATTTCAAGAAGTTTTTGTGTTCTGAAAAGATAAACTTGTTTGTGAAACTCAAAGGATCCAAAATTTTTCCCTTGGTGGATTCATATCACTCCACTGATATTGCATCCATCTGTCAATTTTTTTTTTGTTGTTTGTTTTTAAGAAGCAGAAAGAAGGGGCACCTGGGTGGTTAAAGTGGGTTAAAGCCTCTGCCTTTGACTCAGGTCATGGTCTCAGAGTCCCGGGATCGAGCCCCGCATCGGGCTCTCTGCTCTGCAGGGAGCCTGCTTCCTCCTCTCTCTCTCTCTGCCTGTCTCTCTGCCTACTTGTGATCTCTGTCTGTCAAATAAATAAATAAAATCTTAAAAAAAAAAAGGCAGAAAGAAAAAAAGCCAAAAGGCAAATGAAAGATAGGAAATTTGATTCTTCAAGTCACAGAGCAATGCAGGTGGTCTAATGAGTATGTAAGTGCGAACAGTGCTTTGAAAGTTGGGAAAAAGGATATTTAATGGCTGTTTGTATCCTTACCTGAAAGACGACTCTGGATTTCTCCAGCAGGTACGTCCTCATGTTGGCTCCTATAATCTGATTCCTCTCGTCAAAGCTGATCTCTGTGTATTTCCCAAACCGACTGCTGTTGTCATTGCGGGTGGTCTTGGCGTTTCCCACCGCCTGCAGAACACAGGCCCCTCAATAACGTTACAAAGGTCTTTGCATTCACACTATTGGAGCGGTTTCAATAAATCCAGTCCTGCGTGCTGGGGAGGGGTCTGACTAGCAGAGGGAGGTTGGGGCAGAGGGGCTGGGGGAAGAGGAGGAAAGCAGTCCAAAGCTCGCGGGGAGCAGGACGTGCCCTCAGGCTGCCATTCAGAGCTCTCCTCTCTTGCTGAGACACTGGGCAGGATCAGCTGGACCACGGGCTCTGGTGTTTCATGGCCCCAGGCTCCTTCTCCGCTATCTGTATAATTCTAGAACGGTTATTTCATCTCTGCAAGGCTTGGTTTCTTTATCTGTAGTGTGGGAATAATCTGCATCTTGCAGAGTGGGCAGGATGACCTAAGACAATATAAAGTGCCTCAACACATCCACACTCTGAATATTACAGATGCTCGATTCAAAGAACACATCCCTCAACTTGATTTCTATCCTTATCTCACTACTTCCCTACTCAGACCTTCCACTCGACCAAAAAACTCTGTTCTCTCATCCTTTCCACGCTCTGGGCAAGACTTTTCCTTTTTACTTCTGCTCTTGAATTCTGTTTCTCCTCTACCCATCCCCTCCCCCCTCCCTGAGCACTCTCCATCTGGAAGTACCCTTCTCATGCTCACAAACTAATCTTCCTGCCCAGGTCATCATGCTTTTTGATGACACATTTATGGGCCACGTGCTTGGGTGGCAAAGGTGAGCCAGGGTCCTGCCTCTCTGGAGCTTACCATCTACTGAGCAAGATTGATCCTAAACAAATAATCACATAAATTCATCCACTGGGCAGTGCCTCTGGATAACTTTACTACTGCTATCTTAGATTGTGATCTATGTTTCCACTTAACTTTAAAATATGTTTATGGTAGAGGAGTCTTAAGACTTGGGGACCGGGTCTTACTCTTTTTCATCACCTCCTGTATTATCTGACACAATGGCTTAAACAAAATACATGGTCTGATAAATATTTATTCATAATTCTGATTTAAGAAGACAGAGAGAGGAGGTCTAAGAATCTAATGGTCTTAATTTTTTTGCTGTGTTTCCAAATAAATTGAAGTCAATCCTTTTCCCATTTTGCAAAGCAGCCAGAGTTGGTCTTCGGACATCCCCTGAGACTTTCAGATGCTCCTTCTCCCTTGAGGGCTGGCTCCTTCCTCCTGAGTGCCTGCATGGCTGGCCTTGCCCACGCCTCTGCCCTCGTTAGCATTGTGTGAATGGATCAGCTCTTGGGGAGTGGAGAAGGAAGGGTCTTGATATGTAGCATTTGCCAATTTGTAAGGTGCATATATTCCCACCATGACTGATGTTAAACTACCAAAGGTTTAACAGTCAGCTTGCAAAATAATTCCTGAATATTTACCAATCAGCTCTTAAAAGTTGGTGCACTTTCCTGCCCTCACTTCCATTGTCTTTAAAGGGGAGGGCTTGAGTTAGCCATGAAAACACATACACAAACCAACCCACCTCTCCATCACACACTGTCCCCTGTGACCCTGCTCCCCACCCCCGCCGGCTGCATACCTCTGTTATGGGGTTTGATGCCAGAACCTTGTCCTCCACGTGGGTGTTACTGCTGGACTTGCTGACGGTGGCAAAATACCTCATGGCGTAGCGAGCAGACACAGTCTTCCCGGCACCTGACTCCCCACTTACTATTATTGACTGATTTTTATTGTTTCTAAAGCAAATAAAAGGATTTTTAAAAATGCTCACTTCTTCCTATTAAAAAGGCAATATATACTCAGGAAGAAAAAATGCAGACAAGTGGAAAGAAGGCAAACTCTGTTTCATCACTCTGTTTTTAATACTCCAGTGAATTTCCTTCTAGTCTCTTTTTCTATGGGATCAAGCTGAACACACAACTGTTTCCTGCTCTGTCCCCCGTGCTGAGGGCCCCCAGACCACTCTTACGTCAGTGATATGCTAGAGGACTCACAGGGTGCAGCACATAGCCATCCTCATGGCTAAGACTTATAGTGAAAGAATACAAAGTAAATCTGCACATGAAAAGTGCACAGGGTGACAAATCCAGAGGAAGCCAGGCATGAACACTTAAATCCTTCAGCAGTGAGTTATGACAACCCGTGGGAAGTGCTGTCCACCAGGGAAGCTCTTCAGAGAGTCGGGGCACAGGGCTTTCACCAGGGGCTGGTCATATAGGCATCCTCAGCCGAGCACATACCAAAATTCAAGATGCTGAGAAGGAGAGTGGGCACTCAGCATGAGCTCCATCATTTACGCAAACAATCCAGGTACAGTGAGTCACTCTCATCAGTTAGGCCGGGTGGGAAACTTCCTAAAATCCAAGCTCCTATAGGCCAGCCCTGGGCCAGCTTTGCAAACAGGCCTCTGAACACAGTTGTCTCGGGCCCAGGTCAACTCCTCTCTGTGTATCCCCACATAAACATAAGATATTTAAAGACATTATTTTGGAGAGCAACTATTCAAAATATGCTTGGGAATATATGTGCTCAGTATACCAACGTGTCCTACATATTTTAGAGATCTTAAAAAAGGCATTCAACTTTTCACATCGTAAGATGATGATAGAATCTTCCTATCATGCTGGTCTAGGTATCCAGCATTGCTGATATACTACACACTGCACAAATACTTTATAAGGATTCTCATTTAAGCCTTGGAAAAAAGTCTATGCCACATATACCCATTTTACAGAAGAGTACAATAGGGGTTCAGAAAAGTAAAATGACTTGACCCAGGACACAGAGTATGCAGCCTCCCTGTGAACACCGGAAGGACCTCAGAGATAGCGTTCCTGCCCAAAAAAGCAAGCCTCTGAGGAAGTGAGTGACAGCCCCAGTATCCCTTGGCCAGGTAGAACAGGGAGGGAGTTTTAAAGCCAGGCTCTTCTGAGTGCCAGTTTAGCATCAGCAAGTACAACATAAAACTACCTTATGTTCAGTACTGTTACAGGAAGCCCTTGAGAAAAAACGGGGTCTTTGATCTTGACCCTGGTTCAGCCCCATGAGCTCAGACTGCTGATACCCGGGAGCATCCCTGGCCCATCAGGCTGGGAGCCATGAACTTCCATCACAGAGACCTACATCTCTGTGAACTCTGTGAACTACATGAACTTCCATCACAGAGACCTACAGGGAGCAGGACAAATCCCAGAACCATGGGTGTTTTGTAATTGGAAGGAATCTTGCTATAGCAGAGACCAAAGTAATTGGTCATTAATTGTTAAATCTCTACTCAACATTCATCCTTTTCTTCCTTTTAGAGACTATGTCCCAACTTTTAGTGGGCACACTGCTGCCCATATGGAAGACTATATATCCCAGCTCTGCTTGTCACTAGGCATGGTCCTGGGAGTAGGTCCTGCCCAAAGAGCTGTGAGCAAAGGGGTTTTGTGGGGTTTCCAGGGAGTCTCCATAACCAGGAGGGGCACACACTTCCCCTCTGACACTTTGTCACCCAGAGTATGGAGGAGACAGCTAAGTATTAGCGTGCCCTCAGGAGGAAAGTCTCACTCCAGGGACTGAAGATCTGGAAGGCAATGGGTCCCTGACGGCTGGTAGAGGTGGCACACTAGTCCCAGACTGTCCATCAGCCCATCAGCTTTTTTTGCAGGAGAGAACCACACACTCTACCTTGTTCACGCCATCATTCTTCCCCCTGATTATAAGCCATGAACCACGAATGGGTGCCCCCTGAGTGTCTGGTTCACAGATAAAGACAATAAGGCTAAGGGAGTGGAGAGTCTGTGCCCGGGATTATGTGGTAAATGGTTAGCAGGTCCAGGCCCTGTGCCTCAGGTTTGCGTTCACCAGGGCAAAGCTCAATGCACTTCACGGGGGCATTGACACACTTAAAGGAGATCACTGCCTGGAAAGTTCTTTTGAGAACCACAAAAGGGTCTACAAAGATAGGAAGTTGCTTCTATTTTTCATACTTTACAGATGAGGACATCGAAGCCAAAAGACATTACACGTGGAGTCAGAAACCCCGAGCACACATCCCAGCTCTGCTTGCTGGTGACCTTGGGTGGATGACCCCCAAACCTCAGCTTGTTGCCCAGGTGTCTCCATCACAGGCCAGGCTGAGGGTACCCTCAATGGTGTACGAGAATGAGTGCACAGGGCCTGCTCCACAGGAGGCTTTTAATAAATGTTCGCCAGCAAAACGAAAACTCCACGGGGCCACACAGAACACAGGTGGCAAAATGAGTCTAAAGCTCTACATCTCCCACAGCTAAAACGTGTGCTCCTCTATCATAAGATTTTGCTGGCCCAGATTGGAGGGAAAAAGCTTGTGCATCTCACAGTGGAGAAATCAACATTCCTCCAACCAAACACACCACAAGCGAAGCATCTGACATTCCCAGATTGATAGGTTTGACTTTTGACTCCCTGGAAGAAGAAAAACCAGGAAACCTGGTCTAGACAGGTTACGCAGGCAGTCATTTGCTACTGCGTTATAGGTAGTCCATTCTACCACAGTCCCCTTTAACAAGACCAGTGCCAGAGGGTCCCCCTCCACAGTGAGGGCCCAGCACACACGAGGGCGGGGAGCTGGGCCAGAAGGAGGGATCCCCGCCCAGCAGGAGGCTACCTGGCCATCTGCTTGTATGCCTCTTCAGCCACGGCAAATATATGTGGGTCCATATCGCCCATGTTCTGCCCGCTGTAGGCGTGGATGATGGCATCTCCGTAGATCGGCAACTGCTTGTAAGGATTCATGGCCACCAGAATGATTCCTGGGGAAAGATGCCCGATGCAGTGCTGGGGATTTTACTGTCACCTGCTTCTCCAGGTTCTTAGGATCAAGCCCAGCTCTGCCAGTTATTAAGCGTGCCCTGTGACTTGGGGCAGGTCACGTAACGCTCTGGATCTCAGGTCCCTGTGGATGCCACCCACATTTCTAAGCGACCGTCAGGGTTGGAGGAGATGACAGATGGGAATGCCCTAAAACTGAAAGCTCTTTCAATTCTCAATGTAAATATAATGATAACATCATTGCCCAGAGTAAGTAATAAATGTATTAAATCCAGTAAGAAACTCAAACACAAGCTTTATCCAGTTACAGCTTTCTTGGGAGTCTGATCTTAAGTCTTGCACAAGATTCTCCCCACCCGTAGACACTTCTGTTTACAACAGACTCTTGAAGATCAAATGTCTGTGCTTGTCAGACAAAAATCTGGGCAAATGTCTAGGTCCAAGTGTACGTTTTGGCAGAAGTCGACATTTCTAACGTAAATAGGATATAAAATGTACTCGGGACACCCTAGACAGCAAGCATGGTGTTTCTGGTCACGGCTGCTCTCTTAGAATTGCTCTCCTTACCACTGTAGGTGTAAATGAGTTTGGATTCTGCAAAGCGGACTCTGAGATTGTGGAGCACCGCGGGCTCGTGGAGATAGCTGAGGGCCGTGAGGTCATTCTCGCCCACGAGGATGTCGGGGTTCCGAAGCGGAGGCAGGGATTCTGGATCAATGGAATAATCCAGCTCCTGTGGACAAAGACGGAATTAAAGTTCTAGAAGTGAAAGACTCTTGGTGTTTCTGAACTCCTGTTCTCCGTCCTATCCATCCCCTTTTGGAGTGATCCCAGACACTCTGAAAAACAAATGTATGTAGAGCAAAGAGAAAATCATCTCCATGACTGACTCTTGGGGAATGAGAGCCAGGGGACTAGGATATTGGCTGTGGGCCCAAGGGCAAGTTTCTCATCCTTTCTGGACCATTCCTCGCTCATCTGTGGAAAGACTGGCTGGAGCTACAAGACCTCATTGAAGGCTCCGTGAGAGGTGACAGGGAAGCTACATGGGCAGGGACCTGGGCATGCCACCTCCAACTCTACCACAGGGGGTCCACTTGTATGTAGGTTAGATGCTGAGCCCCATGAACATTTTGCTTGAAAACAGGGTCCTGCTGGGTGGTGAAAAGTGTCTGAAGGAGCCCGTGTGGGTGACAGTCTCTCTTTGAGAGGACGCAGGTGCTCTGACTCCCGTCTATAGCTGAAGGCAGCCTGTTTCTGTCATCCTGGGCGCTGGCTGAGTAACTTACTGGGGACAGTGTCTCCTGCACTAGATTTCACCCAGCTTCTGACAGCAGCTGCCTGAGCAGAACGAAGGAGAGTTTGGCAAGCCTTGTGGTGTCCATGATGGACACCTGCTCTAACTTTCTTCACTTTCATCTCACAGCCTGGGGAAGTGACTCAAGCAAGATCACCCAGCAAGCTTGTTTCCCTTCCATGTTTCTAGGCTGCCTGCCTTTCGATTCCTGGTCCTGAACCTGCTCCACACGATGAGGTGCTCCCTCCCCCGCCCCACAAGTGCCCACCATGCAGACCGTCTGCCAAGTATTCAGTCAGCGGTCCTCAAGACTGCCTTCCAAGGAGGGCACGTCTGCCCTAATTAACAGCTACGGAGGCAGCTTCAGAAAGGTTCCTCTCCTTGTCCAAGCTCACAGGGTTCTTACAGACCTGGCTGGCTCTGAAGTCCGAGTCATGACACCTCCCGTCCGCGCGGACAGGGCTTTGTCGGTGACTTGGTCGGGCTGTGTGGCCCGAGGAGAGCGGCTCGGGACAATCCAGGCCAACTGGATTGAATCACAGCTGCCTGCTCTGTTTCCAGTGCAAATATATTTGTGGGTGGGCCCCAAGCAGAGTTATTATTTTTCCCTATTTTATTGAGAAGTAATAGACACATATTATTGTATAATTTTAAGGGGTCCAACACAATGGTTTGATTTACATGTACTGTGAAATGAACAGCACAGGAGGTTCAGCTAACAGCCATCACTTCATATCTATGTAATAAAAAAAGGAGAAAAGAAAGAAGAAAAAAAATTTTCTCTTTGTGATGAAAATTCTCAGGATTTCATTGAAGTTTCCTAGCGGCATGGCCCCAGTCATCATGCTGTGCACGACACCCTTAGGACTTACAGCTGGAAGTTTGTATCTTTTGGTCACCTTCTTCCCCTTCCCCATCCCTACCCCTGTCTCCGATAACCAGAAGTCCCATCTTTCTTTCTGAGTTTTATTTTGTACTTTTTTTATGTTGCTGGATTTTTTTTTTTTTAGATTCCACATATAAGTGAGATCATACAGTCTTTGTCTTTCTCTGACTTATTTCACTCAGAATAATACCTTCAAGTTCCATCCACGTTGTCACAAATGTTAGGTTTTTTTAGGACTGAGGGATAGTCCACTGTACAGAAACACACAGATGATGACTTTTTTATCTGTTCATCCGTCGATGGACAGACACCTAAGTAGTTTCCACATCTTCATGATTGTGACTTATGCTGCTATAAACATGGGGGTGCAGATTCCTTTTTGAGTTCGTGTCTTTGTTTCCTTTGGATATATCCCTAGAGGAGGAGCAGCTGGACCACACGGTAGCACCATTTTAAAATGGCTGCGGGTGGGGGGGGGGGGCGCCTGGGTGGCTCAGTTGGTTAAGCGACTGCCTTCGGCTCAGGTCATGATCCTGGAGTCCCCGTATCGAGTCCCACATCGGGCTTCCAGCTCAATGGGGCGTCTTCTTCTTCCCCTGACCTTCTCCCCCTCTCATTCTCTCTCTCTCTCTCAAATAAATAAATAAAATCTTTTTAAAAATAAAAATAAAAAATAAAATGTCTGCAGGTTCTCCATTCTGTTTTCCATAGTGGCTGTACAATTTAGAGTCCCACCAGCAGTGCCCAGGGTTCCCTTTTCGCCACATCCACACCACATTTTTTACTATCTGTCCTTTTGATGATGGCCATGCTAGTATGCACGAGAATATGTAGATGGTGGTTTTGATCTGCATTTCCCTAATGATTACTCATGTCGAGCCCCTTTTCAAGTGTCTGTTGGCCATCTGGGTGTCTTCTTCAGAAAAATGTCTATTTAGGTCCTTTGACCATTTTTAGTGTTTTTTTTTGTTTGGTTGGTTTGGGTTTTTTTGTTTTGTTTTGTTTCTACTGAGTTTTAAGAATTCTTTTTCAGCAACATTGATTTTTATTTTTATTTTTTAAAACTTAAAAAAAAAATTATATTAGTTTCAGAGGTAGAGTTCAGTGATTCGTCAGTTGCAGTGCTCATTACATCACGTGACCTCCTTAATGCCTATCACCCGGTTAACCATCCCCCCACCACTCCCCTTCAGTGACCCTCAGTTTGTTTTCTACAGTTAGGAGTCTCTTATGATTTGGTTCCCTCTCAATTTTCATCTTACTTTCCTTCTCTTCCCCTATGTTCATCTGTTTGGTTTCTTAAATTCCACAGATGAGTATATTTTGGATAATACCCCCTTATCAGATAAACGGTTTGCAAATATTTTTTCCCCTTCTGTAGGTTGTCTTTTCACCTTGTGGATAGTTTCCTTTGCTGGGCAGAGGTTTTTTAGTTTGATGTAGTCACACCTGCTTATATTTTCATTTTGTCACTTGTGCTTTAGGTGTCAAATCAAAAAACATCACGAAGACTCATGTCAAGGGGCTTTATTCCTATGTTCTCTTCTAGGAATGTCATGGTTTCAGGTCTTACATCAAAATCTTTAATTCATGTTGAGTTAATTTTTGTGAGTGATGAAAGATAAGGGTCAAGTAGAATATTCTTAATCTACACTTTTTTTAAAAGATTTTATTTGTCAAACAGAGATCACATGTAGGTAGAGAGGCAGGCAAAGAGAGAGAGAGGAGGAAGCAGGCTCCCCGCTGAGCAGAGAGCCCGATGCGGGGCTCGATCCCAGGACCCTGGGATCATGACCTGAGCCGAAGGCAGAGGCTTTAACCCACTGGGCCACCCAGGTGCCCCAATCTACACATTTTTATTTTGAGAATAAAATCAAGAAAAATGCTGCTCACATATGATTTTTCTTTCCCTGAGTTTTTCTGTTATCATTTTAAATCAATAACATCCTTTCCAAGTTCAGCTGCTGTGTGTGTGTGTGTGCATGAGTGTGTGTGTGTGTGTGTGTATGAGAGACAGAGAGAAAAAGAGGAGAGTCTTGGGGGGAAGGGCCGTGTGTAAAGAACATTAGATGAACAGTTGGAGGAACAAAACAGACTTTGTCCTTCATGGAAGAGAGGAAGGATTAAGCCAAAGAGCAGTCTGTCTGGCTGCCCTCTTACCTGCCTCTCCTGGGCTCAGGTTCAGAGCCAGGAATGTGGCCACCTGAAGACCTGCTGATATGACTAAAGCAGCAAGTCGTGAGATTTGTCCTCCCAGAGCCGCATGCTACCTAATGAGAACCTGGACCGCACATGGGATGTGCTCAACAAGGCTGCAAGGAGCCACTGGTGGGAAAGGGCAGGTTCCATGAGAGTACGGCATCCTCCTGCCGGTCTCTTGAGTTTGCACGTGCATGTGCATGCATGTGCGCGCACACACACGGATCATCTCATTTGATCTGCAGCAAACCTGTCACTACCATGCTGTTAGGAACTCCAATTTGCATATAAAGAAACCCAAGGGCTCAGGGTTACAGACTTAGAGAGTGGCCACAGCAGGCTTTGAATCCGTAGCATGATTCTTGAGGGAGTGCCCTTAACTGCTAAGCTCACATGCTCATCTCCCTTCCCAGGATCTCAGGAAACAGCTCCCAAATCCACGATAGTCTCATTGTAAATATTGTGTCCTGTCTCTACAGAGACCTTGCGCATGACTCAAAATTTCCAGCATTTTAATATTCACATGATATTCTCTGCACCGACTCTAATACCCAGATGGAACATGAATCCTTTGCCCAGCTCTGCATCTAGGGACTTGAAGCTGAAAAGTAAGGTCACCTAACTATGGATCCAGTCGGGATGTCATTACAGCTATGGGGTATGGCGGCCAACGACAACTCACGATGGTTACTTAAAGTCATGGTAAAATCTGCTGGAGCTGACAATAAAAAGACATATCCGACCTTTGGGAGGATCTGCTCACAGGCACCCCGGAGCACAGGAGCCACGCTGATGTGATCCAGCCGCACGGACAGGCTCCTCACAACATCACACAAAGCTGGCATTCCGTTCCTGTCCCACCTCCCATCACTTCCCCAATCACCCTGACACAGGAACCCCTGGCGGTCCCAGTGCTTGTCTGTTTCTACCACCCATGGATGGATTTTACTCCTTTTTCTTCTTCTCCCACCCCTCCCTCCCCCTTCCTATTTTCTATCTCCCTCCTCTATTTCTCTTCCTCTTCCCATCGTGATATTTCTCTCTACCAGTTTTTGCCTTGGGCTCAGACCACCTCCCTCCAAGTTCCTCATCTTTGCTCACACTCTATGCTGAGACCGATTAAATCAAACTGGCCGATCATTTTTCAGTGTTCTCCCCACCATGCTGGATCCCTGGGGATGAAGCACAGGACAGAGACCTGCTTCCTGTGTCTCGCTCCAGATAGAGGCCCTGGTGACACGGGGCCCTTGATGCTTTCATTAGGGCAATGTCAGGCATGTGGCACAAACAGGAGGGGATCACAGCACCACCTGGCCACTCCCACAGGACCACAGGTTGCCCTCTACATGTGGCCCAGCTACCCCTTTACACGTTGTGGCAGCCACGGCCAGCAAGGACCCTCACCGTTCCATCCTCCAGCAAGAGTCTCAGGACTTTGTCACCAACTCTGTAGTCTTTTGCTATCTCAGCAGACTTCCAAACTTCTTCAGGATCAGGAATCCATACCCTGTTGTACTGAACAACAGAATAAAACAGCCTTAATTTCAGAAATTTGAAAACAAAAACACAGATCATAAGATAATTAGACTCAGGGAGATTTCTTTCTGTCTGCTCAGTTGGTCCCTTCTTCAGGAATACTTTTACCTAACTGTTGCTTATGAGGTAGTCTTCAGTGTGTCTGTGAGGCCCCACACCTAGTTGCTTCATTTTTATAGGCAATGGAATTCCCAAAGCATCCTAAACATACTTTGAAAACTGAGAGCCTGGGACTAGAAAGAAAATCATGAGTCCCTTCATGGGAAGATCTGAGTGCTGTCTATGAGAGTTGAAACAGAGGGATTTGGTTCATCACTGATGGGCTGTGGGTCTCTGGGCCAGACACTTAACTTCCTGTGCCTCATTTTTCTCATCTATAAAGTGGGTACAATATCTACTTCACATTTGCTGGGAGCTTAAATTAGGCTGTGTAGTTGAAAGCACTCTGCCAGATGCTATGGAAGTATTGCTAGAGTAGTGTTACCTCAGTCTTAACTGCACTGGTGGATAGCCAAGGATTCCCACTGTGGGAAATGTGGAAGGCCAGCTGCGGCTGCTGGGCTCCACTCCCAACAGGCGATTGCAACAGCTGACTCAGTGTTGGTATATAAATCTTTAGGCAGAATCTCATTGCTATGAACTGAATTATGTCTCTACCTGTCCCCCTCCAATTCATATCTCGAAGCCCTAATCTCCAATGAGACTGAATTTGGAGATAACGTCTTTAAGTGGTAATGCAGGTTAAATGGGTAAAAAGGTTCTGATCTGATGGGATTAGTGTCCTTGTAGGAAGAGACACCGGAGAGCTCCCACTGCACTCTCTCCCCACCGGCATGCGCCAAAAAGGCCACAAGAATCCATTTGGGGAAAGCCACTGTCTGCACGCTTGGACTTCTCAGCCTCCATAACCGTGACAACATAAGCATCTGCTGTTGAAACACCACCCAGGCCGCAGGCTACTTAAGGCAGCCCTAGCAGCCTGACCTGCGTGTCTAATACTCACACTGGCACACTGGGAAGGAGACAGGCTCACTCTCCAGAACCCACCGGGGGCACCTGAATGCTGCTCGAGATAGAGACAAGGAGGCTTCCATGTCTGTCACAGGGCCCGTGGTTAATTCCTCTCTTCCTGTCGGCAGCACCCACGGACTACTCTTACTCCTCCTCCCAGACCCCACATCTCACACTGCCCTGCAGGGCTGTTCATCTGTTTATCCATTCATCTATTCGTTCACTGGATTGACACTCGCTAATAAGCATCTATTATGTGTATGCGTTGGGTTGCTAAGAAGGAAAGGCATTTGCTCTCAAGTCACCACGGTCCTCCTGCTAACCCAGCCAGCCCCTAACCCAGAGCCTCATGTGCAAATGTGCACATTCGCATCCCTCTGCTCCTCGGGCCACTGGTCTACCGCTGCCCTCTGACTGAGGAAATACTCGTTTGTGTTGAAAGATTGTACCTTCAGGAGTTTTGAGTTGCAAAAAGATTCTGAGCAATAAGATCATGGCATTTTGATTTTCCTTGGTATGGTTCTACATATTTTCTACAGTTTGCATGTTTTACTTTTATAATCAGAATAATCTTTAAAGGCAAATATCAAAATATAGGCCCACAAAAAAACGTGTACGTGAATCTTGATAGTAACTTTATTCATACTGGCCAAAAACTGGAAACAAACTAGATGTCCATTAATATGAGAATGAATTAAAAGACAAATGAAACTGTGGTGCATTCACACAATGGAATACTATTTACCAGCAGAAAGAATCAATTACTGATACAAGCAAGAATGTAGACGAAACTCCAAACCTTGAGGCAGAGCTAAAGAAACATCCACCAATGAGTATGTTCTGTCAGAATCCCTTTGAAGTGCGAGGACAGGTAAAACTAAGGTAAGGGGCGGAGTCAGAGCAGTAGTTGCCTCTGGGGGTAGGTGGTGCTGGGAAGTGAGTGGGAAGGCCCTCAAGGGAATGTTCTGGGGGTGATGGCAACATTCTATGCCTTGGTGGGGTTTGGGTTACCCAGGTGGTAAGCACTTTTCAAACCTCACAGAACACAGACCTAAGACTGGTGTATCACTGTTTGAAAATCTTACACAAAGAACTAAACAAATACAAAACTCTTAACAATAGACACACTAATATATTTAGGACAACATGTACTGAGGCATGTGATTTACTCTAAAATGCTTCAACAAGTAAGAGGGTCTGAGGACTGGACAGAAGGATAGGAAGATGGATAGACATATAACAAATATGGTGAAACGTTCGTGGTAGAATCAGGTGGTAGGACAGATGGTCACTATAAAGTCCTTTCAACTTTATTGTATGCTAAAAATCATTTGATGTTGGAAGAAATAAAGAAAAGTAAGAAACAAATTTCAGAATGCCAGTACTAGACTGGGGCAAAGTTGTTAAGGAGCACATCCATTTACCTATCAGTTAATAATAAATTGGCTTATTTAAGCAAAGAAATATATATGTATCTCAGTGGCTGGGTATCAGTCCTGAGTCCCTAGTTTATTTGGTTTGCTTTAATTCTTGACAGCTAGGCGGGAGTCTGCAGGAGCTTGCTGAAATGAGTCACAGAATGGGTAAGATTTCAGACATAGGGACAGAGAAAACAGAAGAATGACCTGGCGGGCAATGATACACACTCAGATACACATGTCCACGCAAACATGAACAGAAGCCTCATGAACACACAGGCACACACCCCCCCACACACACACATACTTGTTTCCACATGCTACCACTTCCTACCTCGGGTTTGCTATCAAAAACACTGCTAACCTTGTAAGTGAAATCATTAATGGCATATCCCAATGCATTAAGAGTTGGCCACTATAGAATTTTATTTCATTTCATTCTATTATTTTTTTAAGTAGTCTCCAAGCCACGCATGGAGCCCAACGCAGGGCTCAGACTCACAACTCTGAGATCAAGACCTGAGCTGAGATCAAGAGTCGGACCCTCAACCGACTGAGCCACCCAGGCATCCCCACCACTAGAGCATTTTAGAATTGAAAGGGTCCTGGGAGATCATCTACTCCAAGTTGTTTGTCAAAGCTCTTTTTAAAGCCACAGAAGGCTTGCTTCAGATGAAATGGGGCCAGCCTCCCACGTGAGACAGGAACAGCGGAGGCGTCCTGAGGAGGCTCTGAGCTGGGCGCCGCAGCTGACATCCCCGGCATCCTCCCACGGAAGCCAGGAGTTCTGAGAAGGAATGTTAAAGTCACTGAGCCAGTCTAAGCCTTTTGTTTTCCTGACCCCAAACTCTACGCTCAGGGAGGCCAGTAATTCATCGAACACCACACAAAGTCACGAAAGCCTGGACTCCATGGAGCCAGGGCCTGCGACTCCTACTTTGAACTACTCATTATATGAACGAGTTCATATAAAGTTCATTATATGATCTGGCTTTGAGAAGAGTCTTGAGCTCTCAGGCAGGGCACCTGGGTGGCTCAGTCGGTTAAGCATATGCCTTCAGCCCTGGTCATGATCTCTAGGTCTTGGGATCACGTCCCACCTCGGGCTCCGTGCTCAGAGGGGAGCCTACTTCTCCCTCTCCCTCTGCCCTTCCTCCCGCTCACTTTGTTTCTCAAATAAATAAAAATATTTAAAAAAAGAAAAGAAAAGAATCTTGAGCTCTCATCTGCAACCATCTACTTGAGAGTGCACAGGCTGATTAGTTTCACTGGCTTATTTTGGCCAAAAGCAGTATTAAATGGAAGGCAGTATTAGGACCCTGGAACCAAAAAGTCTGCTTCTCTTGTGGAGGAAACACAAATGGTCTCGATGGCCCCTGACTCCCCAGGCCGCCCACACCTGCCAGGCCTGGCGCCTCCGCCAAGCAATGCTGCCAGTCTTTGAAGGCCCCGTGGCTGCAACCCAGCCTGGTAAGTAAACACGACAAAGTTTACCCAGTTCCATGTCAGTTACACCCTTGGGTCCCTCCCTCCTTCCCCACATTCTTTGACCCACAAAGCCAGGCCTTAACGCTTTAACCGGGAGGAAGAGCTCACTTTGCAGCGTTTAGGCAAACAAACAGCAGCCTGTGCAAACAATGTGACGGGCTCTCATGTGACCTCCCCGGTGTGACTCCCTCCTGTGGAGCAGGAGCCTCAGACTCAGACTACTGCCAAGCCCGCCAGGGACAGGCCTGCTAGGGGGCCGGGGAGCAGGGAGGCCCACCTTCCGTGTCCTGCCTGCAAACACTCTCCCATGGAGGGAGACCGTGTGTCCCCTAACTTCCAAGCCAAGGGAGGCGTAACAACGAGGGAAAGCCTTCAGGAGCACGACCCTTGGGAAGTGATACGTCCCTGGGAACATGCCGAATCCCCCACCCCACATGCTCAGCCGAGGAGAGGGCATCTTGTCTCCTTGCCTGCCTACTGGAAGGCATCTGCGGCTGTTGGCCACAAAAAGGACTGACGACCTGACATGGAAGAGGGGACACCACAAGCTTCCTTCCCAGCAGCTCTCTGGACGGGAAGGGAATCTCCACATTCTCAGTCAACTAGGCCAGAGCAGTGATACTATGTTCCCTCTCCTCCCCTTCCCTTGTCCCTCCAAGCCCTTCCCAGGCTCCCCAGCATCCCCTCTGTTTCTCAGTGTCCTTCCCAGGCCCTCCTCCTGACAGGCTTTCTCTAGAGTGTCTTCCACTCCCACAGCTTTGGCAGCTGCCCTGGTACCTGTCCACCAGAGACCCCCAGCCTAGATCTCTCAACAAGTCTAGAGCACATTTCCAGTGGTCTCCAGATGCCAGCCCCTAAATGTCCTCAGACGCTCACAAATTCCTAGCTCTAATGATCATTACGTACCCCGCCAAACCTCAGTTCTCATAACCGTCTAGTCAGAAACTTGGGACCCCCAAGTCCCAAGTCCTGGACCCCCTTCCCTCCTTCCACCCCCAACAACCAAATGGTCCTCAGGTGCTGGAAAGCCTACATCTTAAACAAGTCTCACCTAAAATAACA